ATATCAGGAAGAATTTCTTCAGTCTCAAAGTGGTTGGGAAGTGAAATGATCTGGATGAGGAACTGATGTAGGCAAACTCCATACATAGTTTCTAGAGCAGGTGCAATGGTGTCCTACTGACAAGCTGAGGAGGGGCAGGGCCTGCAACCACATACAGGTGAATACATATATTTAAACACACACACACACACACACACACACACACATCTTAATAAGGAATCATTCAGGACCCTGTACACCGTGTACGTTAGGCCCATATTGGAGTATGCGGCACCAGTTTGGAACCCACACCTAGCCAAGCACGTAAAGAAACTAGAGAAAGTGCAAAGGTTTGCAACAAGACTAGTCCCAGAGCTAAGAGGTATGTCCTACGAGGAGAGGTTAAGGGAAATCAACCTGACGACACTGGAGGACAGGAGAGATAGGGGGGACATGATAACGACATACAAAATACTGAGAGGAATTGACAAGGTGGACAAAGACAGGATGTTCCAGAGATTGGAACAGTAACAAGGGGACACAGTTGGAAGCTGAAGACACAGATGAATCACAGGGATGTTAGGAAGTATTTCTTCAGCCACAGAGTAGTCAGTAAGTGGAATAGTTTGGGAAGCGATGTAGTGGAGGCAGGATCCATACATAGCTTTAAGCAGAGGTATGATAAAGCTCACAGCTCAGGGAGAGTGACCTAGTAGCGATCAGTGAAGAGGCGGGGCCAGGAGCTCGGACTCGACCCCCGCAACCTCAACTAGGTGAGTACAACTAGGTGAGTACGCACACACACACACACACACACACACACAACACACACACACACACACACACACACACACACACACACACACAGATGGAAGAGGCACTCGTCCAAAACTGTAAATGGTGGTATTTTAGGGCAGTGACAGCTATTTAGACGTCAGCTTGGGAGGCTCTGTGGTGCCAGATGTAATACAGTGACACGGTCATGTGATGCCATATTCCCATGGCACTATAAAACGAAGGAAAATACACTGTTAAATATCTTAATACTTCTGATTTGTACTGAAAACGTCGTGATGAATCGTAATTCACACCTGGAGGTTATTCCGGGGATCAACGCCCCCACGGCCCGGTCCATGACCAGGCCTCCCGATGGATCAGGGCCTGATCAACTAGGCTGTTACTGCTGGCCGCACGCAGTCCAACGTACGAGCCACAGCCCGGCTGATCCGGCACTGACTTTAGGTATCTGTCCAGCTCTCTCTTGAAGGCAGCCAGGAGTTTATTGGCAATTCCCCTAATGCTTGATGGGAGGCTGTTGAACAGTCTTGGGCCCCGGACACTTATGGTGTAAAAGTCTCCGAATATAAAGGAGAAGCGCAGTAAGCGCACTAAAGACAGCTCAACAAGCAAAAGAATTCTAAGTTTTCAACACATCTTTAAATATAAAGGGGAATTACCAATGACGCCCCAACTCTCTTCAAGCGGGAACTTGAGAAATTTCTTCGCCGGCCTGTGGTGTCAGTGTCTGACTGCGAGCAACGGCAGCCTAATATCCACACCGTGAGCCGTGAGCTAGGAAGCCTGGTCTGAGACCGAGCCGCAGAGGCGATGATGACCTCAACATGTGAGTCTCTACGACTGCCAAGAGGACCTCTAAAAAGTTGGGATCTCTTCAGAATCACTTCCAATTATCTGAGCTCTAAGGCTTGTGTCTTGAACACGGGCAAAGACCCTCTCTATTTCATCTGTACCTTGAACACAGGTGTTCGCATCAGACATTCCGGAACTGTGTACCTCTTGATATATGACCAGTAAAGTTGTATTCTATCTTATATTTTATTTTTGCAAATGATTCAGTATATTTGTAGTACAAGCAGTACAAATATCCTATCCTGTTAGTCGACTCTTGGAGGTCACATCCTGGGAAGAACTCCTATGTAAAATTAATTAGAAGCTAAAATACATGCTGGATAGTATATCGAATGCAAAATGCCAATGTGTAATCAAACTCCTGACCTACATGAAGTATGCAGGTATTGGGTATAAGGTGCCCTCACACTCGTGTATTCAATGGTGATAAGGGTACAAAAATATGTGAAACTTTTCAAACAGTATTGGATGTTCTGTTGTACCCTGGGTACCCATAATGTAAAGGACAACTCTGATTCAGCTGTGGCTCACTACGCAACAAAGATTTACAGTAATACGCTCCAGTGGAATTAACCTTTATTCACTTTAGTTATCCTAGAGTAAATCTACATAGCAGACCTTTTTTTATGCCCATAATGTGTGCTATCAAGGTATATTTTTTTGTATGGTAGACATATTTTTTGTATGGTATATACGTAAGGCCTAAATAAAAACTTACTCGTAGAGCGATCCACTCGGAATTTTATCACAATTATTCCCGCGGACACGCAAAACTCGGGGGATAACTCTAAGTAGACAGATTAAGTCTAATGAAGATGTCAGGTTCAATTCCTTGGGTGGAACCTCTTCGCCAGCTTCAAGAAATTTCCATTGAGAGGACTCACAAGAGAAATGACCCTGGTTTAAATCCCAGGCGTAGAACGACACTTGTCGTCTCGTAAGTGCTACATCACCCTTACGGGTTGAGCGCTTTTCCGTGATAATAATAACACGTGCCTTTTTTCACCTAGCAGTAAGTAGATTGCCAAGAGTTAGTCGAATTTTGTATTGTATCCTGTGGGAGGACACATGAAAGGTATACATCGGACTTAATATAAGGATCCCAACGGCAGTAAGGCACAATTCTTGACTTTCTTGGGTTACCCCGGTTCATTAATCTTCCGGGGTTAATAAGCTAATAAAACCTTTTTCTTCCTCGGCTTATAACTATAGTAACTTTTTAGCTGGCAGTTATTGGTGGGTTACCTGGAGGTTATTCCTGGGATCAACGCCCCCGCGGCCCAGTCCATGACCAGGCCTCCCGATGGATCAGGGCCTGATCAACTAGGCTGTTACTGCTGGCCGCACGCAGTCCGACGTACGAGCCACAGCCCGGCTGATCCGGCACTGACTTTAGGTATCTGTCCAGCTCTCTCTTGAAGGCAGCCAGGGGTTTATTGGCAATTCCCCTAATATTGGTAATTCCCCTAATGCTTGATGGGAGGCTGTTGAACAGTCTTGGGCCCCGGACACTTATGGTGTTTTCCCTTAGTGTACCAATGGCGCCCCTACTTTTTATTGGGGGCATTTTGCGTCGCCTGCCCAGTCTTTTACTTTCGTAGGGAGTGATTTCTGTGTGCAGATTTGGGACCATTCCTTCCAGGATTTTCCAAGTGTAGATTATGATATATCTCTCCCTCCTGCGTTCCAACGAGTACAAGTCAAGTGCTTCCAAGCGTTCCCAGTAGTTAAGGTGCTTGACAAAGTTGTACGTGCAGTAAAGGATCTCTGTACACTCTCTAGATCTGCGATTTCACCTGCTTTGAATGGAGATGTTAATGTACAGCAGTATTCCAGCCTAGAGAGAACAAGTGATTTGAAAAGGATCATCATTGGCTTGGCATCTCTCGTTTTGAACGTTCTCATTATCCATCCTATCATTTTCTTTGCACTTGCGATCGTAGCACTGTTGTGATCCTTGAAAGTGAGATCCTCAGACATTACTACTCCCAGGTCCCTTTAATTTAGATGTTATTACTGGTGGTAGCGTCAGTCTCACTGTCATAAAGGCAACCTTGAAGCCACGCTGCGGAGGAGATAGTCTGGTACTTATGCAGCATAGATAATGTTGGGCTAACGTATATAGCAGGTAGGGAAAGTGGGAATTTTGCTCGTTTGGGAAAATTTCTGAAGCATGACCCAGTCACATGATTTGCTCTGTGGAGCTTTTGGTCATGGGACCAAGATGTGTCTGGTGCGGGTCCTAGTTAATGATGACCCCACTCAGAGGAGCTTTTGGTCATGGGACGAAGGCGTGCCTGGTGCGGGTCCTACTCAATGATGACCCCACTCAGAGGAGCTTTGGTCATAGATCGGAGGGCTTCCGCTGGCTTACCTATTCACCTCATAAAAATTTGAATTACATTATATTGTAAGATATACATATATATGTAGGAGGCGCACAGCTTGTGATTATTGGCGAGTGTGTGTGTGTGTGTGTGTGTGTGTGGTATTGATGTATATACATCATACATCTGCTCATCTCACACACCTGTCTTACCACCTGCCCTAATTTATCTAAAGCCTCTAACTTAACAGTTGATATTACTTTATTCTTTTATTTTCCCAACGTGAGTTACACGCTTCGCTATTGTTAATAAAGTTTACATCCCAAACAGCATGAAAATATTAGTACTATACAATAAAATATTGGTGAGAGAACGTAGAGCCGGGTGGGAGAGCCCAGCAAGGTGACAGGTGCGTTATCAAGCATTACCTCTCTGGTAATGGTAACTCACAACGGATGTCTTTCACGAGTAGATGGTTAGATTTACATGTTTTCACTAAATATTACTATACATTATATAGCATTACGATGGATGAGGTGAGAGGTAGCAATAGTGTAGTGGTGGATGCTACAGGAAGTAGTGAGGGAGGGATGGGGGAAGAGAACACCGTTACACTGAGCGGACACTGACTCTAGCCCTTACTGAGGGCCCCCTCAGCCAGCACTACTCTGAATCCTCACTGGCTATGGTTTCCTAGTAAGTTTATTCAGGTATACACAAATACAGTTACATAGATGATCATATATAGCAGCATATGTGTAGAGAACCTAGGATAATCCAAAAAAGTCAATGTGACTGACTTCCATTGGGGTCCTTTTTCCATATCAGGTATACTCCAGGTATCACTATTCATAATTGTATTCACCACCTTTTGAAACGTATCTACTCATAACCCCCTTCACCAATTTCCCCTTAAGTCAAATTTACATAAACCCTCTTGATAAAACACCTCAGTTTGGCAATATCATTGAAAAACGAAAAAAAAAAAAACCAGAGGCTAGTCTGCTATTCTTATCCTACAGATAACTTGTAATCGAGGCCTACCTGGAATCAAACTTCTTTCCATCTTCAGCAAGTGTGCCGGTGTAATGCATGGTCAGCATGTCCCCCTTCTTAGAGGGGCGCTCACACGTCTCCGCCTTCTGTACGTGTTCCACCTGTAGCTCCGCAGCGTAGGCCACAGTGGAAAAGGCTAACAAAATGAGTGCTGGTGTGTTCATTATGGAATGGCAGGAGACACCTTGACACAGCAGCTTCGGTGTACAGTGTGAGTCTGGCCGGGCCCGGCTGTGGGGATTTTAGCTGCCTTCACTCACCCTCCGTCCGCGTCCCCATCACCCCTTGTCTCGTTCTTAGAGATCTCTTCTCTCATTATTATTTTAGCTCCATTACATTTTTTTTTCATTCTAGAACGCTTCGTAAATTAACTTCAGGTTGGTAGCTTTCTGGATATTCAAACACCTAGTGTGTGTATTGTTAAGGAAGTAATAATAAGGCAATGCGAGTGTGTTGGACTGTAAGACAGAGTCATGGAGAGAGAGATTGTAAGGATGCCGCACCTAGTGGGTGATTCTTACGTACACGTGTAAAACAGAGAGCCTAGATACAAAACTATCTTACACGTATTACAGTGATTTCGGTACATGGTAATAACTACAAAGGAGTTAAAAATACGCTTTGAGTCTTTCTTCTTATATAAAGTCTAAGTCGAAATGCTATTCACCCAATAAGTGCAATAAAATGAAGATACTTTTGAGCTCAACAGAACTTCTGTGAATGAAATATACTCTTCTCTCTCTTGTAAATATATATCTTTCTTCCAGTGAATTTACACTACTTACTACCATAAGAAATATATATATAAGAGTTTGTATTAACCCTGCATCTTATCTTGCATATTAATTTTCTCCTATAATAAATAATAATGTTTGTGTCGTCTTTCAGGTGTTTAAGTAAGTTTATTCAGGTATACACAAATACAGTAACATAGATTATCACACAGCAGCATGTGTAGAGAACCTAAGATAACCCCCAAAAAACGTCAAACTGACTTATTTCCATTGGGGTCTGATAATAATCCAATTTACCCATGCAACTTGTTAAATGTACAGTACATTAAACATAGACTACGGTCGTGTAATGACATTTATTGTGGTGTACAGCACTGGGTTCATGTCCCCAGTCCTTCAGGTGTTTCTCACTGTCTTATAAAGTATACTGTTGTTACCAGTGTGGTTATATTAATTTCCCGCGTGAGAGTTTAATGTCACTGATGTCAGATAGGTCTGTATAAGTTGTATAATGTACTTGTAGAAATAAAAATATTATTATTATTATTATTATTATTATTATTATTATTATTATTATTATTATTATTATTATTATTATTATTATTAGATTAAGAGCTTTGCAAGGCTTACCTCTCGAAGGGTCACCTCACCTAGATAATTTAACTTTCTCACCGTCGCCCGAGTTATTCTGCAACTTTCTCCATTCTCTTCTTAAAAACCAAATAAAAGTAGGTGGGTGTAAGTTGATTTAGGTACAAATTACACACAGGTACAATTATCATACACAGTAACATATATGGAAATTACCTATGACGCCCTGAAAGGTCAGACAGTGTGTGTTACTTTTTTATTATTATCATGAGAAGTATCATGGCAAGAGACAGCCAACAGCATTGTCTGCCACCCTGATAGTACCATGCCCAGTACCATGCCGAGTACCATGCCCAGTACCATGCCCAGCTACTCTCCTAAAAAAATAATAATGTTCAATCTTCATCTTTAACAAATTTATTAATTCAGTGTTCTGGAATACATACTCAACCTACAGAAGAAAAATAATATCACACATCTACGCTGATGGCTCCTTTAATCGTGACTGCTGTTATAATAATCCAGTATGATGGTACCATAATACATTTATTAGAATTAGAATTAATAAGTGGACTTCATAATTCTACGCAAATCCAGGGATGACCTTTTACACTGTCCAGTACTTAGTTATTACCCCTGATGAAGCCAGCACACAATATACATGCTCCGTGTTATTTGTAGGGGTAAGAATCAACTAAAAAAATTAGCCCCTCCCAAGGAGACGCGTAACTTTTGCTGTTTATAGACAAGACAGGAAGATAGTTTAAAGATTAGAAAATAAATTCACAACTCAGTTAGTAACATATCCAGCACAATGATTTTCTTGATTGAAACAGAACAAAATAATAGCCTGTGCACTGAGTCACAGTGAAGTGTCAGTCCATCCTTCAGTTACAGGAGGATGTGGGCAACCACAAAAAGCTGGTGTTGGTTGTTTTTATGTTGAGCGGAATCGGATATATCAGTATGCAGGATGATTTTCCTGTCAACCCATCATACAGGATGGTTTTCCTCTCATAACCCATCACACAGGATGATTTTCCTCTCATCCCATCACACAGGCTGATTTTCCTCCCATAACCCATCACACAGGCTGGGTTTCCTCTCATAACCCATCACACAGGCTGGTTTTTTCCTCTCATAACCCATCATACAGACTGGTTTTTCCTCTCATAACCCATCATACAGGCTGGTTTTTTCCTCTCATAACCCATCATACAGGCTGGTTTTTCCTCTCATAACCCATCACACAGGATGGTTTTCCTCTCATAACCCATCATACAGGATAGTTTTCCTCCCATAACCCATCACACAGGATGGTTTTCCTCTCATAACCCATCATATAGGATGATTTTCCTCTCATAACCCATCACACAGGATGGTTTTCCTCTCATAACCCATCATATAGGATGATTTTCCTCCCATAACCCATCGCACAGGATCGTTTTCCTTTCATAACCCATCATACAGGATGATTTTCCTCCCATAACCCATCGCACAGGATGGTTTTCCTCTCATAACCCATCATACAGGATGATTTTCCTCATAACCCATCACACAGGACGATTTTTCTGTTATTCTCCACCACACAGGAGGGTTTTCCTCTCATTCCGTTAGGATGGCTTTCCTGTTAAAGTCTATCAAAACAATTTGAGGAGGGTTATATCCTGTCATACTCCATCACACAGAGTGTGCTTTTCTGCTTTCGTACACCAGGATGGTTTTTCTTGCATATTTCTTCACTCAAGGTGATTTACCTATCATACTCCTTTACACAGGATAGTTTTCCTGTCATACCTCATCACAGTTTGTTTTTCCTGTCATACTCTCATGCAGGATAGTTTTCATGTCACTCCTTCGCACAGGATGCTTTTCTTCTTATCCTGCATCACATAAATTGGTTTTCCTGTCATGTACTTCTTTCTGGCGTGGTCTTCACGGTTTTTGGCCTTTTTTTATTAAACAAAATAGGATGCATAAGAAGTGTTCAGCTGAGTATTTCTCGTAAATTAGGTCAGTTTTGTCCCAGGATGCGACCCACACCAGAATACAACCTCGTTCATATTTGCTAATATACAGGGCCTTAAGCCATCCACCAACAACAAAATACCTTTTATCAGTGGACTTCTAGTGGAGTCTAATGCAATGTTTGCAGCCTTCACAGAGACTCACACAAAAGATCACTTTGACAGTGAAATATGGATAAGTGGTTACAACCTTTTTAGATGCGACAGAAAAAACAGGCAACAAGGGGGGGTTGGCCTGTATGTCAAAGAGTCCCTTATCTGCACGGAGTTGCTGAACACCACAAATGAGGTAGTTGAAGTTCTATCAATAAAGATCGAGAACCAAAACCTAGTCATTGTGGTTGTATACAAGCCACCAGATGCAACCTCCCAACAGTTCAAGGAACAGCTACTGAAAATCGATTACTGTTTGGAAAACCTTCCAGCTCCATCCCCAAACATCTTACTGCTTGGTGATTTCAACCTAAGGCATACAAAATGGAAGAATGTAGCAAATAATGTTATAGCTGAAACAATCCCCGGAGGTAGCGCAGATGAAAGGTCACACACACATGAGCTATTAAGTCTCTGCGAAAAACACACCTTAAGCCAGCAGATAGTGGAGCCAACAAGACTAGAAAACACACTTGACCTTATCTTCACAAATAATGAGGACCTGATAAGAGACATAAGAATATCAAAAACAACTAATTCCGATCACAATCTAATCGAAGTCCAGACGTACATGCATAGGGGTCCTGAACAACAGAATGCATGTACCTGTGAAGGTGTCTTCACAAAATACAATTTCAACAACAAGAACATCAACTGGGACCAGGTAAACCATGTCCTAAACGAAACATGTTGGGAAGATGTCTTAAATGACATGGACCCAAACCAGTGCCTTGAAAGGATCAACTTCCTGGTAGCCGAAGCATGTTCTAGGCATATTCCCCTAAGAAAGAAGAAGAGCAGGAGTAAACTGGAGAGAAAAAGACGCTCCCTCTACAGAAGACGACGAAGAGTCACTGAGCTCCTCAGGAGTGCTAGAATATCTGATACACGAAGGGAGGCGCTGACCAGGGAAGTGGAAACTATTGAACTTAAGCTAAATGACTCTTACAGGAACCAGGAGAGGCAGGAGGAGCTCAAAGCTATTAGTGAAATTGAAAGAAATTCAAAATATTTCTTTTCATATGCCAAAAACAAGGCAAATACCACATCTAGTATCGGGCCCTTACTCAGACAGGATGGGACTTACACAGACGACAACAAGGAAATGAGTGAAATATTGAAATCCCAGTACGACTCTGTGTTTAGTGAACCACTAATCGGTCTGAGGATCGACGACCCAAATGATTTCTTCATGAATGAGCCTCAAAACTCCATAAATGTATGCCAGATTTCCGACATTACCCTAACTCCGATAGATTTCGAAAAAGCCATTGACAACATGCCTATGCACTCAGCCCCGGGCCCAGACTCGTGGAACTCTGTTTTCATTAAGAACTGCAAGAAACCCCTCTCGCGTGCTCTAAGTACACTATGGAGGAGGAGCTTGGACATGGGTGAAATTCCACAGTCACTTAAAACAACGGATATAGCCCCACTCCATAAAGGTGGCAGCAAAGCATTAGCTAAGAACTATAGACCAATAGCTCTGACATCCCACATCATAAAAATCTTTGAAAGAGTGCTAAGAAGCAGGATTGCAAATCACCTGGATTCCCAAAATCTGCACAATCCAGGGCAACATGGGTTCAGGGCAGGTCGCTCCTGCCTCTCACAACTACTGGATCACTATGACATGGCCTTGGATGCACTGGAAGAAAATCAGAATGCAGATGTAATATACACAGACTTTGCAAAAGCATTTGACAAATGCGATCATGGCGTAATAGCCCATAAAATACGTGCTAAAGGAATAACTGGGAAAGTGAGGAGATGGATCTTCAACTTCCTAACAAATCGAACACAAAGAGTAGTGGTCAACAGAGTTAAATCGGAGGCTGCCATAGTGAAGAGCTCTGTTCCACAAGGCACAGTACTCGCCCCCATCTTATTCCTTATCCTCATATCAGACATAAACAGAGATATACACCACAGCACCGTATCATCCTTTGCGGATGATACTAGGATCTGCATGAGGCTGTCATCTGCTGAGGACGCGGTTAACCTCCAAGAAGATATAAACAAAGTTTTCCAGTGGGCAACGGTAAACAATATGATGTTCAATGAGGACAAATTCCAACTACTCCGTTATGGAAAACTGGAGGAGATAATAACTAGAACAGAGTATACTACTGACTCCGGACATACAATAGAGCGGAAAAATAATGTAAGGGACCTGGGAGTAGTAATGTCTGAGGATCTCACTTTCAAGGATCACAACAGTGCCACGATCGCACGTGCAAAGAAAATGATAGGATGGATAATGAGAACTTTCAAAACGAGAGATGCCAAGCCCATGATGATCCTTTTCAAATCACTTGTTCTCTCTAGGCTGGAATACTGCTGTACTCAGTTCCTCAAGCTTCAACATCCGTGCACACGAGGGCCTGGGATCTTCAATCAACTTGGCGTCCACCAGGACGCTGACATGTCCCTAGGGGAGCTCTTCATCGGGCTGCTAACGGAGTCACTGGCTTCTTGGACCTCTTGGGGAGGGTCGATGGTGCTCGTGCAAGCAGCAGATCCCAGGGCAACTTGCTGCTGTTTGCAATGGCTGTCTACCGAGGAGAGACAGGCACCTAGCAACATCTGTTGTTGGGGCAATGGATGAATTCCCTGCTATGTTTGTTTACTGCTCATTACTCTGTAATTTGTCTATGATTGTAATCATGTGATAACGTGTTTATCATTCATTACCTTTGAAACTTGTCATGATTGTGACCAGCTCTACCTGGAGCTCATTACCTTTGTAAATTCTCATGATTAATGTGTTTATGATTCATTACCTTTGCAATTATTCATGAGTGTGACCAGCTCTACCTGGAGCTCATTACCTTTGTAACTTGGTCATGATTATGACCAGATCTAGTTCATTACCTTTGTAACTTGCTCAGCTATCAAAACTTTGGAGTCCAGTCCCTGGACCAATTATGTACCTCTGTAATCTTTTGACTACCGCCCACAGGATGGGTATGGGGTGCATAATAAACATATTAAACTAACATTAACATCTCCATACAAAGCAGGTGAAATCGCAGATCTAGAGAGTGTACAGAGATCCTTTACTGCACGTATAAGTTCTGTCAAGCACCTTAACTACTGGGAACGCTTGGAAGCACTTGACTTGTACTCGTTGGAACGCAGGAGGGAGAGATATATCATAATCTACACTTGGAAAATCTTGGAAGGAATGGTCCCAAATCTGCACACAGAAATCACTCCCTACGAAAGTAAAAGACTGGGCAGGCGATGCAAAGTGCCGCCAATAAAAAGTAGGGGCGCCATTGGTACACTAAGAGAAAACACCATAAGTGTCCGGGGCCCAAAACTGTTCAACAGCCTCCCATCAAGCATTAGGGGAATTGCCAATAAACCCCTGGCTGCCTTCAAGAGAGAGCTGGACAGATACCTAAAGTCAGTGCCGGATCAGCCGGGCTGTGGCTCGTACGTCGGACTGCGTGCGGCCAGCAGTAACAGCCTAGTTGATCAGGCCCTGATCCATCGGGAGGCCTGGTCATGGACCGGGCCGCGGGGGCGTTGATCCCCGGAATAACCTCCAGGTAACCTCCAGGTAGTTAGGTAAGACACATATGCAACAGTTAGGTATCTTTATTATGAAACGTTTCGCCTACACAGTAGGCTTCTTCAGTCGAGTACAGAAAAGTTGATAGAAGCAGAAGATACTTGAAGACGATGTAATCAGTCCATCACCCTTAAAGTTTTGAGGTGGTCAGTCCCTCAGTCTGGAGAAGACCATTGTTCCATAGTATGAAACAATATGGAGATGAAGTGACAGGATGGAGCTTATATAGCGCCAAGAGGTGAGACGTAGGCCACTAGGAGAGGTAAGAACTCAGATGTTGAGAGGTCAGGTCCCTCTCAAATCCAGCCGCTCTCACTAGTGGAAGTTGTCGAAGTTGATTGCAGGTCTGTACCAAGATACCCTTGTGTTGCAGTGTCTGACAGATTGAACATTAAAATGGTATAAAATACCGACAGGTTGTTAGGTAAGACACATATGCAACAGTTAGGTATCTTTATTATGAAACGTTTCGCCTACACAGTAGGCTTCTTCAGTCGAGTACAGAAAAGTTGATAGAAGCAGAAGATACTTGATAGACACACACAGACACTGCAACACAAGGGTATCTTGGTACAGACCTGCAATCAACTTCGACAACTTCCACTAGTGAGAGCGGCTGGATTTGAGAGGGACCTGACCTCTCAACATCTGAGTTCTTACCTCTCCTAGTGGCCTACGTCTCACCTCTTGGCGCTATATAAGCTCCATCCTGTCACTTCATCTCCATATTGTTTCATACTATGGAACAATGGTCTTCTCCAGACTGAGGGACTGACCACCTCAAAACTTTAAGGGTGATGGACTGATTACATCGTCTTCAAGTATCTTCTGCTTCTATCAACTTTTCTGTACTCGACTGAAGAAGCCTACTGTGTAGGCGAAACGTTTCATAATAAAGATACCTAACTGTTGCATATGTGTCTTACCTAACAACCTGTCGGTATTTTATACCATTTTAATGTTCAACCTCCAGGTAGTCCACTAACACCCAGGTACCTGTTTTACTGATGGGTGAACATAGATAACCAGTGTAAAGAAACACGTCCAATGTTTCCATCCCTTCACCGGGAATCAAACAAGGTGTTGAAATTATACACAAATAACCCGCACATAGAAGAGAGGAGATTACGACGACGTTTCGGTCCGACTTGAACCGTTTACAAAGTCAGTGTCTCTGTAAATGTCCAAGCCGGATCGAAACGTCGTCGTAAACTCCTATCTTCTATTTGTGTATCGTTCCAGTCACTACATTGTGACTTTTTTTATTATTTAAGATGTTGAAATGTATCAGTCTGAGCTAGGAGACTTCACTAGGGCAATGAGGATATTAAGTATTCCAGGAAGTTAATTTAGGCACGGGTACACATAATTAATATTAAAATTCTTTATTTCTTTCTTAATATTACAATGTGGGGTTTACGTATTATAAAATATTATTACATATTATAAAATACTTATTACAAAGAAGGCTACTAGTATGCCTAGGTATGACTAGGCATTTCAGGCAGACTAAGCACAATTATCAGTATAAATTACCTATGATAACCGAAGAAATCAGTGACGTATTTTGACTGGTATTCTTGAGGGTGTATCAGCTATGACTGTATAATCCTACGGGTTTAACGCTTCCCCCTTGATTAGAATAGAAATCATCAACTATGACAGCTTCGTTCTAGCAGAGCTGGAGTTACTATCACTTGGAAATAAGTCACTTTTTTGGGTTATCCTAGGTAATTTACACAAATGTTACTAGGTATAATAATTGTACTCATGTGTATCTATCTAAATAAATATACTTTGTGGATAGACGTTTTTCCATTAGTGTTCTCAACCCCAAGACCCCTCAAGGAAGGTTCCTTGATGTTGGCGAGGGGCTCTTGATTTAGGGAATTGGATCTATGTTCCAGTTCCCCGAATTAAGCCTGAATACCTTCCACATCCCCCCCCCCAGGCGCTGTATAATCCTCCGGGTTTAGCGCTTCCCCCTTGATTATAATAATAATAATTCTCAACCCCAAGAATGTCAAGAGGACATCTAGAATAAGTTTATAATTTTTTCCCTCAAGATTCCGGTCAAAATATTCAACTAACATCCAGGTTAAGTATTTACTAATAAAAAGGAGTGATAGGAGGTGTAAAAAACCCGGGATCTTCAACTATAAACCATTGCGAACCCAGCTTTCATAACTGAAATAACTCGTATCACTTGTATTTGTTGAGTTATCTCAGTTTATAATTTATTTCCACTGTATAAATGTAATAAAAAATGTGGTTATGCAAACTATCAACTTTTTCAGAGCAGCGAGGGTAGTGTAGACAGCTCCTGGGCCTCACAGTACTCAGTAACAAGGACCCCAGTGGAAATAAATCTCTCTATTTTGGGTATTTCCTCCCAAGTAGGTACCTGGTTGTTAGTCATCCTACACCTGCTGTCCCTGCTCATGTAGCAGTAAGTAGGTACCTGGTTGTTAGTCATCCTACACCTGCTGTCCCTGCTCATGTAGCAGTAAGTAGGTACCTGGTTGTTAGTCATCCTACACCTGCTGTCCCTGCTCATGTAGCAGTAAGTAGGTACCTGGTTGTTAGTCATCCTACACCTGCTGTCCCTGCTCATGTAGCAGTAAAGTAGGTACCTGTTGTTAGTCATCCTACACTGTCCCTCCAGTAGCAGTAGTAGGTACCGGTTGTAAGTCATCACATGCTGTCCTGCATGTAGCAGTAAAGGTACCTGGTTGTTAGTCATCCTACACCTGTCCCTGCTCATGTAGCAGTAAGTAGGTACCTGGTTGTAAGTCATCCTACACCTGCTGTCCCTGCTCATGTAGCAGTAAGTAGGTACCTGGTTGTTAGTCATCCTACACCTGCTGTCCCTGCTCATGTAGCAGTAAGTAGGTACCTGGTTGTTAGTCATCCTACACCTGCTGTCCCTGCTCATGTAGCAGTAAGTAGGTACCTGGTTGTTTAAGTCATCTACACCTGCTGTCCCTGCTCATGTAGCAGTAAGTAGGTACCTGGTTGTTAGTCATCCTACACCTGCTGTCCCTGCTCATGTAGCAGTAAGTAGGTACCTGGTTGTAAGTCATCCTACACCTGCTGTCCCTGCTCATGTAGCAGTAAGTAGGTACCTGGTTGTTAGTCATCCTATACCTGCTGTCCCTGCTCATGTAGCAGTAAGTAGGTACCTGGGTGCTACTCATCTGATGTGGGTTGCATCCTGGGGAGAGAATTAAAGGACACTAATGGATTATTATTATTATAATCAAGGGGAAGCGCTAAACCCGTAGGATTATACAGCGCCTGGGAGGGGGGGGTGTGGAAGGCATTCAGACTTAATTCGGGGAACTGGAGCACAGATCCAATTCTTTAAATCAAGAGCCCCTCACCAACATCAAGGAACCTTCCTTGAGGGGTACATAAAAGGCAGTCTGATTATTACCTGGCTTTATTGTGCTATCCTGGGTTACTTCTTCTCTTAGTTAATAATACAAATAATCTTCAACTTTATTGGGTTTTCCTAGGTTACATCTACATAATGTACGTACTACTATATACTGCAGTGAATATGTATGCCTACAACATTTATATGCCCTAAAAAAATAAAAATTGTAAGAACAAATCTTTCTTTGTAATACAGTTTGTAAGTTGTTGTAAATAATAATTGACAATAATAATCTTTATTTCTGCAAATAATGTACAAGGTATATACACCATAGCTGACATCAGTGACATACCACTACTGTACAGAAAGCCCCTTGTTCTGCAGAACATTTCTGGCAAATTAGGTCAGTTTTGTCCCCAGGATGCAACCCACACCAGTCCACTAATAAATGAAAGATTATTAATGCTGTCCCATAATGATAATAATAAACATTTAGTTGTCTTCTATTTTAAGTAATTTCTCATCATTTACTCAGTATTTTTTTGTTATGCTGTTATATAACCATAATTAAGACATTCTAACTGTGAACAGGTGTCATCTGTGTGAAGAGGTAACTACTGACTTATAGTAATGCTGCAACAACTTGCCTAAAGTTAACATGAATTGGGTTGGTGGAGTCCGTCGGCGAGTGCTGTTAAGAGAGGAAGAACGTCGCCGCCAGGAGCAGTTCTTTGCTGCACATGTATCTTCTGCAAGACACCGGAATAGGTGAAAATCTTTGTTGTGTTTATTAATGTGCAGTTAACTATCTGTCTCTTTTAATTCATTCCATTTGCCTACCTCTCTGATTTCTTTTTTTTTTTAGTTATTCTTTGGTTCCACTTTTCCTTAATATATATTTGTAACCTCTTGCTTTCATTGTTGCAGGTATATTAAGAAATCCTATTATAGTCCTTTTATGACCTTATATGTACTCACCATGTCTGTTTTCTTCCTATCAGCCAGCATGGACATTTTTTAGCATTTAAAGTCATCATAATTCATATTTCTTTGAATCTTTTCTAATTGAGCAATGTTTACTAATTTAGCAATGTGTATTTTTTAGGTATAAGGACCACACAACTGCTGCATATAACAAATTTGATCTTATATATATTGTAAGCAGATTTTTTTATGATTTCTTGCATTTGTTTGAAAGCTGTTTTGTTATTAGCCAGTGTTTACCTGGAGTTTACCTGGAGAGAGTTCCGGGGGTCAACGCCCCCGCGGCCCGGTCTGTGACCAGGCCTCTCTGGTGGATCAGAGCCTGATCAACCAGGCTGTTACTGCTGGCTGCAATGATGATTTTCTATCAATTTTGTTTACATGATCTTTAGATAACAAATTTTTGTTAAGATTAACTCTTGGATCCCTACTCTCTTTCTGATATTGTACTTTTAACATTTCTTTCGGTTGTATTCTTCATGTTTACGCTTTCATTTTTTCTTATTTCCCTAACGTGGAATTTATCTGCATTGTTAAATTTCACCATCCATCTATGACTCGTTTGCTCAGTTTATCCAGGTCATTATGTAGGGATTTATTGTCAATTTTATTAGTATTTATTTTGGCTAAGATTTATACAAACATGTTCATATAGTTTTTATTTCTTCTTGTAAATCAGTTATATAAATTAAAAATGTTGTTAGGTCTAGTAAGGATCCTGGCAGTGCCCCACTTGCAACATCTCCCTACGAGGGCATTTTTTCAAAGTGTTTACACGACCATAACACAAGACATAGATCTCTTGTTGATGTACCCCGTGTCCATGTCACACTGTGTAAAAACTCTATGCACATAAAGGGCTCCAAAATTTGGAATTAATTACTAGAAAATACTAAAGTAATCTGGTCTGAAAATCAATTTAAGACTCTTCTAAAAAACCACTTACTCGCCCTGGACTAAATAATCAATACTCAATATTTTACTTTACCAATAAATCTCCCATTTACTTAAATCTTAAAACCTCAAGACAACTAATAGCAAATTGATCATCTTGTTATGTATTGTTCCAGTCACGGTATTGTGCCTTTTTTGTTATTTTTTACGTTATACATTGTAATGCGACAAATTCACAACTAAATGCTTCAAAATTGAAATGTTCAAAGTTCATTGTTTCAAATACTCAGTTGTACATCATACTGTAAATTGTTTACGGTAATTTTTACCACTGTATCTATCATTGCTTAGTTAATTTTAAGTTAATTTTATGCCTGCCCATAATGCTATGCATACAAGGGGCTTTTGTCATGTACACCCAACTACTATAATTCCTTGTACAACTATGTATCATGTCCAAATAAAGTATTGTATTGTATTGTAATAGTACTTAGATGAAGGTAATGAACATTTTTGTCTCATGGATTTAGATGTATGATAGGGTGGATTGAGAAGCAATGTGGCAAACAGCCTGTCTCTGTTTGCCCTATCAATTCCTCCAGGGTCCTTTATTCTTTCTCCTTGGCTCTGAAACTAGTCTTGTTGCATACTTCTACACTTTTTCCAGTTTCTTAACATGCTTCTTCAGGTGTTGGTTCTATACAAGTGCTGCATGCTCAAAGATAGGCCTAACATATGTTGTATAAAACACTCTGTTGAGATTTCTAAATACCACTCTTAGGTTTGTCCAATTCCCAGGTCCTTCTCTTTGAAGGTATGGTCTTCTGGCCCCTCCCCAATCTTCATAATCTTGCATTTACTGAGGTTGAATTCAAACAGCCCCTTATCTGACCAACCCTGCAGTTTGTCCAAATCTTTTTGCAGCCTTTTCCCATCCTCATCTGTTTTGTATTCTCTTCATTAGTTTTACATCATCGATTAATAGAGGTACATTTGACTTGATTCTGACTGGTATGTCATTTACATACACCAGAAACAACACTGGTCTTATTACCGAACTTGTGGTACACTGTTTCTTTTCCCCATTCATCTCTCATTGGATAATCACTCTTTGCTTCCTTCCTCTAAGGCACCCTTTGATCCACTGGAGTATGTTTCAGTTATTCCTGCCTGCATTTCAAGGTTTTACCTGTCTCATTTTGGGCACAGTATTAAATGCCTTCTTGCAGTCCAAGAAAATGAACTCCACTCGACCCCTTCTCTCCAGTCTCGCTTCTTTTACTGTCATAGAATTCCAAAAGGTTAATAAGACAAGGTATGCAAGTTTGCAAATTGGTTGTGATTCCTTTTCACTTATTGTAATGCCATAAAAGGACAACCATTGACTTGTATCATAACTTGTTTTTCAGGATATCTCAGGGAAGCAGTAGTATTAAGCCTGGGTATGTGTCCTACCTTGCAGAATCGTCAGAAAAACTTCAGCCGGCTGGAACCATGCCCCTACGACCTAGAACAGGTCAGCACATACAAGAACTTATTACTCTAAGAGTATTTTTGAAGTTGTGGAGGCACTCCCCTTTTTGCGAATTACTGTACATAAGATTTTAGTATAAAAAACTGTTCAGTATACCCAGAACTGAATGGTATAGTTAGGATAATGATTTAAAGTAAAGAATACAAATACTGTGTACAACTTTGTCCAAATGCTTTGCAGATTCTTTTGTCCAAATACTTTACAGATTCTTTTAGAGAGAAGTGTTGTATGCAAGAGTGTTTCCAAATACAGTATTGCAACACTATGTTCATTGGTTATATTCTTTGCTTGATATTGTTTTTGCTCTGGCATAAAAAAAGGGTTGTTCCTGGGATGGGCAAACACTTGGCAGGGAAGGTTGGAATTAAAAAAGAAAGGCAAAAGTTTGTAGGGTAACATATATATACATCTTAATATGAGGAAGTGGAGCTATCCTCTCTTTTCTTGGATTGAAGCTGTTTACCTTCCATTTCCTAGGTAATGTATCATCCCATAGCCAGTGCATCAAAAAACTTATACTGCATGTAAAAATTTGTACTGCATGTATATAATGTATGACTGTATTATACTCCATATATTTGCAACATTGAGGCATTGTCTTTCTGTATGCCATGGAAAACAAAGCACAGTATTGTCAGTAAATTAATAATTTTATTCACAGGGTCTCAAAGGTGGAGAAATGAGGAGATGGTCTGTAAGCGAATTAAACAAGGTTCTGCTTCCTTGAATTACAAAGTTGAAAAGGTAATACTGTACAGTAATTGTTTTAGAGGTGTAAGAGGTATGGGGTAGATTTAAGAATGTAGTGATGGTGTGTGCAGCAGAAGTCTGTGGATATAGGAAGGTGGGTGCAGAAGGTAAAAAAGAGTGATTGGTGGAATGATGAGGCAGAGAGAGTGGCAAGGAAGAAAAAGTTAGCATATGAGATTGCAGGCACTGTACCTCTCACCTCCAGAACTCAAGTCTGGCTAACTGGTTTCCTTGAATCCCTTCACAAAATGTTACCTTGCTCACTCTCCAACAGCTCATCAGGTCGCAAAAACCATTCACTCCTTTCTAACATGCCCACACATGCCACGCATACAAAACCAGGATCATTTATCCCCTTCCTCCATCCTTTCCTTGGACGATCCCGACCATGCCTCCCCTCCATTACAGATTTATACACCCTCCAAGTCATCTTATTGTGCTCCATCCTCTAAATGTCCAAACCACCTCAACAACCCCTCCTCAGCCCTCAGGATAATACTTTTTGTAACCTGCACCTCCTCTTAATTTCCAAGCTATGATTTTTCTACATAATATTTATACCACACATTATTTATTTATTTATTGAACAATTATGTATTTTGTTTCATTTAGTTTTTGTTTGTATCATACTGTTTGCCTCGTTCATGTATTGTATGGGTGTTTATATTTGTATTTTATTTAATCCACTAATAATGCACACAGCTGAATTAAGTCTGTTACAATTTCATATCCATTCAATAATGCTGTGGAATTCAAATATAAATGACTTTTCTTATATGGAAGAGCCTTCGTTCTTTGATGGACTCGTTATCATTCACTGCAGCAATGTAACGTTAAAATAAGTAACGCTGCAGCCAGTAGTGAGTGTGAAGGAAAGAAAGTGCCATCACTTCTTGCAGATAATGTACATCATGGAAGTAACACACTTTCTGGTAACTCAAGAGCTCGTCGTATTAAGCCAACATCCATCCATGGACCATTTTCAAAGTTTTTATTAAAGGTTAGCCGATTTTTTTAATGTGTGTATATATGTGTGTGATTAGATATTTATTCACAAAAAGTAATGTAATACGAATCTGTTTTACATTCTCATTGTCAACTCCTAGATTGTTGAAATTTAAGAAATGAATAGGTACAAAAAAGTGTGAATAGGATAGGCATACCTTGTCCCTTTTGTGGTAGAATAGAGTGTTAGGTGCATATTTTACTATAGAATTTGTAGGACAATATTAAAATATACCATGGATAGTCATATCTCACAAATGCCAAATTCTGTGACTGATGTAGTTTCAATGTACAGTGGAACCTCTACTTGCGAGCGTGTCCACATACGAGTTTTTCCAAATACAAGCAGTCGATGGATCGATTTTTTGCTTCCATACGCAAGCAAAATTTCCACAAGCGAGCAGACCTCAAGGCAGGTTCCTTGACACTGGTGAGGGGCTCTTGCTCTTGATCTCGGGAATTGTATCCCATTTGTTTGTTGGACTATCTTATTGAAACTTGGGCAATGTATGATGGAAAGATGCTTCTTAACGTACACCAAAAATGAAAGAAATCTAAGCCTAAATAATGGAGTTCACTTCTCAGCAATTAGCCACCCCTTAGCGGTAATTTCGAATGGTTTTTATGGTTGTATTCTCGTTTTCTATTCATTTTAGAGTATATATCAGGTTTCTATGTTATTTTTATTGTTTATTATGTCATATTAGATGAAGTGAGATAGATAAATAAGCTGTAGAGTTGATATTAGCGAAATTATTGAAGTACAGAATTCCACTGGAACGGATTAATTGCATTTCAATTAATTTAAATGAGGAAGATTGACTCTGCAAACGAGCAAATCCAGTTGCGAGCAAGATCATGGAACGCATTAAACTCGCAAGTAGAGGTTCCACTGTATTTGTATAATTGCTTAGAAACCCTGTGTTCAGGTAGAATATTGAATGTTGTTGAATGGTAGTGTACTGGATTTTGGGAGTGTAATATAAATGGTCTTTTGAATGTAGTTGAACAGGAAATTTATATGGATATTTTTTATTAATGTTTACCAGTAGTTGTTTCAATTAAAAAATGTAAATGTCATTAACTCTTCAGCTGGAAATGGAAGGTATTGAGAAGAAGTCACAGCAGCAAGATTTACTTAGAAGTTCAGAAGGGAGACAGCCAGAGATCTCTGGTAACAGAAGACTATTTGAAGAATCAGAGAGTGAGAGAGAGAGAAGAGAAACTGGAAATCATGAGGGTAATGATGAAGAAATGAAAATAAGGAATATAGATACAGTGGTCAAGAGTAACATAAATTATAAATCTGAAAATATTTTACGAGACAGAAATAAAGATGGCAAGAATACCAAGAGTGAAAATGGTAAACTGGGAGAGAAAGGTTTCAAGAATAAGGAAAAAGAAGCAACTGAAATTCACAGCAAGAATAAGAAAAGTGAAATTAAAGTGGAGTTGACAGATGTGAATAAAAAATCCAACTTTATCCACAGAACTAAAACTGACAAAACAGAAAATAGAAAAAATAATTATGGCATTCAACAGAATTACTGCATCAGTAAAAGTAAAAAACACAAATATAATTTGAAAGAGACAGAAGATAAAGAAAAAATCAGAGAAGACACTTTTAGAGAAAATAAAGTTGAGAAGGAACTTCATGCAAAGTATGAAACTCAGAAAATAAAAAGTCATAAAAACACTAAAAATAGAGTAACTGACAAAACAAAAGTTGATAAAAGACAGAATTTGTTAGATAAAGAAATAATACAAAAAAATTGCACAGCAAAAAAAATGACTGAAGAACTGGGTAACAAGGAACACTTGAGACATACAAGGAATAAAAGTACTGAGACATGTGGAGATTTAAATTTAAAACTAATGGACTTAAGATCTAAACAGACAAATTTGGATTTATCAGAAACCAATAATTCAAAACTAGATAAGAAAGATGAGATGAAAGGAGAGGAGAGGAATTTTTATTTAAGAGAAAGAAGTGCACAGATGAAAAAAGGTAAGCAAAAGAATAAGGATAGCAAATCTGACGCACTTCAAATGTCATCCAGAAATCCTGTATGTGGTAAAAATAAAAACAAAGTAGTTAGTAGCATTCCAGTACCAAGTCTTCTGATTGGGGCTCCGCGTGTAAGACAGATGCTTTCATTGAGTCCTAAACGACACAAAGGAAGGATTTGGGCACCATTGAACTTGCCCCAAGAGCCCTTTTTAGGGAAAGATAATGGAAATAATGACGGATGTGACTCTGAAGAAAAATATAAGCATCAAAAGTGCAGATGTATGAAAGATTGTGGTAGTACTGGCAGCAAGGAAAACAGTGAATGGGAAGAAAGGCGCTTAGAAATGCTTTTGGGTCCTCGGCTTCACAATTCACCAGGTGTTTGCTCTATTCCATGTGATATTCAGAGGAACAGTGATCAAATAAAAAATCTTGATGCATTTGAACAATCACATAGCAGAGATGTAATGCCACTTTTGAGAGCTTCTTCAGTGGAAAATGATGAACATTTAAAACCAAAAGAAGCAAGTAATGGTTCTAAAATGTTTGAAAACTCATTACCTCTAGATGTAAGAAGACTCGGAAAAAGAAAGCTGCAAATAATTTATAAAAATATTGATAAGATTCAAGAGGAAATTTCTCAAAAAGTGTTGCAAAATAAGCCTAAACTTAGCTCATTTACTCGCAAAATAGAAAAAGTTGAAGGTGGCTTGAGCTTTGCTCGTCAAAGAAAGGATAAAACTCCATATATGGATAAGGGTTTCAGTACTCCCTGGAATTTAAGTAAATTATTTAATACTTCGAATAGTAGCAAATCTTCATCTAAAACTCCCTCTGATCCTACACTGGAGAGATCACAAGAGGATCCTTTTGGAAGTCAAGGAGGATCAGAGCTCTGCAATGCTACTGCTGATCATACAACACAAGTTTTGTTGAATTTTGACAATCGTGAAGAGCCTGAAGAAAATAGCAAAAGCAGAGCTAGGGAAATTAGTTCATATTTCTCCTTAAATCAGGTGTCTACTGAGAAAACTAGATTATCCTCAACTCATAGAGAGGATGAAATGGAAAATGTTATTACAAGTTGTGTAAGCAAAAAAGATAACAGCTCATCAGTAGATTTAGATAAGAGCCCAGATATAGATGATTGTGCATTTTATCATACCAGTAAGAAGAATAAGTTTCCTTCTGATCAGTTGAACGACAAAATGCCAGATTGTGCAAAGAGCGAGTCTCAGGCTCTCATGTGTGGTACGCAAGTTCATTGTTTCAAGTCTTTTCCTGTAAACTCTCCACAAAGTTGTTTCCAACCTTTAAGCAGACCTAAACATCACATCTCATGTAATAATGATTATTACCCACAGGCTGTAGCCTATGATGGTCATGTTTTTCAGACTGATAGAGAGCTACCCTATATATCTGGTGAAGAAACCAATTTACAAGGTGTTTTTCTTAAGGATGTGAACCCTTCACATACTTTGAATAGAGATACTGTAAGTTCACAGAACTTCAGTAACTTAATTAATGCATCACAGTCACATGTCAGGAAGAATGTCGTATTACACAGTCAAGCAGAAACATGCTCTTTGTGGTCTTCAAGTAATGATCATGCATTTTCAAACAGTTGTAAAAATGAAATACTGAAGACAGAAACTTCATCCAATAATTTCTTCACTTCATATAACCTTAATAATGAAGCACGAGTTCCAGTTAGGGAAAGAAGCTTTTTACTTGCTCCTTGGTATGAGACTGATTCATTGCAGGCTTCAGATATTCACTTAGCTAATAGATCAACAGGAATGCAATGTGAAACAAATTCAACTCAGTTTACATCACAGTTAAATTCTTCGGAAGGTACAATGCAAGACACGTACAAAAAGCAAGGCTACTCACATCTGTTGGCTACTGTCCAACAGACTCCATCTGTTAACATCACAAGTACTGTTTCACATAATGTCGTAAATCTAATGCCAGAAGGGAAGTGTAATCTTGTAAGCAAATGGATGGACACTGCACAAGAAAGAGAACCTGATAGTTCTCAGATAACTTTCAAAAAAGATATTTGTTCTAGTGCGTCTCAAAATATTTTATATTCTGACGTGACAGGCAACAATATAGAGCCTCATGATTACTGTCAGAATGTGAAACAAATGAGATATTCCAATGAACTGGAAGGATCTGTGATCCATAATGAGACTGTGATGAATTATGATAACAGTAGCACCAGGGAAGTTGTTGGTGATGGCGATCATCTTCAAACTGAGCAAGAATATAAAAAACAGAAATATGCATTTATTAACAGTGAGGATGTTTTTAGAAACAGATTTATGAAGGAAAACTTTGATAGTTCACTTTTCGTAAGAGAAGAGAATGGACAAAATCCCAGCGAGCTTCATGACCTTAAGATATCCGAAAATAATATATGTATTGAAAAACTTGGGCATGATTCCGAGAGAATCAGCAGTAGTTTTAAGGATAACACAAAACATTCTATAAATACAGCAGTAGACAAAGCAAAGTTACAAGAATTACACTCTGCATATTTTTTAGGAAATAACACACACAAATTAATTTCTGAAGAGGGAGCTGCACAATTCCTAGGCAGTGGGAAAGATTGGGGAGAAGTGAGGAGTAGAATTCTGAATACGCATGCAGATAAAGAGTCGAAATTGCCAACAGCAGCAAAAGTTAAAGGAGATAATATAATTCAGATTACAAATAACAAATTAAATAAAATCTCTGGGGAATGTTCTCAGGATAATACAAGGCAAGTTGAAAATTTTACTTCAGATATGACCCTGAAAAACTTCAAACAAAATACTGGTAAAGAAAGTAATAGGCAGTCATCAACCACTTCTAGAGGTCAGTTTTTTAACTTGTGTTAATACTATTGTAGTTTTAAAAATAGAACCAATTAAGATGATATAAATTAAATTTGTTAATACATCAATCATTGCAATTTGATATTATACTGCAGGATGCAGTGTAGACCCTCCCTCTATTATTGATTTAGAATAGTTTTGCAAGCTCCTCCATACTAAAACCTCTCACTTCTCCCACCACCTTTAGTATCTATGCTTATTCACTATACATTTTAAAAACATTTATTCTCCGCACTTGACCAATTCATTTATCGTTTTCATTTATAATGTTGTGCCTTATATATCTATTAGTTTCATTCTATATTTTTTTAATTAATTTTCAGAGATTGAAAAATCATTTTAGCATTTTCTTTTTACCTTCTGGCCACTCTGGTTTTATGGATTAGTGTTGCATTTTATTGCCTCAGTACAGTGACTTTTTTTTCCTTTGTTTTACAAATCTTTGTTGTTCTCACTGGTTAAAAAGTTCTCCCTAATACTGTATGTTATCATGTTTGCCATAGCCCATCTGTTCTCTGCATTATATTTACTGGCTAACAAGTGTTGTCCCATTTGTTTTCTGTATTTAATTTATTGCCTCGTAAGTGTTTCTCCATATTATACAGTGGACCCTCGCCTAACGAACGCATCGCATAACGTTAAATTCGCCTAACAATACATTTTAACGCTAACATTTTGCCTCGGCTAATGCTAAAAAACTCGCCTAACGATATTCGTTTTCGGGTACCAATTAATATCGTTAGGTGAGGTCCACCGTATTTATATAATACAGTGGACCCCCGGTTTACGATATTATTTCATTCCAGAAGTATGTTCAGGTGCCAGTACTGAATGAATTTGTTTCCATAAGGAATATTGTGAATTAGATTAGTCCATTTCAGACCCCCAAACATACACGTACAAACGCACTTACATAATACACTTACATATATGGTCGCATTGGGAGGTGATCGTAAAGCGGGGGTCCACTGTATAATGGTGGTCTAGGTAAAAGAGGTCTTCTCTTCTGGCTGAACTACGTATATTTCTGGTTAACCAGACTTAAGTCTTGGAAATGGGAAGTACAGCGTCAGCACTTTGAAGGAGGGGTTTGGGATATTGGCAGTTTGGAGGGACTTCTGAACTGTTGTATCTGAGCACGTCTGTAAAGACAGTGATTATGTATGAGTGAGGTGAAAGTGTTGAATGATGATGAAAGTACAGTGGACCCCCGCTTAATGATCAGCTCCCAATGGGACCAATTATGTAAGTGTATTTATGTAAGTGCATTTGTACGTGTATGTTTGGGGGTCTGAAATGGACTAATCTAATTTACAATACAGTGGACCCCCGCATACCGTTGGCATCACATAACGTTAAATCCTCATACCGATACATTTTATCACTAAGATTTTGCCTCGCATACCGCTAAAAAACCCGCTCAACGCTATTCGTCCGAGACGCGTCTAATGTGCGGCCTGAGCCAGCCTCACATGTTCTGCCGGTGGCATTGTTTACCAGCCAGCCTCCGTGGTAACATCCAAGCATATAATCGGAACATTTCGTATTATTACAGTGTTTTTGGTGATTTTATCTGCAAAATAAGTGACCATGGGCCCCAAGAAAGCTTCTAGTGCCAACCCTACAGGAATAAGGGTGAGAATTACTATAGAGATGAAGAAAGAGATCATTGCTAAGTATGAAAGTGGAGTGCGTGTCTCCGAGCTGGCCAGGTTGTATAGTAAACCCCAGTCAACCCTCGCTACTATTGTGTCCAACAAAACGGCAATCAAGGAAGCTGTTCTTGCCAAAGGTTCAACTGTGTTTTCGAAACAGAGATAGCAAGTGATGGAAGATGTTGAGAGACTCTTATTGGTATGGATAAATGAAAAACAGATAGCAGGAGATAGCATCTCTCAAGTGATCATAAGTGAAAAGGCTAGGAAGTTGCATGAGGATTTAATTAAAAAAATGCCTGCAACTAGTGATGATGTGAGTGAGTTTAAGGCCAGCAAAGGTTGATTTGAGAGATTTAAGAAGCGTAGTGGCATACATAGTGTGATAAGGCATGGTGAGGCTGCCAGTTCGGACCACAAAGCAGCTGAAAAATATGTGCAGGAATTCAAGGAGTACATAGACAGTGAAGGACTGAAACCTGAACAAGTGTTTAATTGTGATGAAACAGGCCTGTTTTGGAAGAAAATGCCAAGCAGGACCTACATTACTGAGGAGGAAAAGGCACTCCCAGGACATAAGCCTATGAAAGACAGGCTTACTCTGTTGATGTGTTCCAATGCTAGTGGTGATTGCAAAGTGAAGCCTTTATTAGTGTATCACTCAGAAACTCCCAGAGCGTTCAGGCAAAAGAATATCCTCAAGGCTAATTTGTGTGTGCTGTGGAGGGCAAACAGTAAGACATGGGTCACTAGGGACTTTTTCTATGACTGGTTACACCAAGCATTTGCCCCCAATGTGAAAGATTACCTAACTGAAAAGAAATTAGACCTTAAGTGCCTCCTGGTGTTAGACAATGCCCCTGGTCATCCTACAGACGTGGCAGAGCGACTTTATGGGGACATGAGCTTCATTAAGGTGAAGTTTTTACCTCCTAATACCACTCCTCTCCTGCAGCCCTGGACCAGCAGGTTATTGCAAACTTCAAAAAACTGTACACAAAAGCTCTGTTTGAAAGGTGCTTTGTAGTGACCTCAGAAACTCAATTGACTCTAAGAGAGTTTTGGAGAGATCACTTTAATATCCTCAATTGTGTAAACCTTATAGGTAAGGCTTGGGAGGGAGTAACTAAGAGGACCTTGAACTCTGCTTGGAAAAAACTGTGGCCAGAATGTGTAGACCAAAGGGATTTTGAAGGGTTTGAGGCTAACCCTGGGAATCCTATGCCAGTTGAGGAATCCATTGTGGCATTGGGAAAGTCCTTGGGGTTGAAGGTTAGTGGGGATGATGTGGAAGAGTTGGTGGAGGAGGACAATGAAGAACTAACCACTGATGAGCTGCTAGATCAACTTCAACAGCAAGAGGCCAGACCTGAGGAAACTGCTTCGGAGGAGGGGAGAGAGAAATTGAAGAAGTTGCCTACTTCAAAGATTAAGGAAATGTGTGGAATGTGGCTTAAAGTGCAAACCTTTTTTGATGACAATCACCCTAACACAGCTATTGCAAAGCCGTGCTGGTGACTATTACACTGACACTGTGTGAAACACTTTAGAAAGTCATAAAGGAACGAGAGGTACAGGCCACTATGGACAGATATTTGTGCGACAGAAGTCCAGTGACTCTGAAGCTGGTCCTAGTGGCATTAAAAGAAGGGAAGTAACCCCAAAAAGGACTATGACACCTCAAGTCTTAATGGAAGGGGATTCCCCTTCTAAACACTAAGACTCTCTCCTCCTCCCATCCCATCAATCATCACCAGATCTTCAATAAAGGTAAGTGTCATGTAACTGTGCATGACTTTTTCAGTTTGTGTGTATTAAAATTAATATTTCATGTGGTAAAATTTTTTTTTCATACTTTGGGGTGTCTTGCACAGATTAATTTGATTTCCATTATTTCTTATGGGGAAAATTCATTCGCATAACGATAATTTCGCATAACAATGAGCTCTCAGGAACGGATTAATATCGTTATGTGGGGGTCCACTGTATTCCTTATGGCAACAAATTCGTTCAGTACTGGCACCTGAACATACTTCTGGAATGAAATAATATCGTAAACCGGGGGTCCACTGTATGTATTTTCTTTTTGGGGATTTTCTTTCTTTTTGGGGTCACCTTGCCTTGGTGGGAGACGACCAACGTGTTAAAAAAAATGATATAATAAATACATATTTTTTTTTTTAACACGTCAGCCATTTCCCACCGAGGCGGGGTGACCCAAAAAGAAAGAAAAAACAAATTTCATCATCATTCAGTACTTTCACCATCATTCAGACATAATCACTGTCTTTGCAGAGGCACTCAGCTATGACATACGATACATCCCTCTAGCGCCTGGAACCAATCTTGTGCGGAAAACATTATAAACTGAGTCAAAAAAGGAGAATTAGTGTGCACTACCTAGCAGAGTTTATTGCCAGAGGGGAATCTTAGGCCTGTGTTCTGTGTGCAAAATAATAATAATAGAACTTTTCTTTGTCAGAGGAAAGAAAGTCTCCCTGATAACATTGTGTATACATAGTGTATAGTGTATACTACAGTGGCTCCCTAGTATATAGATGATAAAGGCTAAAGTGTCATTTTGAAAACAGGTGAATTTGTAAATGAAGTGATAAGCCTATAGAGGCAGGTGCCAGAAGTCGCCAGAATCTTACCACAGTGGTCAGCTGTTTTAATAATCTTCCTGGCCTGCTAGTGTACTCGCATATAATCTAGTGATACCAGTGAATAGCAGAATACAGTGTTGTAGTAGCAACTAACCAGTATTATAATGGTACTTAGTGGAGTGGAGTGACTTTCATTAGTTTCTTTTTTCTTGAAATACCAGACGTATACTGTGAATTTCATATAACCTGTAGTTACCAGCGGTCGCAATATACACAACGAGAAGCAATTATTACTACAGAAAAAGCGTCCTTCCTCCAAAATTTCCACCAGTCAACTATAGTGATAATTTTTTTTTATTATCACACTGGCCGATTCCCACCAAGGCAGGGTGGCCCGAAAAAGAAAAACTTTCACCATCATTCACTCCATCACTGTCTTGCCAGAAAGGTGCTTTACACTACAGTTTTTAAACTGCAACATAAACACCCCTCCTTCAGAGTGCAGGCACTGTACTTCCCATCTCCAGGACTCAAGTCCGGCCTGCCGGTTTCCCTGAACCCCTTCATAAATGTTACTTTGCTCACACTCCAACAGCACATCAAGTATTAAAAACCATTTGTCTCCATTCACTCCTATCAAACACGCTCACGCATGCCTGCTGGAAGTCCAAGCCCCTCGCACACAAAACCTCCTTTACCCCCTCCCTCCAACCTTTCCTAGGCCGACCCCTACCCCACCTTCCTTCCACTGCAGACTGATACACTCTTGAAGTTATTCTGTTTCGCTCCATTCTCTCCACATGTCCGAACCACCTCAACAACCCTTCCTCAGCCCTCTGGACAACAGTTTTGGTAATCCCGCACCTCCTCCTAACTTCCAAACTACGAATTCTCTGCATTATATTCACACCACACATTTATTGTGGTGGAGACGAAAAAAAACTAGAAAAGCTAGATACAGCGATTGATAAACAAGGGTTGAGGCTCGACCGTTCGTCATTGTAGGAGCTGCCAGAAATCACCGGTTCTTCAACACGCAAGTTATACTTTTGTATCAATCAAATCACATATTACTCGGGTAGATAATTTCAAGTAGATCCTTCATGTGTTAGCCCAAATCACCGACCAGTATGTTTTAAATAAGTGACCCACTGATCAGATCAGATCGACTGGTCCGAACCCTCAACTGGTCCGAACCCTTGATGGTCCGAACCCTTGACTGGTTACAAACGGATTCGTTGGACAATAAAGCAGACTGTAAACGGATGGGGTTGTAGGCGCCCTTATCAAACACAAACAATAAATATAAATCAGGAACGTACACGGTAAGCTGTCCAATATACAAGTACAGTTAGAAATAGAAATACAAATAGCTAGAGCTTCATTTAAGGAGGTTATTAATAGAGTATTCAAGAGGTTGCTAGTAGAATTATAGTAAATCAACCATTCAAATCATTATGAAGCTCTGTGTAGTCTGCAGTCAATCAAACAAACGGGCTTCCACATGGATAAATTGTCATTTTTGTGGAAATTGGTGTCACGCCCCTTGTGCAGATATCCAAGAACTAGCTACAAGCAGTATTAAAACAGGGAAGTGTTTTTGGGTATGCCCAAATGAGATAAATCTGTGGACTAAAATCACAAGGGTATTAAAAGAGGATAACATCAAAGCTGCTTTCATAGACAACCTGGAAGCTTTCTACAACAGATGGGAACATAAAAAGTCTGGGCTGAATGGTACTGCCCTTGATACTGGCCATGTAGTCAGAAACTGTAAGGCTGGAGGTGATGTCCTGGTAGTCAGTAAATGTGGGGCTGATAGTGCTGTCCTGGGAGACAGTAATGGTGAAGCTGGAGGTGCTGTCCTGGGAGACAGTAATGGTGAAGCTGGATGTGCTGTCCTGGGAGACAGTAATGGTGAAGCTGGAGGTGCTGTCCTGGGAGACAGTAATGGTGAAGCTGGAGGTGCTGTCCTGGGAGACAGTAATGGTGAAGCTGGAGGTGCTGTCCTGGGAGACAGTAATGGTGAAGCTGGAGGTGCTGTCCTGGGAGACAGTAATGGTGAAGCTGGAGATTTTGTCCAGGTAGTCGGGAATTATACGCAGGAAGGAATACATATAAATGACCTCATAGGGGACAGGAGCCGTAGTGGGGAAACAAGTGTAGTCAAAGATAAGATAAAACCAATATTGCAAACTAGAAATACCACAGGAAATAGCAAACAAGAGGACTCCACTAGTAATAGTGAGGATATATTACCAAAAACAACTGGTGGGAGCTCCATTGTTGGTGCTAGGGAGGATAGGAATAAGACAGGGAAACATGCACCAACAGGGAATACAGTCACAGAAACCCAAGGCAAACAGAAACCAAGCCTGTGAATATTGCTGCACTCTAACAGCACCTTTCAAGGCAGGTGAAATTGCCGACCTAGAAAATGTACAGAGAACTTTCACGGCGCGCATAACGGAGATAAAACACCTCAATTACTGGGAGCGCTTGAGGTTTCTAAACCTGTATTCCTTGGAATGCAGGCGTGAGAGATACATGATTATATACACCTGGAAAATCCTAGAGGGACTAGTACCGAACTTGCACACGAAAATCACTCACTACGAAAGCAAAAGACTTGGCAGACGATGCAACATCCCCCCAATGAAAAGCAGGGGTGTCACTAGCATGTTTAGAGACCATACAATAAGTGTCAGGGGCCCGAGACTGTTCAACTGCCTCCCAGCATACATAAGGGGGATTACCAACAGACCCCTGGCAGTCTTCAAGCTGGCACTGGACAAGCACCTAAAGTTGGTTCCTGACCAGCCGGGCTGTGGCTCGTACATTGGTTTGCGTGCAGCCAGCAGCAACAGCCTGGTTGATCAGGTTCTGATCCATCAGGAGGCCTGGTCTCAGACCGGGCCGCGGGGGCGTTGACCCCCGGAATTCTCTCCAGGTAAACTCCAGACAGTCTAGATGTCACTCCAAACAGCCAATATCCCAAACCCTTCCTTTAAAGTGCGAGCATTGTACAGTGGACCCCCGGTTAACGAACTTTTTTCATTCCAGTAGTATGTTCAGGTGCCAGTACTGACCGAATTTTTTCCCATAAGGAATATTGTGAAGTAGATTAGTCCATTTCAGACCCCCAAACATACACGTACAAACGCACTTACATAAATACACTTACATAATTGGTCGCATTTGGAGGTGATCGTTAAGCGGGGGTCCACTGTACTTCCCATTTCCAGGACTCAAGTCCACTTAACTAGTTTCCCTGAATCCCTTCACAAAATATTACCTTGCTCACACTCCAACAGCTCATCAGAAACAGAGCTAGTTCTAAAAAATGTACATATGTACACACAGTACTTACCTTAAAATATTTTCGTTATTAGCATATAGTGAATGGTGAATATATTTATTGTAAGAAGTCTGAATAAATGAAAAATGAGCATAATTAAAAACTGCTGCATTAGCAAAATGCTGTAAAGCAGGACCCACCTTTATATATTTTCTCCTGATTTTCCTGTGTTCTCAAAATGCCAAAAATTTATTTAAGTTTTGCAGTGATTTATATATCTATTTGAATACACCTACCATCTGACTTACGACCGAGTTTGGTTCCGAGAAACCGGTCGTAAGTCGAAATGGTCGTAAGTCGAACTTTACTACTGAATATCAACAAAACATTTTTGTAATGACTTTATTTTATTGTTTTATTTTGGTATTTCATGTTTTACTTTACTTTTTATGCTGTAAGTACTGTATTTTATACTGTAAGGTTTAAGATAAACACTGTGTACAACACAAATAGTTGTTTATTTCCCAGAAATTTGGCATAAAAAACACGGTTGTAAGTCAAGTGGTCGTAAGTCGAGCAGGTCGTAAGTTGGATGGTAGGTGTATTATATAGTTTCGTATATACATTAGCTGTATAGTATCTACTCAACTGAAGTTGAGGAAGTACTTATATAGTTGTATTAATATAAAGTAAGATGTACATTTGCAAGTACATATTATACTATAGCTATACATAATAGGATTAAATTAATAATTTTATGTGGTAAAATAGCTTTATAATTATCTCTTATTTTTATTATAATCAAAAAGAAGCACTAAACCCACTAGGGTCAAACAGCTTAATTATCTCTTTTATTCTGGTATCCAAAGCTCTACTTTTTTTTAATACACTTTCTTACATTCCTTTAATATGAACCAAGTGGTTTCTCTCATCTGCTTTTTTTTTTTTTTTCACAGAGGTGTTAACAAATTCTTACTTGAATTAACGGCACATACACATCACTGTGTTGCAAAAGGGGTGCACTTTTTTAAAACGGTATTTTCTAAAATTTACCAGGAGGGGTGTTAATGTTGCAGTTTAAAAACTGTAGTGTAAAGCACCATTCTGGCAAGACAGTGATGGAGTGAATGATGGTGAAAGTTTTTCTTTTTCGGGCCACCCTGCCTTGGTGGGAATCGGCCAGTGTGTTAATAAAAAAAAAAATTACCGGTTTTCAAAATTATTAGTCAAAATTTTCCCAAATTTCATTAAGATATGTGAGGTCTGACAAATGATAAGGATTTCCCCCCTTTACTGATATGATAGTTTATAAATTTCTATGTGCAGTGATGTAGAATACAACATACATAAAATCTCTATATACAGTACTGCATTTATTGTTACATTTCTTTAGTAAATAAGGTTAATCAAGTACATGTACAATTACCGTAGCTGCATAAACCACTCAGGTTTATACAGGTACTCAATTTTAAGTTGTAAATCCTTCTGTAAAGCATTCTCTGAATTATGATGATGACTGTTCTTACTGTTAAATGTTTATTTACACTTTTTTAAATTCCCAGATGTCAGGAGCACTTTAGAAGAGCTGTTTACCAGGAATGAGTTAGAAGAATACCAGAGTGACCACCAAGACATAGACTTAGAGCTAGCTGCCCAGCAATTTAAAGAGGTTAGGCTTGAACACAGTCTATAGATGGATGTCATCTATGGGGGATGGGGTGCAGATTTTTTCCCCCTGGATCAGGTCTGTCAAGAAAAACAGCCTTATTGATAACTTTGTTATCCCTTTGCTTTCATTTTCCTCTCATTTGCCCCTTCTTCTGTAGGTGGTTGCTGTGGCCGAATCCTAGCTCCTGACCCCACCTTTCAATTTGCTGTTTGCTATATTCACTTCCTCCTAGCCTCACGGGCCCTACTGTACCTGCTCTTAAAACTGTGTATAGATCCTGCCAACCCCCTCTCCCCCAGTTAAGTACCTGTTCCCACCTCTCAAATAGCTTATCCCTGTCAGCCTCTCTCAATTTGTCTGAGTATTTTGCAAGTTATCATATCTCCCCTGATACTGTATTAATGAAGGGTGATATTCTTTTACTGACCCTGTGGTATTGATCCTTTATGATTACTACACTGGCTTATAATTTACATTATTTGTTATTGTCTACCTCTTTTTGAATAATTACTGTATGCAAGTAGTGTTTCAGCTTCCTAGTATTGATTCTGTCTTCATCGTTGTACAGCAATGAATGACCCATTTGGGGTTTAACATGGTGAATAATAATAATTTATTCCTCTGTATGTCAAAAGCCGCATACTGAAAGCATAAGGCACTTCATTCAGTATAACTGCTTGGTTCTGTTGGCTTTTCCATATTCAGCTTTGTCAGGGTTTCTTCACCCCTTTTCTTCTGTCAACCACTTTATATTGCTGTATTTCTTGGTGTGGTCTCTTAGTTCCAGTGTTAGTGAATATCTTTGAATGTTTACATCCTGTGTACATATGATACATACACATTTAACCTTTTTGATAACTTTTTAAGAGTTGAAAATTTTAGATTATGGAAATGTTTTAGAGAAGTGTAATTGCTTTACAAGTACACTAAGTAGACTACTCAGGGAAATGATGTAACATTATTTTGACTAGTACTGTTTACATCCATACAACTCCTGGCCAGGTTACAAATCTCTGCAGGCGTATACCATTAATATATTGTTGAATTTCACATAAATGATTATTTTTGGATCTGACACTTTTCTTCAGTTTAGTAACAACACTAGCCAACAAATTTTAAATTTTTATTCAGTTCAGAAACCAAGTATGTTGCTTTTAGCTAGGTTTTATGTGATGCTCATGAATCTGAGGTTTTTCAGTTTCTATTTAGGATATTTAAGGTTGAAGAACCACACGATATATATTACTTAACAATCATGGGTATTATATTATGCATAGATATTAAGTGTGGTGCATGTAATGGGAAGAACTAATCTTAACCCTTTGACTGTCACAAGCCCCTTTCTGAAACTGTCATTCTATGTCGATAAATTTTTTGGAAAAAAAAAAAAAATTTCTTATGAAATGATAGAGAATCTTTTCCTGATGGTAATGACACCAAAAGTACGAAATTTGGTCGAAAACTCGTGGAATTATGCTCCCGCAAAGTTAACAGTCTCGGCGACACATACGCATCGGTGATTTCGCCGACTTTGAGCCCTGTTTTGGCCAATTCTGTTGTTCCAGTTGACCAAACTCAAGCTATTTCTTTAGAACTCCATTTTTTCTATCAGTTGAGTACAAGAAACCACCCATTTACCGATTTGAACTACCCAATAAAGTGGTCAGAAACTAGCAATTTGACCAATTTCATGCAAATTAAAAAAGATGCCAATTTCAAAATAGGGTCCAGAATAAACATTGTAGACATTCTTGGCACTAAAATAACATATCCTCTGTTCATTAGTCATCTCTAGGCCCCTCTTATATTATTATTGCTTTCTATTTTGATTTTTTATTCATACAAAATTTACTGTTATGCAGACTACATGTACTGCATTATTGTAAAAATGGTATAAATAATATCAGTGCACTAGTGAAAGAATATTAGACTCCCCAGTTGAAGTGTATTGGACGTGTGTTATGATTTGCTTACTCCTGAACATTGGTAAAACTCTAACATTTCCGCTACTTTGAGCTCAATTTCAAGGTCGTTTTCATCGTGAAAGTAATCAAAATCATCTCTATTTCTGTAATATGTTTTCCATTTTATCACCTGAAACCGTGAAAACGAGAATACAACGATAAATACTGTATGAAAATACACCTCAAAGTTGGCGTTTTAATCCAAAAAAACGGTCAGTTTTTTTTTCTCATTACACACTGCGTGCTGCAGGATTTTTATGTGGTGCACACTGACCACACAGACCCATTCTCTCACATGTGGGCCTACCAGTTTTCTCCCGCTTGATTTGAAGCCGCTAGAATTTACGCATATAAATACGTCAGAAACAGTGGTGCGTAAGACGTATATATACGACCGAAACAGTCAAAGGGTTAATTATATACATGCATAAGAAAAATAACAGAAATTACCCTAGTCACCAGTATCTCGCAGTAAGTGGAAACAGAGTGTAAGGTTTCCCTGATATCTCTTCTCCATGATGGCTGTCAAAAGGTGGTTCTATTTCTCAGAAACCACACGTTAGAGCAAAACCACGTTCAGATTTGAATTCATGCATCCCATCCCAAAATTAATTAGACACGCATACTTTTAAACATGAACTGAAATAATTTTTTTTTTTAGTCATTGTAATACTTGTTCATTATGTATGTCTGCTTCACAGGTAATACACCTCAGAGATGATGATCTTCAAGAAGTATCTTTGATTGGTACTCCTCACACCTCCTAGCTCTTGTCATCAGTCTCCCCCAAACATCTAGACTTAAAAGTATAAATAGTACTTTTGTTCTTTTAGGATTATTTATTATTATAATCAAAAAGAAACACTAAGCCACAAGGGCTATACAGCTGTTCTTTTAGGAAGTTGCAGTTCCTCTAGATTTTTTTTTTTTTGTAACATCGCTGTTTCCCACCGAGGCAGGGTAACCTAAAAAGAAAGAAAAATACTTTCATCATCCAACACTTTCACCATCACTCATACATAATCACTGTCTTTGCAATGGTGCTTCAGATACGACAGTTTAGAAGTATGTACCTCCCAACTGCCACTATCCTAAACCCCTCCTTTAAAGTGCAAGCATTATACTTCCCATTTCCAGGACTCAAGTCCAGCTAACTGGTTTCCCCTGAATCCCTTCACAAAATATTACCCTGTTCACACTCCAATAGCTCGTCAGGTCCCAAAAACCATTTGCCTCCATTCACTCCTATCTAACATGCTCACGCACGCTTGCTGTAATCCAAGCCCCTTGCCCACAAAACCTCCTTTACCCCCTCAATCCAACCTTTTTGAGGACGACCCCTACCCCGCCTTCCTTTCCCTACAGATTTATATGCTCTCCATGTCATTCTACTTTGATCCATTCTCTCTAAATGACCAAACCACCTCAAAACAAGCCCTCTGACTAATACTTTTATTAACTCCACACCTTCTCCTAATTTCCACACTCTGAATTTTCTGCATAACATTTACACCACACATTGCTCTTAGACAGGACATCTCTACTGCCTCCTCGCCGCAGCATTTCCCAAGCTTCACACCCGTATAAGTGTGTTGGTACCACTTTACTTTCATACATTCCCTTCTTTTGCCTCCATGGATAAAGTGTCTTGTCTCCACAGATACCTCAGTGCACCACTCACCTTTTTTCCTTCATCAGTTCTATGGTTAACTCCATCCTTCATAAACCCATCTGCTGACACGTCAACTCCCAAATATCTGAAAACATTCACTTCTTCCATGCTCCTTCTTTCCAATGTGATACCTAATTTTTCTTTAAATCATCTGATACCCTCATCACCTTACTCTTATCTATGTTCACTTTCAACTTTCTACCTTTACGCACCCTCCCAAACTCATCCACTAACCTTTGCAACTTTCCTTTAGAATCTCCCATAAGCACAGTACAATCTCCCATTTTGTATTTGATTTCCCATAATTTAATCCCACCCCTCTCCCTAACACCCTAGCATTTACCTCTTTTACAACCCCATCTATTAATATATTAACCATGGTGACATTACACATCCCTGTCTAAGACCTATTTTTACCGAGAAGTAACAAAAAAAAAGAATTCTTTACTGTAGGCGAGTGAATCAATAATTTGCTGTTAAAAATCTTAATGAATCAAATCATAGTTATGAAATTTAAAGTCTTAATTTGTTTAAATTAAGAGGGAATAAAAGATAGATTTGACCTGTAAAATCATAACATGACTGTAAACAACTAGGGAACAGACAGGATTCAAATCCATGGCAAGCCAGTTTTATAATTAGCATACCAGTGCTCTGTCCACTACATCATGCTGGCCTAAACAGATTTCAGCTAGCTTGTGATGGGTTTGAATCCTGTTTGTTCTGTGAGAATTAATGTGCTGTAGTATGAGAGATGGTATGTCTGTCCCAGTTTTTCTAGATACATGGGAAGAAATACATAGGATATATTATTTATTATTATAACAAAAGAAGCTAAGCCACAAGGACTACACAGCTACATAGGATATAGAATGGGTAATCTGGCAGTGTATATTCTTTTAATCTGTAACTTCCTGAATATTACAATTTTTTTTTTTTTTTTTGCATTTTCAGTTAGAAGGACATTAAACATAATTATAGTTGGTCTCTCTTTTTTCCCCCCTTCCTCTTTATCTTCACATTTCTTCAGTTGCACATTACAAAATCTTTATAATTAAATTAATACATTCAAACCTAAACTCATGCAGAAATCCTTTTGGGTGTTTTCCCCAGTTTTATCTTGAGGTGAGAACATTTGTAGATGGTGGATAGAGCACTGGAGGAATGCACTGCATAAACTATCCTGCTTTGAATACAGGAAAAGGCAAGATACAGACCAAAAGATTTAAAAATACTTAAGCAAACTTATTTGGAGTTGAGATACATAAATATAATATAAAATATGTACTTTTCTTAACAATAACATACAACACTTATTTGAATTCTCCCATAATTTAATTCTCAACTGTCATTAAATTTATTTGTCAACCTTATGTGGGAGTGATAAATGCATAAGTCCTAAACAGGGGTAGTGAGTATTATGAAAATTATATTTCCATGCATGTATAATGAGATTCGGTTAATTACATTTCCTCCATTATAAACACATTCTGGTATAAATGCAAGGCATTACAGATAGTAAAGGCTGACCACACCATATTACTACAGTAAAGAAGACTTGTAACTACTCAGTTTTTATGTAATGTATGAATAATACAAATACTGTATTAAAAATATTTTTAAAATATGTGCATTGTTTACGGAAATTCAGAATTATAGTTTGTCCTTACTATCCACAACATCTTATGTGTATATTCACTTGTGTTTGTGTAAATTAAGTTCAAACTCTTGGGGCTCCACTTTTTAATGATTTGTGTACGCCAATGCATAAATGGACAAGTACGTGTGCGCAAATACATTATGCCGTGCTTTTTAGCCAGAGTGGTCAAGCAAAATTTTTTTGGTTATATTTTTCAATATTTTTCTTTTGAACTGGGTATATCTACAAGGATTAATATATTTCAATCATTTTTTTTTATTTTACACAAAAATTAACTGAGCAACTTGCCGTAAACTTTATAAGAATTTATAATTTTTTTAATCATATTTAAAGTCAATAATTTTAATAAATGACATATGCTGTATTAAATTTACAGGAAAATGCTAAAAAAATGTTAATTTTGTGATGTTCAGAGCAATGTCAATTATAACAAAAGGGTATGCTTGGCTTGTTTTGTAAAATGACCTTTACTTGACAAGTGAAGATTGTAAACTCTGGCTAAATTGCATGCATGCATATACTTATTTTACAGACATGCACTGTTAAACCACAGGAAAGAAATATCTACACCCAGTAATTACACCCTAAGTTTAAAGCCTGTTAAGTATAACCAGGTTAAGTATATGCTATAATTATAATGATTGGATTGGAAAGTCAAAGTATGACTGCAGATGAACAGATTGTATTTAATGCAGGAGATATAAACCAATTCGTGGAAATAAATGGTATAAAATACCGACACAATGGAAATACAAACACATATGCAGTACAATGTGACCCTTTATTGACAACGTTTCGCCCACGCAGTGGGCTTTATCAAGTCACAAACAGACCTACGTGGGTGGAAGGTACGTTGAGTATTTATAGGATGAAGTCAGGTTGAGACTGCTGGGTCAGGCGGAGAATGCTGTATGTGACAATCTACAGAGTAGGGTTATAGAGTCTAATGCCTAGGGTAGCTATCCAAGGTATTAGACTATAACCCTACTCGTAGATTGTCACATGCAGCATTCTGAACCTGACTTAATCCTATAAATACTCAATGTACCTTCCACCCAGGTAGATCTGTTTGTGACTTGATAAAGCCCACTGTGTGGGCGAAACATTGTCAATAAAGGCTCACATTGTACTGCATGTGTGTTTATATTTCCAAACCAATTTGTAAATACAGTAGGATTACAGATATGTGGAGCAAATTTAACAGTTTCCAGAATCTGAAGAGCACAGGGTTGTGGTGGGACCCCCCCCCCCCCACACACACAAAGAGTGCATATGCAGTTTAGGTAAGGGAAAGCTTTGTTGGGTAGATTAGGTTAAGCTAGGTGGAATGAGATAAGCTAAGCTAAATTGGTTAGGTTAATTAAATTAGGTGGGGTATATTAGTGATGGAGTGAATGATGGTGAAAGTTTTTCTTTTTTCGGGCCACCCTGCCTTGGTGGGAATCGGCCAGTGTGATGATAAAAAATAATAATAAAAAAATATTAGGTTAAGCTATAGGAGCATTATACAAGTACTGCCACCTCACTGTAGCCCCACACCAGGCTTGTATTTCTTAATTTACCACACTGCATCATTGCCATAAATGCAATTCAAGTTTCAAACATGTTGGATCATTACCTAAGTGATAAGGCTTCTTATTTTTTTGTTTAATGGTGGTTTTATCGCCTGTGGATTTAACAATGCATATGTAATACACAATGCATATATGAATTATACATAAATAAATATTAATGGAAAGTAACAGTATTATGGAATTTCTATTGTTCTTACTTTCCTTGAAAAAAGTTCAGTTTCTCACTGCCAAAATGTACTTCTTTTCACATTATCAATTTAAAAATTCTACAATGACCATGAAATTACAATTACAGTTTGTCAGCATACGAAAATATATCAAAATATACAGATTCAAATATAAAAATTAAATACTGTCCAGTATTTTGAAAAAAAAAAAAATTATAATGAGGGTTCACAATCTGTTACTTCAAGTATGTGTATATAGTACAGTATATGTAAGAATGTATACATTCACACATATATTTGCACTTTTATTGCTGACACTTCTTTTTTCAGCACTTACTGTCATATTATTATTATAATCAAAAAGAAGCGCTAAGCCACAAGGGCTATACGCACTTACTGTCATAGAATTTTGATAAGTTTCCAGTGGTTGTAGAACATACTACCTATTCTTTGATCCCATTCCAGCAGTCTATCATTATATTTATGAATAAATATTTTCTTGTCTAATTGACATTCTTTTGCAATTGCCTCTCTCTCTTGTTATCCCTTTTAGCACTATCATTTCACACATAACCCAAACCTTTGAGAGGAACCTAGATTCAGCATTTATGTCTGTCCTGGACTATTATCAAGTCGCTTGTGACTTGATAATAGTCCAGAATGGACTGAAATGTAGACTTCAGTTTCCTCTCAAAAGCAGTAGTTATTTGTAAATCATTCCAGCTGCAGCATTGTGATTTTTATTCTTAGCACCATCAACAGAGAGAACAATAACAAATGTAAACTATAAAAATGTAATGTTAAAAAAGCATTAGAAATTATTTTTGAAGAAATAAAATGATAGACTACAGCCACTGGAAATCTAGAAAAATATATGACAACCTAAACACTGAAGACATCATTAACATATCAGTATGTTAAAAAGAGTACACCCACATAGTGTTAGCTGAGAAAGTACATACATGCACATGTACACACGCATATAGGGGGAAACACATTCGTCATCATTCACTTGCTCTCTGTCTTGCCAGAAGTGTGTTGACATCACAAGTCAGATTGCCTTCTGACTGCAACATGCCTTCAAAGCGCAGGCACTGCCCTTCCCACCTCCACGACTCAAGTTCGACTAACCAGTTTTCCTGAATCCCTTCATAAATGTTACCTTGCTCACACTCCAAAAGTGCATCTATTAAACACTGACTACAACATCCCCACCTACCCTACATATATATACATACATACAAGTAACAGGCCTATCATGACTCAAGCAAATTTTATCACAGTTTAAGTTCAGAAATCACCCACTGATGCATGACTTATCAACAGTATTCTCTTTAAATTCAAAACTAAAGAGCTCAAAAATAATCACTAAGATACTGTACAGTATTTAAAATCTGCAAACAAAATAAATTATTCAGAGAACACACAAAATACAATGGTTTATTAGACTGACAAAAGCTAGCAAACATTTTATACAGTATTCAGATTTCACTGTGCTTTTACGCTATAATTCTCAGGTTCAACTAGCATTCAATGGTTAACACAATTGGTTAGGAACAAATTAATCAGATCATGTTTGCCTTATATAGCTTAATAAAATAGTTGTCAATGCAGATCTAATCTCCCTTTCCCCACGTATAAAATTAATTTCAAACTATGGGGAGAAATTATATTCAAGCAATAATGTTGTATCTAATGGTAACTAATGTCAACAAGTGATTTAAAGAGTTAAAGCATTTAAATTATTTTCTACTATTCCCACAGAAAAAATTAAAACTTATGAGCCATTCCTTGCTTAAAGCACATATAGTGAGCAGAAAAAGGCAAACTTTTACCTTATCATTAATGAAATTAAATATACATTCAGTGATATAAATGAGCTACAAAACTATAATGAAATTTTAAGCTAGTGATCTAGGATAGTTGGAGCAAAATGATGCTAAGTAATATATACTGGTATGAAAGAATTAATAAACAAATCTAATACAGTAAATGCCAAATAAACATGTGTGAATGTGTTATCACAAAAAGACACCTGAATATGAATAAATAAAATATATAACTGCACTTCATTAATTGTTAATCCTTGCTTGAGTTGACATTACAGTTTTGCTCATATAATCATGCTGTAGTATATTAAATTTATGTGGTATCCAAGTAACAAAGAATGTAATATGTTTTTAGAAATTTCTTCTATGCAAATTTATCAAGAAGAGCCGATGCTGAGCGCTCCAACTCCCAGCTATTGGCCTCCAGGATGTACTCACATTCATCTTTACTTGCCATGCCCAATCTGTAGTAAGAAAAGTTATATGCATAAGCTTATCTTTGCAGTATATTTATTTGTCTGTGTATTGTCTATACAATAATAAAAATAGTTACTCCTTGTGATCAAGCACAACTGCTATCAAGACAACTTAGCGAGGAATTTGAGGCACAAAATCTGAAGCTACTGCTAACACAACCACAACATGCATAGTTAGAAAGCTATATGACCACTGATGTCAAAATAACCTAAGGATATGTAACTCAACACAGGCTAACTTTTCCTCTCTCTACAATCACTGTTAATGAATTATGACCAAATAAATGTAACTGTTGTAAAGAGCTGCCTTCAGTGATGCACACTGGCTGGGAATCTTACTGGAACCTTCTCTTGCTTGGTCAAGTACCCATTTCACGGAGCATTTATATTCACTGTAGGTACAGAATACAACAGAGTGAAGTAGTAATCAACAATATTTCAGTGAATTAAAATACTGTCAAGGATTTCATGGTGAGTACAAACAGGAAATGTGCTGTCTCACACTCAGCAGACAGAGGATCGAGCCTCCACTATGTCTTGCACTGAATGACCCAAATGGATTTAGTACTTAATATGAATTAAATTATTTAAAAAAAAAAAATCATGTGGTGATGAAGAAGAACAAAGAAAAAAAGATTTGTTGATGATTCTGTCAATTTTGCATTTTGTTTTTGTTGCATTTTCTGGGATGATATTACAGCCTCTCCTCACTTAACGACAGAGTTCCGTTCCTGAGACCACATCGTTAAACGAATCTGTCAAGTGAGGAGCATACCATAATGGTGGCGAGTTTGTGTCAACCATCTTTGATATTGTTTTAATGTCACCTTTGCACCATTTATAACATGTCTGGTATATTTTTAAATGTTTATATAGTAGTTTACTGTATATTAAAATAAACAGAATAGAGGAAATCACCTCTAATATACATTACAGTGGACCCCCGCATAACGATTACCTCCGAATGTGACCAATTATGTAAGTGTATTTATGTAAGTGCGTTTGTACGTATATATTTGGGGGTCTGAAATGGACTAATCTACTTCACAATATTTCTTATGGGAACAAATTCGGTCAGTACTGGCACCTGAACATACTTCTGGAGTGAAAAAATATCGTTAACCGGGGGTCCACTGTATTTAGGTATGAATACTGGTCAGAGAGCCCGTCATAAGTCCGAGGTTTTGGTAAATAAGTACGTCACCAAGTGAGGAGAGGCTGTATTAGACAAGAGAAAGCTGACATATGCTCATGTAATTTAGTGAAAGAATATGGTTTAAAGATGAGGTGATGTTTTCTAGGCAAGCAATAACTACAAGGAAAATAATGAAACAAGTTAAACACAAAGTTCAAAAGATGGAAAGATGTTTTCTGAAAAGGATTCAACATGAACAGGAAGCCTGTACAGCTATAAAACCAGAATCTATAGCACCAGGACAACACTCTTCACAATGGGTGCCTTGATGCTGATGGGCTTTTGATCCATGAGACTGGGGTTATCCTCCCCTTTGTTAGATCAAATATGATTACCTCCCATTACCCAGGCAATGTATTACCCCTATAGTTTTAGCACTTCCCCATGAATATAATAATTATAAAAGTTGAGTGTAGGAAGTATTAATTATCTTTTCCAGGAGTGAAAAATATTATGATGAACTTCTAAGAGTACAGGTTCTTTCCATTAAAGGTTCAGGTTTGCTATCAAGCTTTCTATTTAGCACATGCTTCATTACAGGTACAGACTGACTACCAGTATTTGTAAACAAGGTTTCTTTACCAAGATGCAGGCTTTAAATAAATTAGAATCAACCTGAATAAACTTGTTCATTGCACTTTCTTCCAATAAAAACTGAACCATTAGCTAGAGCTTTACTGAAAATATCATTGTGGAGTGTGCCAAGTATAAATATTGTATCACATGTAACCACATTCCTGCATGTCATCTTAAGCAAGCTTTAAGGCACTGTAGATCACTGTTTACTTTAGATGAGAGCATCATTTAAATACAGGGCAACTATCAGCTGTCTTCTTGATCAGGGTGAGGGAGGGGCAGAGGCAGCATAGATCTTCTATGAGCCTCAAGCTGGTTAACACCATACTAGAACCTGTCCTCTATGTGGGTGTGTATAGCTGTAGCAGTGACAGTTTTCATACTTAAACTCTTCCAAACTGTATGTTTTGGGTCAATGGTTCATACCCACTGTACAAAGTGTAAATTTTTTTTTTTTTTTATTATTATCACACTGGCGATTCCATCCAAGGCAGGGTGCCCGAAAAAGAAAACTTTCACATCATTCACTCCATACTGTTTGCAGAAGGGTGCTTTACACTACAGTTTATATTAAACTGCAACTATAACACCCCTCCTTCAGATGCAGGCACTTTCTTCCAATCAAGTACCTGACCATTCTGATCTTCTGAAAATATTCTTTGCTCAGCTCCAGCCAAGTATAAAAACATTGTTATCACATCTAACCAACATCCTAGCATGTCTCTGGAAGTCAAGCCTGCCACAAAACACTCCTTTACTCCTCACTCCAACCTTTAAATGCCAGCACCTACCAGCTGCTTCTTCATCAGTGATGTACACTGAGAGTCATTCTGTTCCTCCATCCTCTACTGTCGAACCACCTAACAACCCTTCCTCTAGTCGGTGGTAAAAGTTGGTATCGGCCCCTCCTCCTACATTGAACTCTCTCAACAACTTTAGCCCTTTGGACAACAGTTGGGTAATCCCCACCTCTACAAAGTGTAAATATCTGTATATAAACCATACCACAGGTGGAAATGAACCCGTGGTCAGAGAGTCTGTATATACATTTTGCTGGTGAGAATATATGGTAAACCAAAACTAACTACTGGTGTATATATACTTTATTCCTCATTTCTTTAGTGCTCTTTTGACTGCACTATCTGCAATATCTTGCATGATCAGATATTGCAAGCTTTTGAAAGTATTTATGTTCATGATAGAAAACTTTCCTGCTTCTTGCTTATCTTGTGCTTTGACAATTTCCTCGACTTGTTAAATTTCCTAATTAATTTAAATAACCTTCAGAAGTTTTACCCAGTCATCTTTCATTTCCCCATGTATTTTGTGATTCCAGTTTATCATTTTGACAACACTTGTGAATATCTCTGCTTTTACTTCATTTTTTTTTTTAAATGCAGTGAAGCAAAGTGATTGTCCCTTTAGCAAACAGCTCAATGAAAAGTAATTATGATTATATTTATGAGGAAGTGCCAAACCCATATGCATCATACAGCACCTTAGGAATGAGAGGCAATCAGGTTTATCCAAGGACGAAGAGGCTATCGTCTATTCCTTGGATCAAAAGCCCTTTACTGGCATTATGGTGCTCCCTTAAATGGCTCTTTAGTGAAACGTGCCATTAAGAAATAGGAATACAGTATAGAGAAAAATGCATGCGAGATATTTAATGAAATGAGTACTGCTATTGAATATCAGGATTTCATTATTTATTGTGAACCCTTTAAGTGAAAAATGGTATGAGAATATGAGAGTAAAATAAATTCTTAACAATTTCTAAGATGTCAAGAGGAACATTAGTTTGTGACAGCAAAGCAAGCACTGGCAAAGCTGACCTGTAAAGCTTCTCAACTTTTAGGAAGCGCACAGCACCCTGGTAATCACCACTGGCTATGTGCAGTGCCTGGCGGGCAGCAGCCTTAGAAGTCCCTGGCACCACAGCAGCAACACGGCAAACAAGAGTCTCTCCCCCACTGGCACCATAACCCCTACTACTGCTCCCACCACCACACACCATCTGCAAGCCAGGACCCAAGTGTTGGAAAGGAGATACAGTAAGATGCAAGCAAAGAGGGTGAAGGTGATATAAGCAAGCTCTTAACAAATATAAAAATTAAAAGTGTCCAAAATAACAAGAAAAAATTAATATACTCTATTTGATTATAGTATTACTTTCTGTAACACCTTTTTCATGCTATATAATATGTGGAAGAAATGTGTCTTTCTTTATGCATAACTTTTATATCAAATTAAAAGTTCATTCATATACAATACCCTGCATAAGTAATATAAAAAGTCAATTTTACAATATAAAAAAATATGAAATAAATAAGTCTATGTTTAAATAAACCAGCTATCTCCCACAAGATATGGTAACTTGAAAAAGCAAACTTTTACCATCATTCAATCAATAGCTGTCTTACCAAAGGTGCACAGACATCACAGTTCAAATGCCCCTCTAAACTACAACATCCCTACCCCTCCTTCAGACTGAAGGAACTGTACTTCCCATCTTGATGACTCAAGTCCAGCTAACCAGTTTTTCTGAATACCTTCATGTTACCTTCCTAACACTCAAACAGCATGTCCAACCATTGAAGCCATGTAAACCATACTACGGGTAGGGATAGAACCTGTGATCATAGAGTCATAAAACTCCAGACCAACGTGCTAGCCACTGGGCCAGCTGGCTAGCACGTCGGCCTGGAGTTTTATAATTCTCTGATCTTGGGTTCTATCCCCGCTAGTGGTATGGTTTGTTTACAATTGTGTCATTACAATTTTGTGAGTTATTAAAGCCATGTGTTTTCACTCGATCTGACCTACAACACCCACACAAGCCTGCAGGATTTTCGAGTCTCTAGTACTCGAAGTCTTCTTTACTCCCTTCTTACAATCCAGCTTTGCACGCTCTTAGTTATCCTATCCTGTTCCATCATCTTTAAATGCCCAAATTATTACACAAACCCCTGTCTAGCCTTCTGAATTATACCTTTGGCAACCCAACATTGTCTTCTAATTTCTAAGCTCCAAATTTTCTACATAATATTCACACCACACACTGTTCTAAAACATGATATCTCTGATATCTGCTATCTCTAGCCTCCCCCTTGCTGCAATGTTAAAAACCCATATCTCACTCATATGAAAGTGTTTGTATCACTGTGCTCTGGCAGTTTTTGCTTCATACACTTTCCTTCTACAGATGTCTCAACAGGGAAAGACAATGGCATAAGCTGACATGCGATAATTTCAAGACACTGTATATGAGGGTATTAGATTTCAAATAGCATAATAATACTAAGTAGACTTGAGTGTTGATGAAAAGAAAGGAATATTTATGCGAGTATGTGTATGTGGGCAAGGGGCTTGGACTTCCAGCAAGCGTGCATGAGCGTGTTAGATAGGAGTGAATGGAGACGAATGGTACTTGGGACCTGACGATCTGTTGGAGTGTGAGCAGGGTAATATTTAGTGAAGGGATTCAGGGAAACCGGTTATTTTCATATAGTCGGACTTGAGTCCTGGAAATGGGAAGTACAATGCCTGCACTTTAAAGGAGGGGTTTGGGATATTGGCAGTTTGGAGGGATATGTTGTGTATCTTTATATGTGTATGCTTCTAGACTGTTGCATTCTGAGCACCTCTGCAAAACAGTGATAATGTGCAAGTGTGGTGAAAGTGTTGAATGATGATGAAAGTATTTTCTTTTTGGGGATTTTCTTTCTTTTTTGGGTCACCCTGCCCCGGTGGGAGACGGCCGACTTGTTGAAAAAAAAAAAAAAAAAAAGTGTATGAACAAGATGACTCACAAAATTGTAATGACACAACTGCAAACAAGATGGGCAAAATTAACTAAGTGTATTTTCAGAACATTATGGTAATATTTTAGAAAGGTTGTTCAGACTATTAAGTCATGTAAAATCAAGACACAGTCTGTGTATGAGAATGGAAGAATAATGAAGACGAGTCATAACATCATTTAACCGAGTATGCCAACTGAACAGTACATATTGAATTATTTTCCTTATTATATGTTCTTAAATGATTAACTCTAGACATCTAGTCACTTAAATTACATTGTTTTTAATAGGCAGCATAATCTTTTGCTTTGAATTACAGTAGATGCAGAAATAATTAGACAGCGACAGACACAACTAACCTGATTATAGTTAACTGTCAGTTGAGGACTAAGAACAACTGTTGGCTGTAACACAGAGCTCGGAATTGTAGGACCACTTTGTTGATGTTGTTCATGGTAATTCTGATGTTGTTGCTGTTCACACCATGGAAGTACAGAAGCAGAAACAGATGTGGATGAACTCTTCTGAGTAAATTGCACTTGCTGCTGAGGCTGTTGCCAGCTATAGCTCATCTGGAAATTGGGAGATACACTGCTCAAACTGGAGACTGCTGGTGTTGTTCTCATATTTGCTGACTGGTTCGGCCATCTTTCATCACTAGTATTTCTGACCTCACTCGGAGGTTTCATGGGGGCTAACGTACACACTGATTCAGTAGAAAACATATGGTTATGTTGAATGAGGCTCCCTGTAGTGCCCAGAATTTGAGGCTGGTTTCCTAGGTTGACACTAGAGATGCCTCCAAGGCTGGCTGTTGAAGTTGGAGGGTACTGAATGAATGGACGAACATGAGCAGTTTTTGGAAAGAACTGTCCAGTGTCTACTATCTGTTTTGGTAGCAAACCTAGGGTTTTTGAAGAGGTAAGAACATCTAAATCTGAGAAGGCACTGTTGCTGATAACTGGTTCTAGCTGATGAACTCTTCTATCACGTTCAACTTTATTCTGGCATGTATTCATTGGTGCGGCTGCAACTGCTAAGTGTGTGTTTCTAGATCCATGTGTATGTTGTGGAGGTGACGGAGATGGTGCTTGAATACTCTGCATTAAATGTTGTCTATCAATTTGGCTAGATGCAGCAAAACTTGAAGTAGCAGAATTTCTTAAAGAATTGCTTACTTCTTTTTCTTTGCCAGTAAAGGTGTTTGCCGAGGCCTGGTCTTTTCCGAGCGATTTTTCAAATTCTGCAATGAAAGCAGGATCTAATCTTGGTAATGTGGCTTTAGTTGGAGTTAGTGGTGCTGGTAAAGCAAGTTGAGTATGATGAACTGACTGTGAAGATACTGTGGATATCTGGGTAGGGTGTAACAAAGAATTTCTTGAAATAGCAGACTGAGGAAATTCCTCTTGTCTACTCTGGCTCTTTTGCACAATTTGTTTATTAGTATACAGAGAAGGGGGTGATGATGACAGTGAAGTGGAAATGTGACTTTGTTCAGTATGTGGTGTTAATCTGGCTTGTGTTGTAGAGATGGGTAATAAGTTTGAACTCGATGACTGAGAAATGGAGCTGATCCACATGTTACTTATTTGTGTATTCAAGTCTCTCATACAATTACTGTCTTGAATACTCTGCACCAAGTGGGAATCTGGAGAGTTAAGATTATTACTTATCAGTGGAAAGACCTGTGTTGAAATTGCCATGCTATTTGATTGGGATGGTGAACTAATGTGGAAAGAATTATGAAGTGATTTTACTATTTGAGAGTTGTGAGACATTCCCACTGTAGTTGAAACACCCATCGATTCTGAGCTTGGACAGACTGATATAGGCAATGAAGGTTTTGAGGTAGCAGTAAGTGAACTATTAATGGTTGAGGATTGGCTTAATGAGACTGAATTATCTAATGGTGATGAAGTGTTTGTTTGCGAGTTTAACTGACTACTGGATAATGAAGTATTGGCAGACATGTTCGGTGTAGGAATGACAGCTGATGACCCACGTATTACACTTTGGGAAGAAGCTGTGTTAGTGGTGCAGATATTATCTGGGGATTCATATGGTGGCTCATCATAACACCTGATGTATGATGTGTCAAATGGATCAGATGCTTCATGCATTTCATTAACAGCTTTGTTTTTAATTTCACTACTTTTATCATTAACACTACCAACATACTGATCATGGGATCCAATTGTCATATTGTTCTTTGCTGAGTATGTGCATTCCTCACTCTCTGTATCATCATCCCACTCAGAGTCATCATCAAAATCATCACAAAATTCATCAGTATCACCAAAAGAATTAGAATAGATTGTAGGTACAGGTGGGGCTTGCCGATGATGCTGATAATTTTCTGGAAACTCACAATCCAGATTCTGCTGTACATTTTTCTGATGAGTATCACAATTTTGGAGACTGCTCTCCAGGGAAATATTTTGCTGGTTATGAATTAGAGGTTTATTTTGTTGCTTTTTTTGTAACTGGTGAATGGGTGGGCTTGGGCAGGGACGGACCGGTACTCTAAGAGGCTGTTGGACAGCTCCAGTGGTAACAGCAACTGAGGCACTGCTTACATTTTCATAGGTGGGCATATCCTGGTTACCACTTACTGAAAAAGAAAGAAATATTTCATAGATTATTGAAATATTTAAGGGCTACATCAAGCTATATAATACTGTACTGCAAATGTTAATGTTCTTCTGGAAACAATATATAATTTAAATAGTACTGACTAATTGATGGTTAAGTATGTAAACAGCAGAAACATCTCATATGATAATTGTTGAATATTCCAGCACACTGATTTCTTGCTATTTCATGGCCTCATTAGCTGCTGTTAGTACAAATAAATAAATAGTATCTATAACTGTCCTTGATAAGTAATTGCAAGGAAAACAATGTAGCTCCTTAGCCAGGAGCCACACTTAGCTGGGAGAGATATATAGGAAATTTGAGACATGGAGGGAATGGGACAGGGAAGACAATCTCTCATGAATACAATGCATATATATTAATTTTCATCTTCTTCCCCAAAAACCTAATAGGAATTAGATATGGGTTATTAGTATACCAGTCTGCATCTCGGTTAGAACATGGGATGTCTCTGGGAAGATGTTATATGCTTAATGTAGTATTTGCTTAATGGACCTTTATCTGGTTCCTATTTAGATTGTTAAGTGATGACTGACAGTACTGCCTTGTCCACACTCCAACACAACATCAAATCTGAACACTACTTGTCTTAATTCCCTAGAGTCTAACAAACTTTCCCTTCAAAACTTTCATACCCACTCTCCATGCCTCCCTCCAAGTACTGTAGATTTATACAGTACACAATCTTAGTAATCCTACCTTGATCCATCTTTTTTTTTTTTATACATGTAAACAAGTCAGACTCACCAGGGTTGATGTTTCCATACACTGGAGAGGTGGTTGGTAATGGTAGGTCAATGAGAGAGGAGACACTGCCCCTTAATTGACTTGTGACATCTGATGAGCCACTAGCTCGTAGATCTGTAGCAGAGTGAGATCTCTGTCGTCCTCCCTCTGACAGATCTATCAAGAGTTCATCTCTGTAGACAAACATAACACAGATGAAGTGCAATAAGCTTCATGACTATAAGAATGAAAATGAATAAAAATCAATAAAACAAATAAAAACAAGCAAACAAAATCAAACAAACAAAAACACACACACATGCACACACACTTGCAAACAAATCACAGAATGGGTGGGGCTCTAACCTATAGCAGGCAAGTGCTACAGCTTGCAAGCCAGTGTGCTTAACCACTGGTATGCATGTCATAAAATTTCCAAAATGAGAACTTGATTAACCCTTAAACGGTCCAAACGTATACATACGTTCACTCGCGTAGCGCCCCAAATTTTTTGGGGAAAAAACAAATCTTTTCTTTTAAAAGGAAAAAAGAGCATATTGTGCCCAGGCATCCCCAATTATTTTAATATGGCACACAGTGAGTGCGCACACCCATTCTCTCATGTCAGGTGACTCAGGCTTATTGTGGCAATGTTGAATGAATGACAAAGAAAACGTATATATACGTTTGGGGCGCTACGCGCGTGAACGTATATATACGTTTGGACCGTTTATGGGTTAATGTAAGATTAGTATTAAATTAAAATGTTACCAACTGCAAAGATCCTATGGCAGGGAAAGAAAATAGATGACATTTAAATTAATATTCTTATATGACGTAGTTAATATCTTTCAAGAACAAAAATGATCCATCTAAAATTTCAGCTTAATTTATACTGTATTAGGTTAAATTTTAAACTTTGTGCAAGTTTTAGCTCCTTCATTGGTGTACTAACCTTCCATGAGAAGTATTTTTCTGAGGCTTTAGTGTCTGGGCTCTAGGTAAATCATCTGGCCACTTCTCATTTACTAAACGGCTGTAATTAAATTGCCGCCGATAGCCTTGCTTGAATCGCAATGACTGATACTCTGAAATAAGATGCTACATCAAAATATATAATGCAACAGTGTCACAATTTGGAGAGGAAGCTCGAGAAAACATTTTGGTCTGCCCATAAAGTGTGACTTGATAATGATACAGGACAGACTGAAATGCTGTCTCAAGTTTCCTCTCCAAACTGTGGGTTAATAGTGACCTTACCAACTGGTCACAAGGAGTACCCAGAATAATCTCTATAATAAAACTGACTAATATATTTGATATTTCCAAAACTCTGTTAAATTTCCAGAGAAAAAGAATACATTATATTTATCTGTTGATTTCTATAATACTGCATATTTCTTTTAATAGCTGGTATTGTTATGGTATTTTGATAATCTTCTTTCATGTATAACTTGTGCACCCTGCAAACATAACTATCACTGGTTGTCTTTAGTTAAGCTGCATAATGTTATCAACGTCTTTCTGAATTTGAATGCTTTAACATTTTAACAGCACACTAAAAAGGATTCTTTAAGTTATCCAATGTTTCTCTTTATATACAAACATTATCACTACTAATATTAATTAATAACTATAAATTTCTTATAAAATATACATACAAGAAAAAGTTCAAGAGACATGAATATATTACATAAAACATTTTTTAAACAGTTATACCAATGAACCAAAATAAATGATAATTGTATCAAATGAGTCACCAAGAGGTAAACAAGAGTTACACTTGAAAAGCCTGATCAAGTGTGGGCATTAGAAGTGTATTTACTTACTGACTCTTCGAGGTGACATGGGTTTTCCCAGTTTATCTGGAGGCTCCATTGGGTTCCTGAGATACATATCATCAATAAAAGCTGGACTGCCCCAGGTTTTTCCTCTTATTCCTCCATGACCTAATAGATAAAAAATAAACAGAATTGATTATTTTTTAACACTGCCATCTCCCAGCAAGGAAGGATGACCTGAAAAAGAAGAAACTAAAGTGTTTCTTCCTTTTCATTTAGTAATTTATTCAAGAGAAGGGGTTACTAGCTCCTTGCTCCCAGTATTTTAGTGGCCTCTTACATCAAACATGGCTTATGGAGGAAGGATTCTTCTCCACTTCCCATGGAATGGAACTGATGATGTACGTATACATTTATAGTCATGAGAAAGCACTAAAACCAATGGGGTCATACAGTACTTTCGCAAATGGAAGATAATCAGATCTGATCTAAGGAAGTGGGGGTAGATCCAATTCCTTGGATCAAGAGAGCTTCACCAGTATGACCAGGAATAACTAAGGTATCAGTGCATGAAATTATACATTTCAAGACTGTAAAAAGATGGCATTTTCTCAGTTATAATTATTTTAAGATTCAAAAATGTTAAATGCACTGTGGTAGATTAATTTTTAATTCAATTAGAGTTGAAAATTTTCCAATTCATTCAGAATGAAGCTAACATCCCCACCCATCATTCAGAATGAAGCTAATATCCCCACCCATCATTCAGAATGAAGCTAATATCCCCACCCATCATTCAGAATGAAGCTAACATCCCCACCCATCATTCAGAATGAAGCTAACATCCCCACCCATCATTCAGAATGAAGCTAATATCCCCACCCATCATTCAGAATGAAGCTAACATCCCCACCCATCATTCAGAATGAAGCTAACATCCCCACCCATCATTCAGAATGAAGCTAACATCCCCACCCATCATTCAGAATGAAGCTAACATCCCCACCCATCATTCAGAATGAAGCTAACATCCCACCCATCATTCAGAATGAAGCTAACATCCCACCCATCATTCAGAATGAAGCTAACATCCCACCCATCATTCAGAATGAAGCTAACATCCCCACCCATCATTCAGAATGAAGCTAATATCCCCACCCATCATTCAGAATGAAGCTAATATCCCCACCCATCATTCAGAATGAAGCTAATATCCCCACCCATCATTCAGAATGAAGCTAACATCCCCACCCATCATTCAGAATGAAGCTAATATCCCCACCCATCATTCAGAATGAAGCTAACATCCCCACCCATTCAGAATGAAGCTAACATCCCACCCATCATTCAGAATGAAGCTAACATCCCACCCATCATTCAGAATGAAGCTAACATCCCACCCATCATTCAGAATGAAGCTAACATCCCCACCCATCATTCAGAATGAAGCTAACATCCCCACCCATCATTCAGAATGAAGCTAATATCCCCACCCACCATTCAGAATGAAGCTAATATCTCCACCCATCATTCAGAATGAAGCTAATATCCCCACCCATCATTCAGAATGAAGCTAATATCCCCATCCATCATTCAGAATGAAGCTAATATCCCCACCCATCATTCAGAATGAAACTAACATCCCCACCCATCATTCAGAATGAAGCTAACATCCCCACCCATCATTCAGAATGAAGCTAATATCCCCACCCATCATTCAGAATGAAGCTAACATCCCCACCCATCATTCAGAATGAAGCTAATATCCCCACCCATCATTCAGAATGAAGCTAACATCCCACCCATCATTCAGAATGAAGCTAATATCCCCACCCATCATTCAGAATGAAGCTAACATCCCCACCCATCATTCAGAATGAAGCTAACATCCCCACCATCATTCAGAATGAAGCTAATATCCCCACCCATCATTCAGAATGAAGCTAATATCCCCACCCATCATTCAGAATGAAGCTAACATCCCCACCCATCATTCAGAATGAAGCTAATCCCCACCCATCATTCAGAATGAAGCTAACATCCCCACCCATCATTCAGAATGAAGCTAATATCCCCACCCATCATTCAGAATGAAGCTAACATCCCCACCCATCATTCAGAATGAAGCTAATATCCCCACCCATCATTCAGAATGAAGCTAACATCCCCACCCATCATTCAGAATGAAGCTAATATCCCCACCCATCATTCAGAATGAAGCTAACATCCCCACCCATCATTCAGAATGAAGCTAATATCCCCACCCATCATTCAGAATGAAGCTAACATCCCCACCCATCATTCAGAATGAAGCTATCCCCACCCATCATTCAGAATGAAGCTATGTTCCTCCAGGAGGTTGCCTTGAAAAAGATGTTCACAAGAGAAAAATCTCGGTATCTACACTTTTTCAGGTTTCTGAAAAGCTCTTAAAATGTTTATTGGGTATTCATCCATTTAAGCCCTAGCACTGCAATTCTAAAAATCTCCTTACAATCTTGTCATTCATTAACTCCATATACCAAAATGATCATAAAGTGCATTTCTTAAATAGTTCCCACCTCATTTTTAACATTCCTAGCCATATCACACATTATATACTCTTCTCCATTACTTATTCCCTATTTACTGCCATATTCACTTCTTACACTTCCTTTCTACTAGATAAAGTTTTAGATTTTTCCCATCTCATTCCATTTTCATGTGTTGCTTCCATAACTCAGGGCAGACAAAAGTACAATGCCAAGCTAGCCATTTTTCACATCCATAGAGTTCACTCCCTTCCATAATCTCTTATCAAGTGTCTTCCTTCAAATATTATGATCCAATACTATAGCCACTAGTTAATATTCTTTCAATGACTCCAACACCTACTAATCTACATAAAGGTAAAAGGTTAATGTGACATGCATATTTCACTCAAATATAAATATAAACTTGTCAACATCCAACTTGTAAATACCTGTATGAATGAAAGAGTTGCGGAGAGGTGTGCTTATGTCTTGGTTTTCTAAACGTCTCTGAGGATCAGCAATGCAACGTGGGAAGTCTCCCACTTCAAAGGTTCTCTGGTTCTGGCCCCTCCACCAGTAATTTTCAGAGCTGCAAAAAATCATTTAATATAAAGTTCAAGTGCAGTATAAATGAACAACAGAATAATGCATAAACATCATTCATTATTTCTTGATAAGGTAACTGAAGGTCCTTTCACCTCAATGGCCATCCTCCACTAAGCTAGGGTGACCCACAGAAAAGACAGTCACCATCATTTATTCAGTCACTGTTTCCAAAAGTGTGCTGGCATCACAATTCACATGGCTTTCCAAACTGTGACATCCCATCCCCTCTCAGAGTTTAGGCACTCTACTTCCCACCACCATGAATCAAGTCTGGCTAACTGGTTTTCCTTGAATCCCTTATAAATGTTACTGAATTCACACTCCAACAGCACATCAGGCCATAAAAGTTACTAGTTTCCACTCACTTCAATTTATCATGCTGCCACAAGCCTGTTGGATGTTAAAGCTTCTAGCAATCAAAACCTCTACCTCTTCCTTCCAACCCTTCTTGAGATGACCCTTACCCAGTGGTGGCTCGTCAAAAAATAGAATGGGGGGACTGCGTGACTGCAAGCCTCATAGAACAGCATAATAAACATTATTAAAGTAATCATTTTTAAAATTAACTGGGTGTGTGCTGCATCGAATGCAGCTCCTAGCTGCCAGATGTAACGCCAGTAATACCTATACTATCGTACCGCATCAAACTTCTATTTTTAATTATTTTTTATCTCGTTTCAACAACAAAAAAAAATTCGCTTATAAATACATCGAAAACAACATACAACAGATTTTTTCTGTAATATATTTGTCAGTTGCAAATAATTTTAGAGTAAGGTTGATGAAGTCATATATCGGTAATGAGCATCTGGGGGGACTGCAGCTCTGCAGCTCCTATGGATGAGCCACCACTGCCCTTACACTACCTTCCTTCCACCCCTGATTTATACACTTTTGTTGTTTAACATATTTATAGGTGGCGGTTGTATATAAAATGAAGGGAATGCTAGAGTACTGGGGAGAGATGTGGGATTAAAAAGTAAAGAATCTGATACAGAATGGGAGTTGTCACAGTTGTTTGGGAGATTCAGAAATTAAAAAGGTTTGTGGATAAATTTGGGAGGATGTTTTTTTTTTATTTATTTTTATTTTTTTATTATCACACCGGCCGATTCCCACCAAGGCAGGGTGGCCCGAAAAAGAAAAACTTTCACCATCATTCACTCCATCACTGTCTTGCCAGAAGGGTGCTTTACACTACAGTTTTTAAACTGCAACATTAACACCCCTCCTTCAGAGTGCAGGCACTGTACTTCCCATCTCCAGGACTCAAGTCCGGCCTGCCGGTTTCCCTGAATCCCTTCATAAATGTTACTTTGCTCACACTCCAACAGCACGTCAAGTATTAAAAACCATTTGTCTCCATTCACTCCTATCAAACACGCTCACGCATGCCTGCTGGAAGTCCAAGCCCCTCACACACAAAACCTCCTTTACCCCCTCCCTCCAACCCTTCCTAGGCCGACCCCTACCCCGCCTTCCTTCCACTACAGACTGATACACTCTTGAAGTCATTCTGTTTCGCTCCATTCTCTCTACATGTCCGAACCACCTCAACAACCCTTCCTCAGCCCTCTGGACAACAGTTTTGGTAATCCGCACCTCCTCCTAACTTCCAAACTACGAATTCTCTGCATTATATTCACACCACACATTGCCCTCAGACATGACATCTCCACTGCCTCCAGCCTTCTCCTCGCTGCAACATTCATCACCCACGCTTCACACCCATATAAGAGCGTTGGTAAAACTATACTCTCATACATTCCCCTCTTTGCCTCCAAGGACAAAGTTCTTTGTCTCCACAGACTCCTAAGTGCACCACTCACTCTTTTTCCCTCATCAATTCTATGATTCACCTCATCTTTCATAGACCCATCCGCTGACACGTCCACTCCCAAATATCTGAATACGTTCACCTCCTCCATACTCTCTCCCTCCAATCTGATATTCAATCTTTCATCACCTAATCTTTTTGTTATCCTCATAACCTTACTCTTTCCTGTATTCACCTTTAATTTTCTTCTATTATTATTATTATTATTATCACACTGGCCGATTCCCACCAAGGCAGGGTGGCCCGAAAAAGAAAAACTTTCACCATCATTCACTCCATCACCGTCTTGCCAGAAGGGTGCTTTACACTACAGTTTTTAAACTGCAACATTAACACCCCTCCTTCAGAGTGCAGGCACTGTATTTCCCATCTCCAGGACTCAAGTCCGGCCTGCCGGTTTCCCTGAATCCCTTCATAAATGTTACTTTGCTCACACTCCAACAGCACGTCAAGTATTAAAAACCATTTTGTGCAAAAGAAAATTAAGAGTGAACAAAGAAAAAGGCAAGATGATGTGAGTAATAAAGAGGTCTAGGCAATGAAAGCTTGGATATCATATTAAGAGAGGGAAGGGACTTGTACACAGATGGATCTATGAAAGACTGCAAACTATAGAACAGATGCAGATGAGGAGGAAAAAGGTAGGTGCTGTGTTGAGGTACCTATGGAATAAATGAAGTTTATCTATCGAAGCAAAAAGGGGAATGTACCAGAATTTAGTGGCATATATGATAACACTTTTATAAGGGTGTGAAGCATGGGCTTTGAATGTTGCAGTAAGGAGGTTTGAGGCAGAGATGTCATATTTGAGGGTAATGTGTGGTGTGAATACTGTGTAGAGAATTTGAAGTATGGGAATTAAACTGTGTGGGGATTACCTAAAGTATAATTTACTGAGCTGAGGAAGGGTTGTTGAGGTGATTTGTGCATTTTGAGATGAGGGAGCAGAATTACATAACAAAGAGGGTATATAAATCTGGGCTGGTAAGGATCATCCCAAGAAGAGTTGAAGGGAGGGGGTAAAAAGGACATTTTGAGTGCTAGAGGGAGAACATCCAACAAGTTTTTGTGAGCATGTTAAATCAGAGACAAGTGGCTTTTGTGACCTGATATGCTGTTGTAGTGTAAGGTAACACTTATGAAAGGATTCAAGGAAAACTGGTTAGCTGACTGCAGTCTTGAACATGGATAGTAGTACAGTGTCTGCGCTCTAAAGAAAGGTGGAGATATTGGAGTTCAGAGGGTTATGTCAACTATGATGTCAGCACACTTCTAGCAAGACAGGGATAGAATGAATGACGAATAAATTTCCTCTTTCATGGGTCACTACCTCAGTGGAAGATGGCTGGTGTGTTAAAAAAATTAAGTGTCCATAACGTTTACCAAATTTTCTAGTTTTCCTCAATATGCCAAACTCTCAGTCTTTGTGAGGAATGTGTTCTTAAAAATGGTGCTAATACTGGAGCTCAAAATATATAACATGGCAGCAGTAAAATAAGTGGAAGCTATCCTTGAATGAGTTCATGCGCTGGAGATCACAGAGCTGAATCAAGTAAAAGAATTTTTAAGAGTCAGGCAGTTTCCCACCAAGGCAGGATGACCCCCCTCCTCCAAAAAAAAAAAAAAAAAACTTTCACCATCATTCACACACATCACTGTCTTTGCAGAGGCACACAGAAATGATAGTTCAAATGTCACTCCAAACAGCAAATATCCCAAACCCCTCCTTTAAAGCATAGGCACTGTACTTCCCCACTCCAGGACTCAAGTCTGGCTAACCAGTTTTCCTGAATCCCTCCACAAAATATTACCCTGCTCACATTCCAACAGCTCATCAAGTCCAAAAAATCATTCATCTCCACTCACTCCTATCTAACACGTTTACACATGCCTGCTGTATGTTCAAGCCTCTTGCACACAAAACCTCCTTCCCTCCATCCTTTCCTAGAACAACCCCTACCCCTCCTTCCCTCCACTACAGATTTATATACCGTCCAAGTCATCCTATTTTGCTCCATCCTCTCTAAATGACCAAACCACCTCAGCAACCCTTTCTCAGCCCTCTGAATACTACTTTTAGTAACTCCATACTGCCTCCTAATTTCCATATTATGAATTCTCTGCATAGTATATACACCACACATTGCCCTTAGACACATCGTCACTGCCTCCACCCTGCTTCTTGCTACAACATTCACAACCCATGCTTCAAACCCATATAAGAGTGTTGGTACCACTATACCTAAATATTTTAACGAACAAGAGAAACACATTCACATCACTTGATCAATAGCTGTCCTGCTAGAAGTGAACAGACATTACAGTTCAAATGACTCTTTGAACTGAACTAATACACATAAACCAGCACATAGGAGAATGAAACTTATGACAACACTTCGGTCCAACTTGGAATACTAACTTGTCACACCAAGTCAAACTGAAACGTTGTCATAAGTTTTATTCTCTTATGTGTGGGTTATTTGTGTTTTGTTCAAGCATGGTATTGTGCCTTTTAATTCTAACCGAACTAATTCTTGATAAGTACATGAAAGGGTGACAAAAGTAGTCCTAGAATACTGTTTGTGTAGATAACTGGCTATTAGCTTGACTTCCCTACTAAATTTTAACTTATTAGGCACAAGAAATATGTAAGCAATGAGATTATTCATGAAAAGCACTAATCTTGGGAGGAGTCATTCAGAACTGTGATCAAGATAGAATGCACATGATGACAGTTTCCTATGGTTCCAACCATTTTATTCCATTAACTGGTAATGAATACACATGCTCAAGCTCACCTGCCATCAATTATTACTATAAGATCACCCACTTCCACCTTCAATCTCCCTTCTTCATCCCATGGCTGCATAGCTTTCATAACATGAGGCATGATTGCTGCCACACGCTCGTATATCTGGGAGAAAGTTGGTCGTTCACTAGGATCATGAGACCAGCACTGAAAAAATATAAAAAAATTCATGCTTCTAAAGCCACAAAATTCAATACAATGCAAAACAAAGATCTTTTAACACACCAGCCATCTTCCACTAAGGGAGGGTGACCCAAAGGAAGAAACACATTCACAATCATTTATTCAATAGCTGTCTTGCTACACAATGATATTTTTTTTTTAACACACCAGCCCTCTCACCAAGGTAGGGTGACTCCCCCCCCCCCAAAAAAAAAAAAATCACTATCATTCATTCCATAGCCATCTTGCCAGAAGTGTGCAAACATCACAATTCAAATGAACCTGCAAACAGCAACACCTCCGACCCCTTCCTCAAGAGTGAAGGCACTGAATGTGAGGATCACAAAGGATGGCTTATGAAACACTAAAAATGGAAGGGATATAGTACAGTAGTTGAGTGGATATAGATCATGCTTACAGTACAGTAAAGAAGTGAAATAATACATTAGTGAAATAACAAGGTAGTGAGGTATCAAAATATTAGGGAGAAATTACATAATAATTAAGGTATGATTCAAGATAGTGATGACACAAGTCATATTACTGAATATACAATAAAAAAAAAGTTTAATGTAGGCAGAGTACAGAAATAACCCACACATAGGAGAGAGATTATGACAATGTGTCGGCCGATTTGGACCATTTACAAATCACCAGGCACATCGTCATAAATTTCTTTCTCCTATGTGCAGGTTATGTGTGTATTATTCTAGCCACTGAATTGTAGCTTTTTGTTCTTTGTAAGCAGTGTGTGTATACATCAGATTTTTGTACTAAAGCAAGTTATTACCTGGAGTTTACATGGAGAGAGTTCCGGGGGTCAACGCCCCTGCGGCCCGGTCTGTGACCAGGCCTCCTGGTGGATCAGAGCCTGATCAACCAGGATGTTACTGCTGGCTGCACGCAAACCAACGTACGAGCCACAGCCCGGCTGATCAGGAACCGACTTTAGGTGCTTGTCCAGTGCCAGCTTGAAGACTGCCAGGGGTCTGTTGGTAATCCCCCTTATGTATGCTGGGAGGCAGTTGAACAGTCTCGGGCCCCTGACACTTATTGTATGGTCTCTTAATGTGCTAATGACACCCCTACTTTTCATTGGGGGGATGCTGCATCGTCTGCCAAGTCTTTTGCTTTCGTAGTGAGTGATTTACGTGTGCAAGTTCGGTACTAGTCCCTCTAGGATTTTCCAGGTGTATATAATCATGTATCTCCCCGCCTGCGTTCCAGGGAATACAGGTCCATGAACCTCAAGCGCTCCCAGTAATTGAGGTGTTTTATCTCCGTTATGCGTGCCGTGAAGGTTCTCTGTACATTTTCTAGGTCAGGAATTTCACCTGCCTTGAAAGGTGCTGTTAGTGTGCAGCAGTATTCCAGCCTAGATAGAACAAGTGACCTGAAGAGTGTCATCATGGCTTGGCAGCCCTAGTTTTGAAAGTTCTCATCATCCATCCTGTCATTTTTCTAGCAGATGCAATTAATACAATGTTATGGCCCTTGAAGGTGAGATCCTCTGACATGATCACTCCCAGGTCTTTGACGTTGGTGTTACGCTCTATTTTGTGGCCAGAATTTGTTTTGTACTCTGATGAAGATTTAATTTCCTCGTGTTTACCATATCTGAGTAATTGAAATTTCTCATCGTTGAACTTCATATTGTTTTCTGCAGCCCACTGAAAGATTTGGTTGATGTCCGCCTGGAGCCTTGCAGTGTCTGCAATGGAAGACACTGTCATGCAGATTCGGGTGTCATCTGCAAAGGAAGACACGGTGCTGTGGTTGACATCCTTGTCTATGTCAGATATGAGGATGAGGAACAAGATGGGAGCAAGTACTGTGCCTTGTGGAACAGAGCTTTTCACCGTGGCTGCCTCGGATTTTACTCTGTTGACTACTACTCTCTGTGTTCTGTTAGTGAGGAAATTATAGATCCATCGACCGACTTTTCCTGTTATTCCTTTAGCACGCATTTTGTGCACTATTACGCCATGGTCACACTTGTCGAAGGCTTTTGCAAAGTCTGTATATATTACATCTGCATTCTTTTTGTCTTCTAGTGCATCAAGGACCTTGTCGTAGTGATCCAATAGTTGAGACAGACAGGAGCGACCTGTTCTAAACCCATGTTGCCCTGGGTTGTGTAAATGATGTGTTTCTAGATGGGTGGTGATCTTGCTTCTTAGGACCTTTCAAAGATTTTTATGATATGGGATGTTAGTGCTATCGGTCTGTAGTTCTTTGCTGTTGCTTTACTGCCCCCTTTGTGGAGTGGGGCTATGTCTGTTGTTTTTAGTAACTGTGGGACGACCCCGTGTCCATGCTCCCTCTCCATAGGATGGTAAAGGCTCGTGATAGGGGCTTCTTGCAGTTCTTGATGAACACGGAGTTCCACGAGTCTGGCCCTGGGGCAGAGTGCATGGGCAAGTCATTTATCGCCTGTTCGAAGTCATTTGGCATCAGGATAACATCAAATAGGCTTGTGTTAACCAAATTCTGTGGCTCTCTCATAAAAAATTCATTTTGATCTTCGACTCTCAGTCTCGTTAGTGGCTTGCTAAAAACTGAGTCATATTGGGACTTGAGTAGCTCACTCATTTCCTTGCTGTCATCTGTGTAGGACCCATCTTGTTTAAGTAAGGGCCCAATACTGGACGTTGTTCTCGACTTTGATTTGGCATAGGAGAAGAAATACTTGGGTTTCTTTCGATTTCATTTATGGCTTTTAGTTCTTCCCACGATTCCTGACTCCTATAAGATTCCTTTAGCTTAAGTTCGATGTTTGCTATTTCTCTGACCAGTGTCTCCCTACGCATTTCAGATATATTGACCTCTTTTAGCCGCTCTGTTATTCTTTTCCGTCGCCTGTAAAGGGAGCGCCTGTCTCTTTCTATTTTACATCTACTCCTCCTTTTTCTTAGAGGAATAAGCCTTGTGCATACATCGAGTGCCACCGAGTTAATCTGTTCTAGGCATAAGTTGGGGTCTGTGTTGCTTAGTATATCTTCCCAGCTTATATCGGTTAGGACTTGGTTTACTTGGTCCCACTTTATGTTTTTGTTATTGAAGTTGAATTTGGTGAATGCTCCCTCGTGACTAATTTCATTATGTCGGTCTGGGGCTCCACGCATGCATGTCTGAACCTCAATTATATTGTGATCTGAGTATATTGTTTTTGATATGGTGATATTTCTTATCAGATCATCATTGTTAGTGAAGATGAGGTCTAGTGTATTCTCCAGTCTAGTAGGCTCTATTATTTGCTGGTTTAAATTGAAATTTGTGCAGAGATTTAAAACCTCGTGCGAGTGTGAATTTTCATCAGAGCTGCCTCCTGGTGTTATTTCTGCAACAATATTATTTGCTATATTCCTCCATTTTAGGTGCCTTATATTCCTCCATTTTAGGTGCCTTAAGTTGGAATCCCCCAGGAGCAAGATGTTGGGTGCAGGAGCTGGAAGATTTTCCAGACAGTGGTCAATTTTTAACAGCTGTTCCTGGAATTGCTGGGATGTTGCATCCGGAGGCTTGTAGACTACCACAATGACTAGGTTTTGATTCTCGATCTTTACTGCTAAAATTTCCACTACATCATTTGAGGCATTAAGCAGTTCTGTGCAAACAAGTGACTCTGACTCAAGAAATCGTAATGACACGATGGCAAATAAACCATACCCCCGGCCGGGATTGAACCCGCGGTCATAGAGTGACTCTGCAATGTACAGGCCAACCCCCCCCCCCTTTTGCCTGTTCACTCTGTCACATCTGTATAGGTTGTAACCTGGGATCCATATTTCGTTATCCAAGTGATCCTTTATGTGGGTCTCAGTGAAAGCCGCAAACATTGCCTTTGCCTCTGCAAGCAGTCCACGGATGAAAGGTATTTTGTTGTTTGTTGCTGGCTTTAGACCCTGTATATTTGCAAAGGGGAATGTCATCGGACTGGTGGTATTGTTGGTACTGGGGGAGGATTTTTTTTCCGGCATTAGTATCTGTAGGATTGGAGTGGAGGCCATCGACTGTGGTTCCACTCCAGGAATGACTGGATTTGGTGTACAATTTCTGCCATTTCCTGCCAGTTTTTTTTCCTTCCTGGCACTAAAAAACCTCTCCCTCTTGAGTGGCTGTGGCTACCCAGGTTTTCCCATGGCCTGGATGTTTTGTATCTTTTTGTCCCCTTTAAATGGTGTGCCTGGCAAGTTAAGTTATGAAAAAACTCAAGAAATCAATACATGCTGCACTTGCTGAACTGAAGTACAGTAAGTCATTACAAATGGCACAAAAATGCAGGTAAATTATAGCTAAGAATAAGATGGATGCTGCCCTGTTTCAATATAATAAGGGAACAGACAGTTATCAAGTCACAAATGTTAAAGATGGATATTTGTATATTCTTCTGAGGGGACCGAGATTTTTTTTTTTTTAACACATTGGCCATTTCTCACCGAGGTATGCTGACACAAAAAGAAAGAAAAACCCAAAAAGAAAAAACTTTCATCATTCAACACTTTCACCATCATTCATACATAATCACTGTCTTTGCAGAGGCGCTCAGATATGACAGTTGAGATGTCCCTCCAACTGCCAATATCCTAAACCCCTCCTTTAAAGTGCAGGCATTGTACTTTCCATTTCCAAAACTCAAGTCTGGCTAACCGAAGAAGAATTCTGGAGGGCGCTGCTGCAGCCTGGCCAGTGCGCCTCTACTTTAACCCTTTCAGGGTTGACAATGACAAGAAAAGTATGAAATTTGATGGAAAACTTACGGAATTATGCTCTCGTGAAGTTAGCGGTCTCCATGATGTTTATGCATCGGCAATTTTGTCCACTTTGAGCCTTATTTTCGGTCAATTCCAGTGTACTTGTCGACAAAAATCATAACTATTTCGCTAGAACTCCATTTTTTCTATCGAATGAGTACAAGAAGCCACTCATTTACCGATTTCAGCTATCCAATACAATGGTCAGAATTTAGCAATTTTGCAAATTTCACACAAATTTCAAAAGATGCCAATTTCCAAATAGGGTCCAGAATAAGCAAGAAAGACATTCCTGGCACTATATTAACATTTCCTCTGTTCATTAGTCACGTCCCCATGCCCCTCTTACATTCTTTTGCTTTCCACTTTGAATTTTTATTCTCACAAAAAAATAGAAGATTTACTGTTATGCAGACTACTGCATTAGTGTAGAAATGGTATAAATAATATCAGCGCACTTGTGAAAGAATATTAGACTCACCAGTTGATGTGAATTGGACGCATAGCATGATTTGTTTACTTTTGAAATTTGGTAAAAATCGAACATTTCTGCTACTTTGAGCTCAATTTCAAGGTACTTTTCATTGTAAAACCAGTCAAAATCATCTCAATTTCTGTAATATGTCTTCCATTCTATAAAATTAGACCAGGAAAACTAAAATACAACAATAAATACCATACAAAAATACGTACAGTGCAAAGTCGCCGTTTTAATCCAAAAAACAAAGTTTTTTTTTCCTCTCATTACGCACTGTGTGCTGCAGGATTTTTTTTATACCGCGCACACAGACCACATAGACCCATTCTTTCATATGTAGGCCTACCAGCTTTCTCTCACTAGATTTGAGGGCTCTAGAATTTAGGCGTACTAGTACGTCAAAAACCCTGGTGTGTAAGCCGTACTAGTACGACCGAAACCCTGAAAGGGTTAAATTAGTAATTTCCTACTGATCCTCCTAGCTAGCTATGTAGATCTTAATTTTGTGCAAATTTTCAACTAACGTGTGCAGCACCATGACCATACTTCACTCCAAACCAACGGTTATGGAATGTGTATATCACAAAGTCTTTTTCACATATCCATTTTAAGTATTTCTTTTAACCTTTTATAATATTTTCCTGGGATCTGATCACCTTTCACCTGTAGCAACTTTATTTAACACATCGGCCATCAACTACTAAGGTAAGATGACCCAGAAAAGAAGAAACACTTTCACCACAGCCTATTTGTAGCTCTGAAGTCATCATCACAAGCCAAGTGTGGCACAAATAATGCAAAGAATTACAGACTGTAACAGAATACAGAGTCTAAATGAAACTGTTTGGTGGAAGACTTAAGGCAGCACAAATACTGTAATTTGAAGAGAGAAAAACATTTTTTGCATAACCTAATTTTAAATATATTACAGCAATAATCTATGTATTACCTCTTGCATTTATTTCACAATTTATGATATAGTTTTTTTTTTTTTAACACACTGGCTGTCTCCTACTGAGGCTGGGTGACCCAAAAGAGAAACACTTTCACCATATTCACACTATCACTGTCTTGCCAGAGGCACACAGATACGACAGTTCAGAGGTCCCTCCAAACAGCCAATACTCCAAACCCCTCCTTTAGAGTGAGGCACTGTACTTCCCACTCCAGAACTCAAGTCACATTTATCAAATACCGTACATAATTCAAGTAACTGCATTACAGTACTGAAGAGTATTACTCAGCCTCACCTGCAGAAGCAGGTCATACATATTCCTGAGACAGGCTGGTGGGCAGGGAAGTCGCTCCCCTTCCTGATCAATTTTCTTCAAAATTTGCTGGCCATTTAGCCCAACCCACGGATCTTCTCCAAACGTAAATGTTTCCCACAAAGTCACTCCATACATCCACACATCTGGGTGGAAAAATTAAATCTTAATTCAAATGGTATTATGGAAAATGAAACATAATAAAAGAAGTATAATATACAGTTTACGATCAGCTCCCAATGCGACCAATTATGTAAGTGTATTTATGTAAGCGCGTTTGTATGTGTATGTTGCTCTTAGACAGGCCATCTCCACTGCCTCCAACCGCCTCCTCGCTGCAGCATTTATAACCCAAGCTTCACACCCATGTAAGAGTGTTGGTACTACTATACTTTCATACATTCCCTTCTTTGCCTCCATAGATAAAATTTTTTGCCTCTACATATACCTCAATGCACCACTCACCTTTTTTCCTTCATCAATTCTATGATTAACCTCATCCTTCATAAATCCATCCGCTGACATGTCAACTCCAAAATATCTGAACACATTCACTTCTTCCATACTCCTCCTCCCCAATTTGATATCCAATTTTTCTTTATCTAAATCATTTGATACTCTCATCACCTTACTCTTTTCTATGTTCACTTTCAACTTTCTACCTTTACACTCATTCCCAAATTCGTCCACTAACCTTTGCAATTTTTCTTTAGAATCTCCCAAAAGCACAGTATCATCAACAAAAAGTAACTGTCACTTCCCATTTTGTACTTAATTCTCCATAATTTAATCCCACCCCTCTCCCGAACACCCTAGCATTTACTTCTTTTACAACCCCATCTATAAATATATTAAACAACCATGGTGACATTACACATCCCTGTCTAAGACCTACTTTTGCTGGGAAGTAGTCTCCCTCTCTTCTACACACCCTAACCTGAGCCTCACTATCCTCCTGGAGGTTACCTGGATGTTATTCCAGGGATCAACGCCCCCGCGGCCCGGTTCATGACCAGGCCTCCTGATGGATCAGGACCTGATCAACTAGGCTGTTACTGCTGGCCGCACGCAGTCCAACATATGAGCCACAGCCCGGCTGATCCAGCACTGACTTTAGATATCTCTCCAGCTCTCTCTTGAAGGCAGCCAGGGGTTTATTGCCAATTCCCCTAATGCTTGATGGGAGGCTGTTGAACAGTCTTGGGCCCCGGACACTTATGGTGTTTTCCCTTAGTGTACCAATGGCGCCCCTAATTTTAATTGGGGGCATTTTGCATCGCCTGCCCAGTCTTCTACTTTCGTAGGGAGTGATTTCTGTGTGCAGATTTGGGACCATTCCTTCCAGGATTTTCCAAGTGTAAATTATGATGTATCTCTCCCTCCTGCGTTCCAACGAGTACAAGTCAAGTCCTCATAAAAACTCTTTACAGCATTTAGTAACTTACCACCTATTCCAAAAACTTGCAACATCTGCCACATTGCTCCCCTATCCACTCTATCATATGCCTTTTCTAAATCCATAAATGCAATAAAAACTTCCCTACCTTTATCTAAATACTGCTCACATATATGCTTCATTGTAAACACTTGATCTACACATCTCCTACCCACTCTAAAACCTCCTTGCTCATCTGCAATTCTACATTCTGTCTTACCTCTAATTCTTTCAATAATAACCCTACCATACACTTTTCCTGGTATACTCAGTAAACTTATTCCTCTATAATTTTTACAATCTCTTTTGTCCCCCTTCCCTTTATATAAAAGGACTATACACACACTCTGCCAATCCCTAGGTACCTTCCCCTCTTTCATACATTTCTTTCTTTCTTTCAACACACCAGCCGTATCCCACCGAGGCGGGGTGGCCCAAAAGGAAAAACAAAATGTTTCTCCTTTCACATTTAGTAATATATACAGAGAAGGGGTTACTAGCCCCTTGCTCCTGGCATTTTAGTCGCCTCTTACAACCACACATAGCTTACGGAGGAAGAATTCGTTCCACTTCCCCATGGAGATAAAGAGAAATAAACAAGAACAAGAGCTAGTAAGAAAATAGAAGAAAACCCAGAGGGGTGTGTATACATATGCTTGTACATGTATGTGTAGTGTGACCTAAGTGTAAGCAGAAGTAGCAAGACGTACCTGAAACCTTGCATGTTTATGAGACAGAAAAAACACCAGCAATCCTACCATCGTGTAAAACAATTACAGGCTTACGTTTTACACTCACTTGGCAGGACGGTAGTACCTCCCTGGGCGGTTGCTGTCTACCAACCTACTACCTAGGTTTCATACATTTATTAAACAAAAATACCAACCACTCCAACACTATGTCCCCCCCCCTGCTTTTAACATTTCTGTCATGATCCCGTCAGTTCCAGCTGCTTTATCCCCTTTCATTCTACATAATGCCTCACGCACCTCCCCCACACTTGCATCCTGCTCTCCTTCACTTCTAAAAGATGATATACCTCCCTGGCCAGTGCATGAAATTACCGCCTCCCTCCCTTCATCGACATTTAAAAGTTCCTCAAAATATTCTCGCCATCTACCCAAAACCTCCATCTCCCCATCTACTAACTCCCCTACTCTGTTTTTAACTGACAAATCCATTTGTTCCCTAGGCTTTCTTAACTTGTTTAACTCGCTCCAAAATTTTTTCTTATTTTCATTAAAATTCCTTGACAGTACCTCTCCCACTCTATCATCTGCTCTCCTTTTGCACTCTCTCACCACTCTCTTCACCTTTCTTTTATTCTCCATATACTCTACTCTTCTTATAACACTTCTGCTTTGTAAATACCTCTCATAAGCTACCTTTTTCTCTTTTATCACACCCTTTACTTCATCATTCAACCAATCACTCCTCTTTCCTCCTGCACCCACCCTCTTATAACCACAAACTTCTGCCCCACATTCTAATACTGCATTTTTAAAACTATTCCAACCCTCTTCAACCCCCCCCCCCCCACTACTCATACCTGCACCAGCCCACCTTTCTGCCAATAGTTGCTTATATTTCACCCGAACTTCATAAATTATCCAATTATAACCAAATGATAACATAATTAACCGATTAAATTATGATTTCGTTCTGAAATCAATTATGTCATTCTGAAATTATAATTGAATCAATGATAACTTTCAAGTTTATCTTTTTGAATAAACAAAGTTAATAACAATAGAGATAAATGATATAAAATATCAACACAATGGAAAAATAGACAAATGCAATATAACACAGTCCTTTATTGACTATGTTTTGCCCACAAAGTGGGCTTTATCAAGTCACAAATGGATCTGTTTGTGACTTGATAAAGTCCACTGTGTGGGCAAAACATAGTCAATACTGTATTTGTGTTTTCTCTAAAGTTAATAACACTGACCTGAAGCATGTGAAAACTGCTTAGACTTGAGAGATTCTGGGGCACACCAAGGAAACGGTACCTTCTTCTGCTCTGTCATCACATAGCAGTCCTCTTGTTGGGGTAATGCCCGCATAAGACCAAAATCACCAATCTTTAGCTAAGGAAATTCAATGAGTGTAAACACTACAACAGAAAGCAAAGAGGAGGATATCCGAGAGATAAGTGCAGAAAAAACTAATAGGTTTAGATGGGATGGTAAATTAAATGATCATGCTTTGGGTAGTGGAAAGAAATATTAGAGGTTTAATTAAAAATTTTAATAACAAAATATGACTAATCAGATTTATTTTTTAAGGTTAATACAGTGGAACGTCGGTACTTGAACAGCTTTCTACCCGAACAAAGCTCGGAACTCGACCAAACAAACAACCTGCCAGAACTTCGCTGTAAACTATTTTGTATTTCTTTGCATTTTTTGGTGTTTTTTATTATTTGTATAAATAAGTCACCATGGGACCTACAAAGATTAGTGATAACAGCCAACCAAAAAGAAATTTGGTTGGAAAAAATACAGTTGATACTCAAACAGCCTTCCGGAATGAATTAAGTTTGAGTACTGAGATTCCACTTTATCAAATTTGGAACAGGAATTTTGAAGACCTGCCTAGCACTGGCCAGTAGGCCTACTGTACTGATTCTCCAGTCTTATGTTCTAATGTATTATTTTTTTTTTTTGTGATTATTTTTTTTTTAACTTATTCTTGAGTGGCTTGTGCTCACAAGATGAGCATATTTAATAAGCAAAAAAACTCATCTTGTGGCCAGAAATATATGGTAAGAATGAAAAAGTTAGTCAGTTTTTAGACTTACACACAAGACAACAAACTGGATTTAACAATGTACTCCTATCTAAGAGGTACAAAAGAACCTATAACAGTAGCTACACAATCAAACATCTGCTAATATGTTCCCCACTCTATACCACTTTCTCTATACTGCTCATTCATCTATCTATATCTCACTAATGAGATCTGTATACTATGAGAAACAACAACAATTGACATACTTTAATCCTGTTATTAGAATACTAAGAAAGCTTTTGTACATCCAGTGACTTTACAGAACCTAGCCAAAATATCCTCCAGTCATGTAACTCAGTAATTCAGACATACAATTTTCCTTAACCCTTTGAGGGTCGACAGGCCCTCTCCGAGACTCGTTCTCAGGGTCGGCCAAATTTAAAAAAAAAACAAAAAAAATTTCTTATGAAAAGATAGAGAATGTTTTCCCAATCATAATGACACCAAAAGTATGAAATTTGATGGAAAACTTACAGAATTATGCTCTCGCGAAGTTAGTGGTCTCGGCGATGTTTAAGCATCGGCAATTTAGCCCACTTTGAGCCCTATTTTCAGCCAATTCCACTGTACTAGTCGACAAAAAAAATGAATATTTCGCTAGAACTCCATTTTTTTCTATCGAATGAGTGCAAGAAACCACCCATTTACCAATTTCAACTATCCAGTACAATGGTCAGAATTTAGCAATTTTGCCAATTTCACACAAATTTCAAAAGATGCCAATTTCCAAATAGGGTCCAGAATAAACAAGAAAGACATTCCTGGCACTAAAATGACATTTCCTCTGTTCATTAGTCACTTCCCAAGGCCCCTCTTACATTCTTTTGCTTTCCACTTCGAATTTTTATTCTCACAAAAAATAAAAGATTTACTGTTATGCAGACTACTGCATTAGTGTAAAAAATGGTATAAATAATATTGGTGCACTTGCGAAAGAATATCAGACTCACCAGTTGACGTGTATTGGACGCTTGGCATGATTTGTTTACTTTTGAACTTTGGTAAAAATCGAACATTTCTGCTACTTTGAGCTCAATTTCAAGGTACTTTTCATTGTAAAACCATCAAAATCATCTCAATTTCTGTAATAACATGTCCTCATTCTATAAAATGAGACCAAGAAAACTAGAATACAATAATAAATACCATACGAAAATACAGTGCAAAGTCGCTGTTTTATTCCAAAAAAACGGTCAAAGTTTTTTTTTTCTCATTATGCACTGTGTGCTGCAGGATTTTTTTTATACTGTGCACACTGACTACATAGACCCATTCTTTCATATGTAGGCCTACCAGCTTTCTCCCACTAGATTTGAGGGCGCTAGAATTTAGGCGTACTAGTACATCAAAAACCCTGGGTCGTAAGCCGTACTAGTACGGCCGAAACCCTCAAAGGGTTAAAGCTCATTAATCACTTTCCATAACTCATATTTCCCTATCAAATTGCCCATTTCTACAATAAAAACTGCAATCATAGTCTGATGTAACAATCTGCCAGGTATTTTTTTTTTAATATGCTGGCTGTCTCCCACCGAGGCAGTGTGACCCAAAAAAGAAACACTTTCATCATCATTCAAACTATAACTGTCTTGCCAGTCTCTCTGCTATATACATCAAATCAAAAAAAAAAAAAATTATGCACTGACCATCTCCCACTGGAATATGGTAACTTCAGTGGGTGATGGCTTCAGTCAATCATCATTTGCCAGAAGTGCACAGACATCGCAGTGAGTTAGTCTAAGAAGGAATAAATATATAAACCAGCTTACCTTATCTACAGATGCCATGAGCACATTTCTGGCAGCGAGATCACGATGAATGAATCGTCGACTTTCTAAATACTTCATCCCATTAGCTATTTGTACTGAATAATCACATAAAGCTGTAAACAAGAAGTAATTAGAGGTTTTACTGGCATGACATGAATGGCCCAAATACACATTAAATCTGACACAAGCAACTTACAAACAAGGGTTGTGACTAGAAGACTAGTTTCAACAAGGTCATGTAAAGAGCTAAGTACATATACTGTACAACAATGATTTATATACAAGTTTCCTCTTTAAAGCTTGCACCAGATACACAGACAAGCTGGTGTAATAAGGGTTAAGGAATAGAGCCCAATCCTAGTAAACAAAAATATGTACATTATAAATACATGTATGTGTACAAGCATATATATACACACCCCTCTGGGTTTTCTAATATTTTCTTACTAGTTCTTGTTCTTGTTGTTTATTTTCTCTTACCTCCATGGGGAAGTGGAACAGAATTCTTCCTCCGTAAGCCATGCGTGTTGTAGGAGGCAACTAAAATGCCGGGAGCAAGGGGCTAGTAACCACTTCTCCTGTATATATTACTAAATGTAAAAGGAGAAACTTTCGTTTTTCCTTTTGGGCCACCCCGCCTCGATGGGATACAGCCGGTGTGTTGAAAGAAGAAATACATGTATGTATGGTATGTACTTGGTGCTGTAAACTATTCATCATTAGTCCACAATTTACAGAGGAAACTTCAGCTGACATTCAATAAACTTTCTAAGGAACCATCAATTTTCAGACTTAACATTCTTAGGTAAATTAATTATTAACTAACTGATGACTGTTACAATTAATTTTAGAAACATGACAAATTCTCTGGACTACAAATATTTAGACGGCTGTTACTACAGCTTACACATTTGTCACTAAAGAAGTTAAAATGCTCCTAGATTCTTTAGAAGGCTGAGCTTTTTCCTTATACCTGTGTACTTGATAAAGCTCCACTGTGGGAGAAACATCTCATAATTAAAACTTTTTCTGCTAAAAGTGTCTCTGACATTACCAAAACAATCTTATAAACTAGCAGAGAGGTTTAAATAGTAACTTACATGTAATGGATACACGAGAGAGTTGTTTACGAAGATGATCCAACAAAGACCCAAGGGGAGCTAGTTCAGTTACCATCATCAAGGGATTGCTAAGAACAATCCCAAACAATCTGTTGACAGAACAGTGCAATATCAAAATTAAGAAATGTGAATTAGTGGTGAAAGTCATTTTAAAATTAACATAAGGGTAAAAATGACTGAGTACTGTGTAATAACCCATTAGTAATTATCTACTCGAGCTTTAGGAAAAGGGGCGAGAGCTTCAGAGCTTGGCCCCATCTCTGAACTTTCAGCTCACTGACAAAATTGAGCCCTGTCTGAATCCTTGTACGGAATCACTTCTATTATTCGACTCATTCCACTTCTTTGCTACTTTAATATTGAAGAAATGCTTTCTAATATCCTTATTGCTCTTGCAATTTCTAACCATGCCCTCTTGCTCCTCTGCATCCTTGGTAAAGATCCTACATTTGTTTACCCTGTCTATGCCTTATAGTATTTATTTGCTGATCCTGTCCCCTTATTCCTCGCTCCTTCAGTGACATGAGGTGGTTTTCCATAACACATTTCTTTCAGTTTAGGCATTTGTCTTGTTCCTCTCTTTTTCAAACCTTATTCTACGTTTTAACGAGCAAGGGTTTCACAATTGCACTGCGTTCTTGAGAATGGGCTGCACAAATGAGGTAAAACAAGTTTTAACCTTCAAACTGTATCCAACATACTAGTATGCCAGTAATGACTGTGAAATGTACTAGCATACCTGGAGTATACCTGAAGAGGGGTTTCTGGGGTCAATGCCCCAGCAGACTGGTCTGTGACTGAGCCACACAATTTTTCATGCTTTTAAATAAGCCACCAGCCAATATTTCTGATTTCACCACAACTGCTTGGGTCTCCTACAACCTCTTCATGCCTTTGGAAAAAAAATCTAAGCCCAGATGGGTCCACATGGTGCATCGTAGGTAACACTGCCTAACTAGCATAAGTAAAAAATGTAAGCAGGACCTGCTCTTCCACCACCAGCTTCCCTACCAGCAAACAGTGTGTGCAACTGCCTGGAAGATGCCTTTTTCATTCCAAATTCATTAAAATTTCATGATAACAGTGAAATTTGGCCAAAAGGCACTCTATGTAGATTTAACCTAGGATAACTCAACATAGTCACTGACTTGTTTCCAAGTTTCACTGAGTATTACACCTTATAAATATGTTTTACAGTGATCTTGGAGGCACCAAAGTGTTACGAACACAGAAATTGCTTTTATAAAACTAGGATATTCCCTCAAACCTAAATATATTTTTCAATGAACAGTAAGAATAAGTTTTTCTTTATTCTTTACTCACTTTATTAAATTGGGATGAGAGAGCTGGTGCATGGCTTGTACCTCACGGATAAAGTCATCAAGAGCTCCAGGCACGTTGATTACATCTTGTTTCAATATTTTTACAGCTACCTGCAACACACCATTAAATATGAGAGAAAAGCAAGGAGAAAAAATAGAATTATTTCACCAAAGCTTTTTCTATATGCTTTTTTGATATCTCAAGGATGAATTTGGAACTTCTGATTTCTTTTTTTTCATTCACTGAACTTCGCTAATGGGTATGCATTGATGTGCATTATCGTTAGGTGGTACGCTTAGAATTTATTTTTTTAAGGGGGCAAGGTTTCCCTCAATACATTAGACAAATTAACATGAATACAAGACAAAATACTGTGGATTAAACCTTTTTTTTTAACATGTCGGCCATTTTCCTTGGTGGGAAATGGCTGGCGTTAAAAAAAAAAAAAAGAATACAAGACATAATAATGTGGATTATATTGAATCAACATAAGCATACAGTAACATACACATTTTTATGCTTGCACCTGCATATTAGTTTGTGGTTGGTTAAGATTACAGATGTTAATAAGAGAGTATTTAGTATCTCCTGATATAACTTTTGATAGTTTTATCCACAAAATGTGTTGAAATTTGAAGTGCAATAACTCACCACCTTCATCTTGCCACTAGAAGTTGTCCATTCACCACTACGGACAACACCAAAACTTCCATCACCTATTTTGCGACCTTGAGCAAGATCCTGTTTCATATAAACAAAATAAATATTTTATTAGTCTTATTTTAAGGAATATGACAATACAGGATACACAATACATAATACAAAATACATAATACGTAATCTTAAATACTGTCTTCTATTTAATACGATTCAGAAACAGAATGCTTACAAATATTTACTTGCTGTATTAAATGCTTTAAGCCAAAAAGATAGGAATTCTTAAAATTTACATAGTAAAACCCACGGAAACAAATTATTAATCCACCAAAATATGTAGAGAAACGGGTATGCATATATGTACTGGAATATGCCCATTCTTGGCAGGTCCTTTTCAAATCCAACCTTTTCAGAGCATTCTCCACCTGACTCTTCACATCACTATGTTCTCTATATATACAGTATAATTCCTGCATCCACTGATTCGGTATCCGCAGTTTCAGTTATTCACGATTTACTGTGGCCCAAAATATACCTCTTAATTTTACCTAATAATGACCCCAAAGCATAAATGTTAAACTGGCAGTTCTTCAAAACTTAAGAGAAGCTGTGAAGTGCTTCCTATCAGTAAAAAAGTCATAATTCTCCACTTATTGTCCATAATTTATCAATTAAACTTTATAATAGCTACTATCCATGGTTTCGGTATCCACAGCAGGTCCTTGGAATGTATCCCTTGTGGATACGGGGTTCCTACTGTACTCATGTACTCTCTACTCAGGTAGATCTGTTTGTGACTTGATAATGCCTGGTGTATGAGCAAAACATTGTCAATAAAGGATCACACTATACTGCCTTTGTGCCTATTTTTCCATCCAGGGTACAAAGTAATAAGGAGAGGCAGGCCAGTGAGAGGCAGAAGGAAGTCACTCCTCATTCAAGACTTTGTAGAGTCGGAAGCTATACAGTACACAGTATACTAGAATAGGGACTCTACCAACAAGAAGGCCTAAGACAGTCATGGTAGCACTATAAAACCCACTGCTATATATATAGCAAGAGACAAACACAAAATAATGATAGTAGCAATAAGTCAGTCACAAAGATAATATAAAGAGCAGCTCTGGCTACTGAGAAAAAGGGCACAAAGCTACTAACAATGGATTGATTCAACAATCTACACACTGATCCAGAAATAAAGAATCCCCCATGGTGGAAGAGAAACAGTGAGGAAAGTTAACAAATGTCATCAGGCACAACGTTCATGGCAAACACATAAAGAACCTAAGAGAATTAGGCAAGGAAACAAAACAGACAGGATCTTAATTATGTACAGCAATGATTACATTTTTCATTTTATAAACAAAATTTCACCTTTGGTAATGTTAGTGGATAAACGAGTTGAATGCATCTATTTTTTAAAGAAATTTAAAACTTATATTTGAGAAAACTTTCACCTTTTCCTGAATTAGGCATGTCAGACCTGACATTTGTGATTCATCAGTTACAGGGAATGATTTATTTTTAGTCAAAGTAGAACTACCCGTTGACAAGAGTTTGGATACTAGGTTTTTTCTCCATGTTGTTGATCTTTTCTTCTTGACAGTTTCCAACAAACGCCTCGCAGCAGGCTTCCCAAGACCAATGCGCTCCAAGTCCTCACCTCGAACATAGTCAAAATGATTGAGCCTCGTAACCTACAGAGAGAAAACTAAGTTACATATATTAATCTCTCACCATTTATCATGAACCAAATTATCAACAGTGTAAATACAGTAAATAAATCATTATTAAACACACACTCAAAGATTTAAAATACAGGCAGGCCCTGCTTATACAGCAGTTACTGCTGTAAAGCAAAAATCACTGTTAAGTGAATCACAGCCATTTTATACTTTCAAATGCATATAAAAGCCTGATAATATATGATAGTGTAATATCTCAGTCCACAGTAAGATTCAAACCTGTAAACTTGGCATCAAAGTAAAGGGTACTTTATCCACAACACCAGACTCCAGGTAAGTATGGGCGCCTAGCCGAAGCTAGATGGTGTTTCCCCATACCCTGGAGCACCAGGCTTGTTCAAAGTTATTTCACCAAATCCTGCCACATGCAGTGAACAACAAAAAGAGATTTTGAAATGCTTAACAATTTCCAAACAGGCAAAATTATTTACAAACATTATCTCTCACCCCACAGCAGGATTCGAACCTGCAAAGTCAACATTAGAGCACACACTACTTTATCCACAATGCCAGACTCCAGATAAGTCTGGCGTTGTGGAGTATAGAATTACCTGAAGATCATCACGAATTCGTGTAAAAAACTGAGCAAGCTGTACTTCCACAAGAATGCCTCGTATAACCTCAAGCTCATCTTCCCCGACATCACCCATCACATTTGTCTATTCTGGAAAGAGGTAAGTAAACTTCTGCATAAATTATAAAAAAAGAAATCCATCAAATGACATTATTTACTGTTGCTATAATTATATATACAATATAATGCATATTGTTATTTGTTGTGGCTGAGACTCGGCTCATGTGTGTATGTATATATATGCATGCATGTATATATGTGTGCATACATATATATGTATGCTAAGTATTCTTTATTTCTGTATGTATGTGTATATATGTCTTAATTTTCATCATGTGTGGGAGATTCTGAAGAGAAGTTGCAGAGGTTGGTGGATGAATTTGGTAGGGTATGCAAAAGAAGAAAATTAAAAGTGAATACAGGAAAGAGTAAGGTTATGAGGATAACAAAAAGATTAGGTGATGAAAGATTGGATATCAGATTGGAGGGAGAGGGTATGGAGGAGGTGAATGTATTCAGATACTTGGGAGTGGACGTATCAGCGGATGGATCTATGAAAGATGAGGTGAATCATAGAATTGATGAGGGGAAAAGGGTGAGCGGTGCACTTAGGAGTCTGTGGAGACAAAGAACTTTGTCCTTGGAGGCAAAGAGGGGAATGTATGAGAGTATAGTTTTACCAACACTCTTATATGGGTGAGAAGCATGGGTGATGAATGTTGCAGCGAGGAGAAGGCTGGAGGCAGTGGAGATGTCATGTCTGAGAGCAATGTGTGGTGTGAATATAATGCAGAAAATTCGTAGTTTGAAAGTTAGGAGGAGGTGCAGGATTACCAAAACTGTTGTCCAGAGGGCTGAGGAAGGGTTGTTGAGGTGGTTCGGACATGTAGAGAGAATGGAGCGAAACAGAGTGACTTCAAGAATGTATCAGTTTGTAGTGGAAGGAAGGCGGGGTAGGGGTCGGCCTAGGAAAGGTTGGAGGGAGGGGGTAAAGGAGGTTTTGTGTGCGAGGGGCTTGGACTTCCAGTAGGCATACGTGAGCGTGTTTGATAGGAGTGAATGGAGACAAATGGTTTTTAATACTTGACGTGCTGTTGGAGTGTGAGCAAAGTAACATTTATGAAGGGGTTCAGGGAAACCGGCAGGCCGGACTTGAGTCCTGGAGATGGGAAGTACAGTGCCTGCACTCTGAAGGAGGGGTGTTAATGTTGCAGTTTAAAAACTGTAGTGTAAAGCACCCTTCTGGCAAGACAGTGATGGAGTGAATGATGGTGAAAGTTTTTTTTTTTCAGGCCACCCTGCCTTGGTGGGAATCGGCCAGTGTGTTAATGAAAAAAAAAATAATATATATATATATATATATATATATATATATATATATATATATATATATATATATATATATATATATATATATAATATATATATATATAGTATATATATGAGTAAGGATGTCTATGAATCAGTGTATACATAAAGTATACATACAGTATACATAAAGTAATAAAGAAAGTAGTAATGTGAGAAAATAATCAAGTTTATTATGGAACTTCCTGTTACAGCACAACCTTCACATAATAACATTAACAAGATAACAAACACAACATAATCACACACACTACAAACACGCACAAATAACTTACCTCAATAAACAAGTTAACAAAACGTCAGCACTCCCAGTTACCCTTCCTCTCATTCCAAGACTCGACAACCAATGGTAATTCCTCTTATATGACCTTCCTCTCTCTCTCAGCAACTTGATCACAGGTGTGTCTTGCTCCCAGGGCAAGATATATACTGGGTATTAGTGTATAAAAGTGTAAGTAAGGTTTAGTATCAGCCCTGAGAACACACACTTCAACACTGTCATTCCTCACTCATGTAAACAACCTTCTCCAGTGTTGCCTCAACTTATTAATCTACATTAACTTTATTAAGTAACTAAGTAAGTTAGTTTACTTAGGTACAAGTAAATATATCTACACAAATTATCATATATGGTAACGTGTGTAATTACTTAACATAAACCCCAAAAAATGTCAAAGTTACTTATTTCCATCTGGGTTCTTGTAATATCTTATTATTTAAAAGTTAATAATTAAGTTTATTTAGGTACAAGTGTACATAAGTACAATTATGATATATAGTGTAAATTACTCAAAATAACCCGAAAAAGTCAAAGTGACTTATTTCCACTGTAATATCTTATTTTTTCAGCCTTAAATATTTCAAATTCATAGAATTTTAATACAAATAAGTCTCATTGCTTGGTTTAACAGGGTTTTAATGTATAAAACAAACACAAGGGGCCAAAAATATGGTTTATATCACTTGTGCTCTCCAACTTACTCATAATTATAACAAAAATTATATGTTATAATGCGCATTTTCAATAAAAAACAAAACTAAAACTGGTTTATATGTGAATATAAGAGTATATATAAAACATAATATAACACTAGCATGTGAGGGATGTAACTAGATAAACTGAATCATTCCGGTGATAACAAGTCTATTTAGGCACTGTGTATGTTACATACAAAATATTTAGTGGTGGTGAGAACACACAGGTGTTACGAGCACACAGGTGTTACGAGCACACAGGTGTTACGAGCACACAGGTGTTACGAGCACAGGTGTTACGAGCACAGGTGTTACGAACACAGGTGTTACGAACACAGGTGTTACGAACACAGGTGTTACGAACACACAGGTGTTACGAACACACAGGTGTTACGAACACACAGGTGTTACGAGCACACAGGTGTTACGAGCACAGGTGTTACGAGCACCAGGTGTTACGACACACAGGTGTTACGACACACAGGTGTTACGAGCACAGGTGTTACAAACGACACAGGTGTTACGCACACAGTGTTACGAACACACAGGTGTTACTAGCACACAGGTGTTACGAACACACAGGTGTTACGAGCACACAGGTGTTACGAGCACACAGGTGTTACGAGCACACAGGTGTTACGAGCACAGGTGTTACGAACACACAGGTGTTACGAACACACAGGTGTTACGAACACACAGGTGTTACGAGCACACAGGTGTTACGAGCACACAGGTGTTACGAGCACACAGGTGTTACGAGCACAGGTGTTACGAACACAGGTGTTACGAACACAGGTGTTACGAGCACACAGGTGTTACGAACACACAGGTGTTACGAGCACACAGGTGTTACGAGCACACAGGTGTTACGAGCACACAGGTGTTATGAGCACAGGTGTTACGAACACACAGGTGTTACGAACACACAGGTGTTACGAGCACAGGTGTTACGAACACACAGGTGTTACGAACACACAGATGTTACGAGCACACAGGTGTTACGAACACGTGTTATGAGCACACAGGTGTTATGACCACACAGGTGTTATGAGCACACAGGTGTTACGAGCACACAAGTGTTACGAGCATACACGTGTTATGAGCACACAGGTGTTACGAGCACACAGGTGTTACGAACACACGTGTTATGAGCACACAGGTGTTATGAGCACACAGGTGTTACGAGCACAGGTGTTACGAGCACAGGTGTTACGAACACGTGTTATGAGCACACAGGTGTTACGAGCACACAGGTGTTACGAACACACGTGTTATGAGCACACAGGTGTTATGAGCACACAGGTGTTACGAGCACACGTGTTATGAGCACACAGGTGTTATGAGCACACAGGTGTTACGAGCACACGTGTTTAGACACACGGGGTTATGAGCACACAGGTGTCATGAGCACACAGGTGTTACGAGCACACGTGTTATGAGCAAACAGGTGTTATGAGCACACAGGTGTTACGAACACACGTTGTGAGCACACAGGTGTTATGAGCACACAGGTGTTACGAGCACACAGGTGTTACGAGCACGCAGGTGTTACGAGCACACAGGTGTTACGAGCCCACAGGTGTTATGAGCACAGGTGTTACGAGCACACAGGTGTTATGAGCACACAGGTGTTACGAGCACACAGGTGTTACGAGCACAGGTGTTACGAGCACACGTTATGAGCACAAAGGTGTTACGAGCACACAGGTGTTACGAGCACGCAGGTGTTATGGGAACATAGGTGTTATGAGCACATAGGTGTTATGAGCACACGTGTTATGAGCATACAGTGTTATGGGAACATAGGTGTCATGAGCACACATGTGCTATGAGCACATAGGTGTTATGAGCACACTGGTGTTATGGAGACACAGGTGTTATGAGCCATCGACACCAGTGTTATGGGAACATGTATCATGAGCACACAGTGCTATGAGCACACGAGTTTTTATGGAAGCCACATTGGGTTAGACAAGCCACCGATGTTATCGAGCAAGTGCTTACGAACAGGCGAAAATGACATGCCATGCACTTGCCCCATGGGCCAACCAATGAATCTTGTTCACAAGAACTGCATAGAAGCCCATCACGAGTTTACCATCCTATGGAAGGGAGCAGGCTAGCCCCATCCACAAAGTGGAGTAACAACAAGCACTAAGACCGATAGCATAAATCCATATCATAAAAGACTTTGAAAGGGCCTAAAGCAGATCGACCATGCCATCTAGAAACCATCAGTTACACAACCATGGCAACATGGGTTATAGAACAGAGTGCTCCTGTCGTTCATCTATTGGATCATCTACGGACAAGGTCCTAAATGGACTAGATCCAAAAAGAATGTAGATGTAATATATACAGACTTTGCAAAACCTTGACAAGTGTACCATGGCAACGTAAATCCGATAATCTTATTATCTATATCTTAATAGACAAATGCGCAAGGATAACAGAAAATCGTCGATGGATCTATATTCCCATCTAGAACATCAAGTAGTGCAACAGAATAGCGTGCATACATGGAAGCTTTTCAAACAGTTCGCTCCCACTGTCTATCCTCATATCTGACATACGACAAGGTGCTAACAGCACCGTGCTCTAAGATAAGAAAGATTTGTCGATTTTAACCCGGACGTTTGCACCAGGATAACCTCGAAAGTCAGTGCGTCATCAGCGACTGGTCTAACTTATTCATTGGAAGTCCGTTCATCTTGTCCCAGTGCGACCCACACCAGTGGACTAACCAATACTATTGCAGTGCTGGAAAGACAACATTAAGGAACGTGTCGAAATTTTCCAACCTAATCGATATGGCAACCTGAGGATAATTTCTAGAAACAGTTAGCCACAAGAGGGCGATACACCAACTGCAGACGGTGATCTTCCATTGCAGGACGACTCAGCTCCAGGCGACATCAACCATCTTCATGGGCTGCAGAAAACAAGATTAGTTCAACTGAGAAATTTCTACTCAGATGGTAAAGCATGAGGATTGAACATCTCACAGAGCTACAAAACACCAAAATTCTGGCCACAAATAGAGCGAAACACTCACGTCAAAGACCTGGAGAATGAATCATGTCGTGAGGATCTCACCTTCAAGGACCATAAACCATACCCCGGCGGGATTGAACCCGCGGTCATAGAATCTCAAAACTCCAGCCCGTCGCGCTAGCCACGGCAGTGAAGGGACTTGAGCTAGAGTTCGTCACGGCCACGCTAGCTGGAGATTCGTCTGTAAAAACTTGCATTTGTGGTCACAGAGGTGCCTGTGCTAACTTTCCTATGGTGTAGAAATATACCTAGTTGGATGAATCTTATTGTGGCTAGCTGGTCTAGTGGCTAGCGCGACGGGCTGGAGTTTTGAGATTCTATGACCGCGGGTTCAATCCCGGCCGGGGGTATGGTTTATTTGCAATCGTGTCATTACGATTTCTTAAGTCATTCAAGGACCATAACATTGTATCAATCGCATCTGCTAGAAAAATGACAGGATGGATAATGAGAACCTTCAAAACTAGGGAGGCCAAGCCCATGATGACACTCTTCAGGTCACTTGTTCTATCTAGGCTGGAATATTGCTGCACACTAACAGCACCTTTCAAGGCAGGTGAAATTGCTGACCTAGAAAATGTACAGAGAACCTTCACGGCGCGCATAACGGAGATAAAACACCTCAATTACTGGGAGCGCTTGAGGTTCCTAAACCTGTATTCCCTGGAACGCAGGAGGGAGAGATACATGATTATATACACCTGGAAAATCCTAGAGGGACTAGTACCGAACTTGCACACGAAAATCACTCACTACGAAAGCAAAAGACTTGGCAGACGATGCAACATCCCCCCAATGAAAAGCAGGGGTGTCACTAGCACGTTAAGAGACCATACAATAAGTGTCAGGGGCCCGAGACTGTTCAACTGCCTCCCAGCATACATAAGGGGGATTACCAACAGACCCCTGGCAGTCTTCAAGCTGGCACTGGACAAGCACCTAAAGGCAGTTCCTGATCAGCCGGGCTGTGGCTCGTACGTTGGTTTGCGTGCAGCCAGCAGCAACAGCCTGGTTGATCAGGCGCTGATCCACCAGGAGGCCTGGTCACAGACCGGGCCGCGGGGGCGTTGACCCCCGAAACTCTCTCCAGGTAAACTCCAGGTAATAGTATATCTTATTGACTTAATGGGATTTCCTGGCTTAAACATGTATTATACGTGTCCATAACACCTGTATGTTCATAACACCTATCTTCATAACACATGTGTTCATAACACCTGTGTTCATAATACATGTATGTTCATAACACCTGTGTTCATAACACATGTATGTTCATAACACCTGTATGCTCATAACACCTGTGTTCATAATACCTGTATGTTCATATTATTATTATTATAATCAAGGGGAAGCGCTAAACCCGTAGGATTATACAGCGCCTGGGGGAGGATGTGGAAGGCATTCAGGCTTAATTCGGGGAACTGGAGCACAGATCCAATTCCCTAAATCAAGAGCCCCTCACCAACATCAAGGAACCTTCCCTGAGGGGGGTATGTTCATAGTACCTGTATGTTCGTAACACCTGTATGTTCATAAAATATGTATGTTCATAAAACATGTATGTTCATAACACCTGTGTGCTCATAACACCTGTGTTCATAATACCTGTATGTTCATAGTACCTGTATGTTCATAACACCTGTGCATATCCCTGTGCTCATAACACCTGTGTCCATAACACCTGTATTCATCTAAGATCTTTGTAAAAATTTAAACGTGTGTGAATCTCACTTAATACTTACACACATTGGGGAATGGAAAGGTTTGATCCATGGAAGGAGAGATGGCAGCTCCAGCACCTTTGACCAAGAGCTCTTCACCGGCATCAATGATTCAGTTATATAGGAATGTTTGAGTAAGATGAGGATATGAAAGTTAGAGGCATTGTGACAGATAAGATATTGTTGGGATTTTTAACCCAGGGTGGTAGGGATAGACACCCAGGGTAATCCAGGATAGGAAGAGTTAGCAGCCCAGGATAACCAGGGGTTGGGAGGGTTAGCCACCCAGAATAACTCGGGGTTAGGAGGGTTAGCCACCCAGAATAACCTGGAGTTAGGAGGGTTTGTTTCCCAGGATAACCCAGGGTTGGGAGGGTTATCCACCCAGGTTAACCCAGGGTTGGGAGGGTTAGTCACCCAGGATAACCCAGGGTTGGGAGGGTTAGCCACCCAGGATAACCCATGAAGGTCACTGTCATCAAGGACTGTCTCTTATTTCCATTGTGGTCCTTTGGACCCCAATGGAAATAAGTCACTCTGTCTGACTTTTTTGGGTTATCCTAGGTACTTTACACATATGCTGCTATGTATGATAATCTATGTAACTGTATTTGTGTATGCCTGAATAAACTTATTTACTTACTACTCCCCCAGGATGCCACCCACACCAGTCGACTAACGCCCAGGCACCTACTTACTGCTAGGTGATCAATGACAGCAGGTGTAAGGAAACATGCCCAATGTTTCCACCTGTGCCAGGGACTAACCCTGGACAATCAATGTACAGCGAGTGCCTTGTCCCATGCTTTGAAATACCTTGATACCAGTGAAGGGCTCTTGATCCAGTGAACTGGAGCTGCCTTGCCTTGCCTTCCCTCAGATCAAAGCTTATTGCCTCCTCAGGAGCTGTGTGCTATCATGGGTTTAACGTTTGCCTCATGAATATAACACCAATTATGTAACTCATTACCACTCAAACCTTATTGTTCTTTTAAATACATCATTACCATAGCAACTTGCTATATATTCCCGAGGCACTTATTACATACGGGTTTAGGGTTTAATAATAATAATAATAATGATGTTTATTTCTACATGTACATATACAAGGTATACAGGCCTAACTAACATCAGTGACATACTACTATATAGAAAGTCCCTTGTTATGCAGAGCATTTCCTGCAAATCAGGTCAGTTTTGTTCCCAGGATGCAACTCGTACCAGTCGAATAACACCCATGTACCTATTTTACTGCTAGGGGAATATGGACAGCAGTTGTCTTAAGGAAACACATCCGGGATTACAAGGACTATGCTTCTTACTTACACTTGGTCTGGGTCCATGATATGGGGGATACTGTTCACGGATTGTGTAGTGATCAACGCACTTTGTTCAAAACATTGCTTTGTGTTTATATTCCCTTTTAAGGTTGAGGAAATATTGAAATTATAAAATATTATGCAAATACATTTTATTACTGAGAATAAGGGGGATTACCAATAGACCCCCTGGCTGTCTTCAAGAGGGAGCTGGACAGGACACCTAAAGTCAGTAGTACCTGATCAGTCAGGCTGTGGTTCATACATCGGTTTGCATGCAGTAATCAGTAACAGCCTGGTTGATCAGACCCTGATCCACCACAAGACCTGGTCATGGACCGGGCCACGGAGGCATTGACCCTCGGAATACCCTCCAGGTATACTCCAGGTAGCATCTAAAACTACTGAAGTTGACTGAAGTATTAGGGGTGTATTGTGGACTTTCAGTGAAGACATGAAAAAAAAAATCTGGAGTGTCTGATTATTATTGTAATGAAAAAGAAAGAACTAAACCTACAAGGGTCATACATCACAGAGGAGTGTCTGATAGTGACTGCCAACATGAAAATTTAATCAAGGGAAAGAACTAAACCTATTAGGGCCATATAGCACCTGGGGAGTGGGAGGTTCAGTCCAAGGAAGAGGATATAGCTAGTTCCTTGGATCAGGAGCCCCTCACCAGCATCTGGACACCTCTCTCTGAATTGACAACAGTATTAAATGTGGCACATTTTTGTTCAACACTTTTCACTTCCAACATGTCTGACATTTCTTTTACACATGTAGTATTTTGGCCAGGATATGACTTCCAGTGGGACGACTGTGTAACACTGTGGGTGCCATGAAGGCAGTGAAAGGCTCTTGGTTCAAGAAATTGGAGCTGCCCTCCCTTCCTTGAACCAGACTTGATTGTCTACCATTTCCCAGGTACTGTATGACTTTTATGAGTTTAGTGCTTCTCCGTGAACATAATAATAATAATTATTATTAAGTTTGTAACACATTTGCATATTAAGTTTTCTCGGGTATGACCATCGACAGTCTGATGAGATACAGTGCCGCTATATGGGAAATTATTATTACATTCGTGGGGGAACACTAAACCTGTAGGAGTCATAGAGCACCTGGGGCAGAATGAGAGACATTCAGGTTTGATCCCAGTGAAGCACAGGTACAATTCTTGGATCAAAAGCTGCTCACCAGTGCTAGGTGAGCAAAGGTGTAAGGAAAATTTGCCCTTACATTACACCAGTGCTGGGTCTGAACCTGGGGACTTGGATGTGAAAGATGTCATCATAGCACCACTTACCAGAATTATTATAACTATATTCATGAGGAATACAGAACCTAAGAAATGAGAGGGATTCAGGTTTAATCTAGTGAAGGGAAGAGGAGCTCCCATTCCTTGGATAAAGAGCCAATCATCAGCTGCCAGAATTATGCATTTCATTTTGTTATAAGTTACAAAAAAATTCAAAATATTACGAAAACTTAACCTCCCGCTTAAGCTCCCGCTTCACACACGGAGGGCCCGGGTTCGATTCCCGGCGGGTGGAAACATTCGACACGTTTCCTTACACCTGTTGTACTGTTCACCTAGCAGCAAATAGGTACCTGGGTGTTAGTCGACTGGTGTGGGTCGCATCCTGGGGGACAAGATTAAGGACCCCAATGGAAATAAGTTAGACAGTCCTCGATGACACACTGACTTTCTTGGGTTATCCTGGGTGGCTAACCCTCCGGGGTTAAAAATCCGAACGAAATCTTATCTTAACAATATGAATTTGTGGCAATAACCAAGTAGTGATAAAAAGACTTAACTAGAAAAACTTTTATTTACAGAGATACACATGTACTAAACTTTCTCAAGTGACAAGGAAATCAAAAGATATGCTCACATACATAGTAGGGAGGAGGGTAGTGCATGAGATAGTGGCCAGTACACCAAGAACGGAAGAGCTAGTAGGCCTACTGCAGTGCTCTGCTACCCAGGAAAATTGACATGAGGAATGAGTTGTACAAGTGTGTTAGCACGTCTGTCTGAAATCTTTGTTTTTATTCTTAAGTAGTATGATATGGCTGATGGAAATGCAAATCCCCTCTGCTCTTAGGAACTGTATTCATAATATGACCTACTTTTAAACACTGTCTATTGGTGTGGTCCTCTTCAACAATGTTTAGTTCAGATCATTCCCATGCCATAAGATGTGAGAGAGTGTTTCATGCATCACACTAGTGTTCTTTTCATTGCTGATGTGGCAAACATAGTTATATTTGTTAATGTGAGTCTAGGTCTCTCCTGATTTCCCTGTGTACCAGGTATATTTTCTCACAGCTTTTCCAAGGGGTGGTATTTTTTTTAACACACTGGCCGTCTCCCACTGAAGTAAGGTGAACCGAAAAAGAAGAAACACTTTCACCATCACTCACTTTATTACTGTATTGCCAGAGGCATGCCAATTCTGCAGTTTAGATGCCCCTCCAAAGTGCAAATATCCCCATCCCTTCTTCAGAGTGCAGGCACTGTACTTCCCACTTCCAGGACTTAAGTCCAGCTAACTGGTTTTCCTGAATCCCTTCACAAAATGTTATCTTGCTCACATTTCAACAGCTCGTCAAGATCCAAAAACCATTTGCCTTCTCTCTCTCCTATTTAACACACTCACACACACCTGCTGGATGTCCAAGCCCCTTGTACACAAAACCTCCTTTACCCTTCCCCTCCAACCTTTCCTAGGATGACCTCTACCCTGCCTTCCCTCCACCACTACAGAGTGGTATATATTTAGCTCAGATTCTGCAAAGTCCCTTCATAGTATTAACTACTGGCACTATTCTACAGAATTTAAAAGTATGATTTGATGAAATTCATTAGTCCATTAGTAGATGCATCATGTGATGACACAGTGTTCTTGTTTTGAAGCTCTGGTTCAATAACTTTTGCCAGCTGCTTACCAAGTTCCACTCTGTGAAAGCAGGTTTACAAGTTAGATTTAAAGTAAGTAAAACAATAAATGAATCAAAATAAACTCAGGCGGCTCCAAGAAATTTGTAAATTTTAAATTACTCTGGTAGGTGTATTCTAGGATAATGAGACAAAAGAGATTAGTCTTATCTGATATCGCCCCTTCAAGGGGGTGCCTTGATACTAGTGAAACTCTTGATCCCCCCCCAAAAAAAAAAAATCTATGCTACATTCCCTTTCATTAGATCAAAAATGATTAACTCAAGCACTTTATGATCTCTATAGATTAAGCTCTCTCTCCCTTGATTATAATAATTATACATTAAAAAAATTGAGAAAAATGCAACCTGGGTAGAGCATACGAATAAAGGATGCTGATAAAATTCTACGACAAATATGGGTGTTATTACAGCTATTGTAAATTTTATACAATATTGTAAGTTATATTGTGTCTAAAATGCATAATGGTGACTATGGAGTCTTGAATGCCATTTAAAGGCTTTAAAGCATGCATTAAAAACAAACTTCTAATAAACAACATATTTCAGATATGAAAAATATAAACAGTGACAGCATCATACAGTGCAGTGGATCCCCAGTTTACGATATTATTTCATTCCAGAAGTTTGTTCAGATGCCAGTACTGAACGAATTTGTTCCCATAAGGAATATTGTGAATTAGACTAGTCCATTTCAGACCCCCAAACATACACGTACAAACGCACTTACATAAATACACTTACATAACTGGTCGCATTGGGAGGTGATCGTAAAGCGGGGGTCCACTGTATTGATAAAAGCATAAACTCTTACCCCCATTGATCAAAGGAATTAATGTCCCAGATAATGCCCTGTATGAAGATCTTGTGTTCATACATAGCAATTAGTGCTCCCAAAGTAAATGGAGTAAACCTTTCAACCATGATAGAGTTTGTCGGGCGGTTGCCTTCAAACACTTTATGAGGCAAGATATGTTTTTGTTCATCAGCTGACAGGTTAGCTTTTTCTAGTTCAACCTTGGCTCTTTCTTTCGTCTTCCCTCTCATAAGAGCCTCTGTTTGTGCCAGAAAGTTTGCCAGCAGCAGCTGCAAAATAGAAAAAGCAAATTGTGTTTTAGGTAATGAAAAACTGGATATCAGATTAGAGGGAATGATTATGGAGCAAGTGAATGTGTTTGGATATTTGGGAGTAGACTTGTCGGCAGATAGATCCATGGAAGAAGAGGTAAATCATAGAATAGAAGAGGGTAAAAAAAAAAAGTGGGTGGTGTGTTGAGGCATCTGTATAAAGAAGAACTTTATCCATGGAGGTAAAAAGGCAAATGCACCAGAGTATAGCGGTACCAACACTGAGTGCAGCCTCTCCTCACTTAACAATGGAGTTCCGTTCCTAAGACCACGTCGAGTGGAGGGCAGTGAGAGCAATGTGTGGTGTGAATACAGTATTATGAATAGAATTCGAAGCGTGGAATTAGGTGTGGGGTTACCTAAAATATACCGTATTTTATGGCATCTAAGATGTTATTTTTTCCTGAAATGTCTTGAAAATTTATCCAGCATCTTGGAGGCTGAAGCACTATTTATCTTTTCTCCCAAAATTTAGCCAGTCATAATTGGGGGGACAGAATCTTGACACAAGAGAATCCCGTTCGCTGTAAAATACGGTAATTCGGTTTGGGCACTTAGTGAGGCTGGAACAAAATAAAAGGTGGAGGGAAGGAGGGGTTAAGGTCATTTCAGTAAAGGCTGAAGGGAGAGTTTAACGAGGCTTTGAGGACTAGGGGCTTGAACATCTAAGAGGCTTGTGCAAGTGTGCTAGATCAAGTGAGTAGAGGCAAGTGGTTTTTATGACCTGACGTGCTGCTAGAATGTGAGAAAAGTAATACTTATGAAGGGATTCACGTAAACTGGTTAGTCGAACTCAAGTCCTGTAGGTGGGAAGTACAGTTCCTGTACTCAAAAGGAGGGGTAAAAATGTTGCAGTTTGGAAGGTCATCTGACATGCAATGTCAACATACTTCTGACAAGACACTGATTGAATGAATGATGGTGCATGTGTTTCCTCTTGTTTGGGTCACCCTACCTCAATGAAAGATAGCTGGTGTGCTAATAAAAAAAAATATAAAATATTATGAAAACCCTTCACAAATAACTTATGCCTAGAACAGATTAACTCGGTGGCACTCGATGTATGCACAAGGCTTATTCCTCTAAGAAAAAGGAGGAGTAGATGTAAAATAGAAAGAGACAGGCGCTCCCTTTACAGGCGACGGAAAAGAATAACAGAGCGGCTAAAAGAGGTCAATATATCTGAAATGCGCAGGGAGACACTGGTCAGAGAAATAGCAAGCATCGAACTTAAGCTAAAAGAATCCTTTAGGAGTCAGGAATCGCGGGAAGAACTAAAAGCCATAAATGAAATCGAAAGAAACCCAAAGTATTTCTTCTCCTATGCCAAATCAAAATCGAGAAACAACGTCCAGTATTGGGCCCCTACTTAAACAAGATGGGTCCTACACAGATGACAGCAAGGAAATGAGTGAGCTACTCAAGTCCCAATATGACTCAGTTTTTAGCAAGCCGCTAACCAGACTGAGAGTCGAAGATCAAAATGAATTTTTTATGAGAGAGCCACAAAATTTGATTAACACAAGCCTATCCGATGTTATCCTGACGCCAAATGACTTCGAACAGGCGATAAATGACATGCCCATGCACTCTGCCCCAGGGCCAGACTCATGGAACTCTGTGTTCATCAAGAACTGCAAGAAGCCCCTATCACGAGCCTTTTCCATCCTATGGAGAGGGAGCATGGACACGGGGGTCGTCCCACAGTTACTAAAAACAACAGACATAGCCCCACTCCACAAAGGGGGCAGTAAAGCAACAGCAAAGAACTACAGACCAATAGCACTAACATCCCATATCATAAAATCTTTGAAGGGTCCTAAGAAGCAAGATCACCACGCATCTAGAAACCCATCAGTTACACAACCCAGGGCAACATGGGTTTTAGAACAGGTCGCTCCTGTCTGTCTCAACTATTGGACCACTACGACAAGGTCCTAAATGCACTAGAAGACAAAAAGAATGCAGATGTAATATATACAGACTTTGCAAAAGCCTTCGACAAGTGTGACCATGGCGTAATAGCGCACAAAATGCGTGCTAAAGGAATAACAGGAAAAGTCGGTCGATGGATCTATAATTTCCTCACTAACAGAACACAGAGAGTAGTCGTCAACAGAGTAAAGTCCGAGGCAGCTACGGTGAAAAGCTCTGTTCCACAAGGCACAGTACTCGCTCCCATCTTGTTCCTCATCCTTATAACCGACATAGACAAGGATGTCAGCCACAGCACCGTGTCTTCCTTTGCAGATGACACCCGAATCTGCATGACAGTGTCTTCCATTGCAGACACTGCAAAGCTCCAGGCAGACATCAACCAAATCTTTCAGTGGGCTGCAGAAAACAATATGAAGTTCAACGATGAGAAATTTCAATTACTCAGATATGGTAAACATTGAGGAAATTAAATCGTCATCAGAGTACAAAACAAATTCTGGCCACAAAATAGAGCGAAACACCAACGTCAAAGACCCGGGAGTGATCATGTCGGAGGATCTCACCTTCAAGGACCATAACATTGTATCAATCGCATCTGCTAGAAAAATGACAGGAGGATAATGAAACCTTAAAAACAGGAGGCCAACCCCATGAGACACTCTTCGGGTCACTTGTTCTATCTAGGCGGGAAAAATTTGCTGCCACTTACAGCCCCTTTAAAGGGCGGGTAAATTGCCGACCTAGAAAATTCGAGAACTTTCACGGGGGGCCAAAACGGAGATAAAACACCTCAATTTTTTGGGGAGCGCTTGAGGTCCAAACCCTGTTTTCCCCGGGAACGCGGGAGGGAGAGATACAGATATATACACCTGGAAAAACCTGAGGGGCTATACCGAACTTTTCACACAAAATCACTCATTACAAAGCAAAAAACTTTGGCAGACGATGCACCATCCCCCCCCAAAAAAAAGAGGGTGTCACTACACGTTAAAAAGACCATCAATAAGTTCAGGGGCCCGAGACTGTTCAACGCCCCCCACACACATAAAAGGGGGTTACCAAAAGACCCCTGGGAGTCTTCAAGCTGCCTGGACAAGCACCTAAATCATTCCGGTCACCGGGGTGTAGCTCGTATTTGGTTTGCGGCACCCAGCAACAGCCTGGTTGATCAGGCTCTGACCACCAGGAGGCCTGGGCTCGACCGGGGCCCCGGGGGGGTTGACCCCCAAACCCCTCCAGGAAACCCAGGAAAACCTCACACAGGAAAAAGAAAATCCCATTTTGGTATTTTGGCCCTTTTTTTAATTTTCATGGAGCAAATCTAATTATGTACCTCCCATTCCCCAGGTACTGTATGAGCCCAGTGGATCTAGCATTTCCCCATCAATATCAATAACATGGAAAATTATTCACAAATTTTTTATATAAATATTTGATATATGTTTTTAAAAAAAGGGTATACATACAGGGGTAGGGGGCAATGTGGCAGATTTTTTCAAGTGTATGGTGTAGGAGGTAGGTTACTGAAAGCAGTGAAGAGTTTTTACGAGGATAGTGAGGCTCAAGTTAAAGTATGTGGGAAAGAGGGAAATATTTCCCATAAAAGTAGGCCTTGACAAGGATGTGTGATTCACCGTGGTTGTTTAATATTTTTTATAGATGGGTTGTAAAGAAGAAAATGCAGGGTTTGACAAGGGGTGGGGTTAAAAGAAAAGAATCACCACAAAGTGGAGTTTGTCACAGCTGCTCTTTGCTGAACCGTGCTCTTGGGAATTCTAAAGAGAAGTTGCAGAGATTGGGGGATAAATTTGGTGGGGTGTGCAAAAAAAAAAAATTAAAGGTGAGTACAGAAAGATAAGGTTATGAGGATAACAAAAGATTAGGTGATGAAAGATTGAATATCAGTTGGGGGGAGAGAGTATGGAGGAGGTAATGTATTCAGATATTTGGGAGTGGACGTGTCAGCGGATGGTCTATGAAAGATAGTGAATCAAGAATTATGAGGGAAAAAGAGTGAGTGGGGCACAGGAGCTGGGAGCAAAAAACTTTTTTCCTTGGAGGCAAAGAGGGGAATGTATGAAGTAAGTTTTACCAACGCCTATATGGTGTGAAGCATGGGTTTTTAATGTTGCAGCAGGGGAAGGCTGGAGCAGTGGAGATTCATGTCTGAGGGCAATGTTGGTGTGAAAATAATGCAGAGAATTCGATTTGGGAATTAGGAGGAGGTGCGGGATTACCAAAACTGTTGCCAAGGGGTGAGGAAGGGTTGTTTGAGGTGGTTTGGACATGTAAGAGAATGGAGGGGAAACAGAAGATTCAAGAGTTACATCGTAGTGGAAGGAAGGGGGGGTAGGGGCGGCCTAGAAAGGGTTGGAGAGAGGGGGTAAAGGAGGTTTTTGTGCGAGGGGGCTTGGGCTTCCACAGGATCTGGCGTGTTTGAAGGATGAATGGAGACAAAGGTTTTTAATACTTGACGGCTGTTGAGTGTGAGCAAAGTAACATTTATAAGGGGGTTTAGGGAAAACCGGCAGGCCGGGCTTGAGCCTGGAGAGGGGAAATACTGCCTGCACTCTAAGGGGGGTTTTTTTTTAAAAAAAAAAAAGGTGGGTGTGTTGAGGATGTATAAAGACTTACATGGGGGAAAAGGAAATGACCAAAAAGCGGTCAACCTGAGTGCCTTCCTCACTAAATGGAGTTTGCACACGGGTTTGGCAGTGGAGCTGTGCTTGGAGATTAAGATAAAGGGAGTGGTTAGGATGGTTATGCATAAGGAAATTTAAGGCAGTAGATATTTAGGTTATGAATGATTAAAAAGATTGGGATGAAGTTGAAATCAGATTGAAATGTATGGGGTGATGTCCAGATATTGGGAGCTTCGGGAAGTCTAGAAAGATGGGTTGATTGTAAAAAAGTATTGGTGCACTTAGGGGTTGGGACAAAAAAAGTGGAGGGAAAGGGGTAATGTCATCAGAAGGTAAAGGAGAGTTAACGAGGTTGAGACTGGGGCTTGAAATTCAGAGGTTGGCAAGTGGCTAGAAATTCAGTAGAGGCAAGTGGTTTTATAACCTAAGTGCTGAGAATGTGAGAAAGAATACTATGAGGGATTCACGTAAACTGTTTAGTCCGAACGTCAAGCAGGAGTGGTAAGTTAGTTCCGCTAAAATGGAGGGGTAAAATGATGCATTTGAAGGCTTGACATCGATGTCAACATGCTTCTGACAGACAGTTGGAAAATGATGGGAAGTGTTTTTCTTGTTTGGGTCGACCTGACCTCAAGAAAGATATGAGGGGAAAAGAAAAAAAGAAATTATGGAATTCAATCCTTACCCCCCAGGAGAACGAAACACCTATGGGATGGCCTTTTTTCATGGCAACAATAATGTGCCTCACCCCGGGTTAATGTTGCCCATGGATTAAACTTTTTAACAAACCAATACTGGAAAACTTGTGTAAAATAGTTATGAAATTTTTATATATTGGGCAACCCATCTGGGTATACATAGAAAAAAAAATAAAAAAAGGGCAAAAGAAAAAAAAGCTGAAAGGGCAAAAGTGAAACACAAGACACAAAAAGTGAACACAAGGAATGATCGATGATAATGCAAGTAAAGAGTTTTGCAAGTAAAAATAAGTGTTGCCATTTGGAGCACTGTTTGAGCTGTGATGCTCATGCACCTCTGACAAAACAGCTATTGAACGAGTGATGGCAAGTCACCCCAACTACTTAGGAAATGACTGGGAGACGACATTTGTGTTTAAAAGAAAAATGTAACTGTGCTGGATAGGCAAAGATGGTGTAATTAAAACAGCTACAACTTACTGTACCTAATTATTAACAAACCTTATGATGAAGGTTATCTCTAATTGGGTTATGGGACTTGACAGGAGCAATGAAGTCTGCCGGAATTAGACGAGTCCCCTGATGAATCAGTTGATAAAATGCATGCTGGCCATTGGTCCCTGGTTCACCCCAAACAATTGGCCCAGTGCTGTAGTCCACCCGGCGTCCACTACGTGTTACATATCTGTAAAAAAAAAAAATCCTAAATTATATTAAAACCCATGATAATTTTTCAATATGCAATTTGAAAATCATATTTTAAAAAAATATCATGTTAGCCTTCAGTCCTATGCTGTACATAAATTTGTATGAGACACATAATGTTAACCTTGTCTTCTTAGCCTTAAGTTCCTTCTTGGAAAACATTTATACAGTACTTATTATGTTGTAGGTAAAAGACACAAATGCATAGGTCAAGACATTACTGCAGTATTATTATCTTCATGGGACAGTATTAAACCATTACAGTCATACAAGCAGTCTGGAGTACAATATACATGCACACACGTACTTTCCATTCGACTCCATATCCCCTTGTTGAAAGTAAGCAGCAAACCGGTGTAGGTACTGGTCGTATGGTAAGAGGGCATGGGTTCCTGCACCATAAAAGTTGTGATACCATATGCCCAGAAGTCCAAGAATTACAGGAAGCTGGTAAATTATACAATATTGTAAGCATGATTATTATCAATAAACAATTAGCTTTATGAAATTATTACTGTAATATAATTTAATTATACAATATAAAATGCCCCATGTAAAATTTGAGCTAAAAACAAAAAAGTTACACATTTTAAAAATTCTTAATATTTTTAAAATCTTATTTATTAAAATATCTTATTGGTATTAATTTGAAGCTATATAATATGACTTTTACTTATCCTCATTATGGTATAAATCAGGAATAATGTACAAAATTTTAACCAATTTCATGAATATAATAAATGGATTATCTAAAATAATATTTGATCTAAAATAAAAAAAAAAAAACACTTACATTGTGCTCTAATGGTGCAGTTCTAAAATGGTTATCCATAAAATGAGCACCTGACAGAAGTTTTTCAAAGTTGCCAAACCCAATCTGGAGTGCAATAGACAGACCTACAGCTGACCAAAGGGAGTATCTGCCACCTACCCAGTCCCAGAATTCAAACATATTGGCCTCATCAATGCCAAAGTCTTTTACTTTGGGACCATTAGTTGACAGAGCTATGAAATGCTTGGCAACAGCACGATCCTAGAAAGATAAATGTTAACATTTTCAAGTTGACAAGCCCTTCCTACAAAAAATATGGAACTCAGTGGAACCACTTAAGAATATGCTGTACTAAATCAGTAAAAATATCTGGCACAAGATCAAACTCATAATTAATTTCAAAATTATTCATTATTAATAATAATTTGTTTCAAAATTATTCATAAAAATATACCTCAATGTATTTCATTAATTTTTTTTAACAAGTTGAACATTTCCCACAGAGGCAGGGTGACCCCAAAAAGAAAGAAAAAAATAACATCATCACTCATACAAAATCACTGTCTTGGCAGAGGCACTCAGTTTAGTCACTCCAAACAGTCAATATCCCAAACCCCTTCTTTAAAGAGCAGGCATTGTACTTTCCACCTCCATGACTCAAGTCCAGCTAATCAGTTTCCCCTGAATCTCTTCACAAAATATTACCCTGCTTACACTCCAACAGCTCGTCAGGTCCAAAAACCATTCGTCTCCATTCACCCCTATCTAACATGCTCACACACGCTTGCTGGAAGTCCAAGCCCCTCGCCCACAAAACCTTCTTTACCCCCTCTCTCCAACCCTTCCTAGGATGACCTCTACTCTGTCTTTCTTCCCCTACAGATTTATACACGCTCCAAGTCAATTTTAATGTTATATGTTAAAAATCATTAGAAAAGTAATGTGCCATACTACCTCTTTAGGGCCTTTTAACTCTGAACATGTGTCTAATTCCTAGAAGAATGTCCCAGTTAAAGTTCCCAAATCATATCTTACTACATAAATAAAAGATTTTTTCAAGAAATAAATCTATATAGTATTATGCTACACATCCTGTGGATATTTGTGTTTTTTCAATAAAAATACTTTCATGAAGTTTTATTACTGTATCAAATAGCAGCCTTGTAATACTAGTGTGGGGCTCTTGATCCACTATCATATTGTGATCAATATGTATTTCATATTCAAAAATAATCACTCTTCATGTGTGCTGCATTATATCCAAAACTGTTCATCTATTTCTCTTATTAAAAATACACCTTCATATTTTGTATAGAAAATCATCACACACTAGTACTACTGCATTACAAAATACTGAAGATACTTACATCTTTAGCAGTAGCTAGGAACCAGTTCTTGGCTGAGGTAGCATTGGTAATGGTTTCTTGTGTGGTGAATGTTTTAGAGGCAATAATGAACAATGTCCTTTCAGGCCTCAGAGTCTGATTGAATATTAATAAGTTGTAAATAATGCAAAATATAAAATAAATGTAATTATGTTTGACATAAGCAGTTATTAATGTCATATACAGTACAGTGTATTTGGATTAGAGAAGTCTAAGCAGCCAGTTAAATTATACACAGAACCTAAAACTTTTATACTTCATAAAGGTATGTACAATGAGAGGAATGTAAATACAGTACACTAAGAGTCTATATTAAGACATATTTTAGAAATACTCTAAATTATTTTAAATTAAGTGTTAAGATGAATTGTAACCTAACATAGTAACTCTAAACCTTACCTTAAGTGTCTCTGCCATGTGTGAGCCATCAATATTAGATACAAAGTGTACACTTAGTCCATTGGCATAAGGCTTCAGAGCCTCTGTTACCATTAATGGACCTAGGTCAGAACCTCCAATGCCAATGTTAACAACATCTGTGATAGCTTCTCCAGTGTAACCTTTCCATTCACCTGAAATAACCTGATGACCAAAAATAAAAATAAATAGGGTTACATTATAAACATTATACAGTACTTAATATGCAACAACATATTATAATAATTGATTTTTAACATTCATACATCTTACCCTGCCACAGAAGCTCTTCATGTGGGAAAGTACAGAATTAACTTGCGGCATGACATTTTCTCCATTAACCATAATAGGAGTGTTGGAACGATTACGTAAGGCAATATGTAAAACAGCCCTATCTTCAGTGAAGTTAATCTTTTCTCCAGAAAACATTGCATCGCGAGACCCCTCAATGTTGCGAGCTCTTGCCTGTGTATAAGAATAAAGTACGTACTGTATTACAAATGATTATGAAAAATTACGAGCATAAATAATAACCAACTTACTGAAGTATGTAGTTCAGAATATTTAGTAATGACAAAGTTGCTTGCAATTAAGATGTCAAGTAGGTAGCATATACGGTCATCCCTCTAAATTCATGGGGTTACAAAATTTACATAATTAATTCTGCATAAAATTTCAATTTAAGGTTCAATTTGTTTCACAGACCAATGTTCCATCACTCTGTACATCACTAACCTGGTTAATATTGGCATTCATATGAAATGAGGGCTAGAATAAAAAAAAAAAATAGGGTATGAGGAAAGCCTCCAAGCCATATAAATGTTGAGTACACATAATTGAATTTATTCACTGGTTGCTAACCATTGAAAATGCTGGATAATCAAAAACTGCAAATCTGGAAGCCATGGACTTGTAGAGGAGACAACTGTACTATGTACCAGTACATGTTTGAGTGCAGGAAGTACCCAGTTTAGCAAACAATTCCTCATGGGGTGAGGTACGTATAATCTACTTATGGTATTTACCGGTAAATAGTGATGACCATCTGTTTGTTTCTTGAGTCAAGACTAATGTCTTCATTTTTCTTTTATACAGTACATAATAATTCTTTATAAATACTGCACCTAAATACAGTGCAAAGAGACACTCATGCTTTGGTGTATCAAAAAAACTCACAATTAACTGGTACAGTATACAAGAAAATTTTAATAAAATAAATAAAACTAATACATGTACAGTACTTGCAACAAGAGAAATATACTCATAAAACAAATGTTAAACTCGAGACCAATTTTAAAAGGATAAATGTAACCTCTTATCAAATAGACTTACCAAATCAAACAGAAGTTTGAGAACTTCATCATTAATGCGATTTTTGCTGTAGTCAAGTAGCATATCTCCATCATCTGGAGTTGCCAATATCAGGCTGAAATTGATTACAGTACGTATATACAAATTTAAGCTACACTTTACTGTACATTGAAAAAAGTGAACTGGAAGTGTTACTTACATTGCTTCAAAAATACAAGTATGGATAGCATTAGTAAAATAAATAACAAATACTCTAGTTTGTAATTAACTAGTAAATTATCAACAAAAAAATAATTATCAATTTACAGTATACAGTACCAATACACAGAGAAACTCTAAATGTACTAAATATGGTATAACTGCATTGCAAAAGTCAAGGGAGATAATATATTTCCAATTTCCCAATACATGTATATGTCTTATGATAAAAACATTAAAAAAATAATCTTTAGTTATTGTCTACTGTTTTATTTAGAGATATGCACTGACCAGATAATTGAGCATCCACTATATTTTCAAATGCTGCATGAGACATTACATTAAGTAGCTTGGAAGGACTACAATTGGTCAAAATACTGTTTGAAAAATCCAATGTTTCTGTCAAAACCAAATATTAATACGTACAATCATTTATACAATGTACTGCAAATGCAACCTCAATTTCAAATCAAAAGCAGGGGGTATATATGCCAGTAAGTTTGCACATTACCCTAAGTGTATATACATAAAATTTAATCTTTACTTTAAGGATTAAAGTACAGTACCCTCGATGTAAGTAAGCAGGTAGATTGCAGCCTTATGGACCTCATCATGCAGTTGTATGCCTTAACCTAACAAATTAACCAAGTCAAGAGCAGTATGCCTTAACCTAACAAATTAACCAAGTCAAGAGCAGTATGCCTTAACATAACAAATTAACCAAGTCAAGAGCTGTATGCCTTAACATAACAAATTAACCAAGTCAAGAGCTGTATGCCTTAACATAACAAATTAACCAAGTCAAGAGCTGTATGCCTTAACATAACAAATTAACCAAGTCAAGAGTTGTATGCCTTAACCTAACAAATTAGCCAAATCAAGAGCCTCAGACTTTACCTGTATTTCTTAAACCTGTCTGGATCTTCTTTGAACAGTTGCATAATGTTTATTTTGCTGCCATACTTGTTATAGTAGTTTTGAAGTTGCTTGTAAGTTGTCTCCTCTGTGAGGTGAGTCTTACTTATACCACTACTTAAGTGTTCACCATTGTCACGTGTTAATAGTGCATTACGTTCATTCTTACACAGGATGGTGGATGTGTTTCCCATCTGTTGGCAGGATTAATAATGATAGTTATCTGTTGGCAGGATTAATAATGATAGTTATCTGTTGGTAGGATTAATAATGATAGTTATCTGTTGGCAGGATTAATAATGATAGTTATCTGTTGGCAGGATTAATAATGATAGTTATCTGTTGGCAGGATTAATAATGATAGTTATCTGTTGGCAGGATTAATAATGATAGTTATCTGTTGGCAGGATTAATAATGATAGTTATCTGTTGGCAGGATTAATAATGATAGTTATCTGTTGGCAGGATTAATAATGATAGTTATCTGTTGGCAGGATTAATGGTGATAACCTTATCTCTTGGCAGGATTAATAATAATAAGGTTATCTGTTGCCAAGATTATTAATGATAAGAATCTTAATTCAGGAAAATCTAAATAACACATAGTACAATACTTCAAAGATACGAAGTGACATCAATTATAAATGTAAGAGAAAATGCAATATTTCAGGCACATAACACTGATACATTATATACATTTAATAAATTACAAATTATTATTATAATCAAAAAGAAGCGCTAAACCACAAGGGCTATACAGCGCTGACACAATAAGTTACAAAAATTTAGATGATTACAAATATCATACATAGTAAAACAGGTTTGAATTACCTGAGATAATCCACAAAGTGACTTATTTCCATTGGAATAAACCAACAAAGTTGAAATCTGTAAATGTAACCTTTCGCTAAGCATGTAGCAGGTCCAAGAGCTACAGCCCGATTTCTATAGCTAAGCAGGTCCAGCTGAAGCTTATTAACTTCCTCTAATGGATATTTAGAAGGTCCAGGAGCTGTATTTCATCTTCCTTGGCTAGACATGTAGTAAGCCCAGGCAAAGGTATGTCAAGTCACTGTATTATTCTAGTTGTTAAGAGCAACTGTAACTTAGTTACTCCTTGTTAACCTCTACCATTAAGTCCTGACTACATGTCTTGTATCATAATAATAATAATAAATAATTATTATTATTTTTGTAGTTATATAATGCTTAACAATTTTCAAACGGTCAAAATCACTAATAATCATTATGAAGATTGAGACACTTATGCAGCATATGGGAATCTTTATTCAGGAAACGTTTCACCACACAGTGGCTTCATCAGTCCAATACAAAGAGGAAGGCGTAAGGAGAGGAGGAGTATGAGGTAATCAGTCCCTCAGCCTGGAGTCGATGATGGATTGATGGACTGAACACATCGACTCCAGGCTGAGGGACTGATTACCTCATACTCCTCCTCTCCTTACGCCTTCCTCTTTGTATTGGACTGATGAAGCCACTGTGTGGTGAAACGTTTCCTGAATAAAGATTCCCATATGCTGCATAAGTGTCTCAATCTTCAACTTGTCGGTTTTTCAAACCATTCATCACAATAATCATTATCCCCTTCCACAAAATAATAACGGACACCATTCCCACGTGCCCTCTTAGGGCGGGGAAGGTGCCAGAGCTAGAGCTTGTTACCACCTGCACTCACGTGCCCTCTTAGGGCGGGAAGGTGCCAGAGCTAGAGCTTGTTATCACCTGCAGCTCACGTGCCCTCTTGGGGCGGGAAGGTGCCAGAGCTAGAGCATTGTTACCACCTGCAGCTCACGTGCCCTCTTAGGGCGGGGAAGGTGCCAGAGCTAGAGCTTGTTACCACCTGCAGCTCACGTGCCCTCTTAGGGCGGGGAAGGTGCCAGAGCTAGAGCTTGTTATCACCTGCAGCTCACGTGCCCTCTTGGGGCGGGGAAGGTGCCAGAGCTAGAGCTTGTTACCACCTGCAGCTCACGTGCCCTCTTAGGGCGGGGAAGGTGCCAGAGCTAGAGCTTGTTACCACCTGCAGCTCACGTGCCCTCTTAGGGCGGGGAAGGTGCCAGAGCTAGAGCTTGTTACCACCTGCAGCTCACGTGCCCTCTTAGGGCGGGGAAGGTGCCAGAGCTAGAGCTTGTTGCCACCTGCAGCTCACGTGCCCTCTTAGGGCGGGGAAGGTGCCAGAGCTAGAGCTTGTTACCACCTGCAGCTCACGTGCCCTCTTAGGGCGGGGAAGGTGCCAGAGCTAGAGCTTGTTACCACCTGCAGCTCACGTGCCCTCTTAGGGCGGGGAAGGTGCCAGAGCTAGAGCTTGTTACCACCTGCAGCTCACCAGACTGCCCTTCCCACGACCCCCCCCCTGGGGCGGGGAAGATGGTAGACCAGAGGCCTAGTTTCTCACTCTGAGCCCCGTGAGGTCAGGGAATGTGGCTAGGCCTGGGGACACTTGGTCCCAGAAGATGAGGAGGTACTTGTACCTCCTCTCATGGCAGACATGGTCTCAGACACTGCCATGAGAAGGAGACAAGGTCGGGTCACCATCTGGAAAAGACCCGGACCAGGAGAGTACCTTGTTCATCTGTCAAAACTTTGGGGTCCAGTCCCTGGACCCATTATGTACCTCTGTAATGTTGAGGTACAGTCCCTGGACCCATTATGTACCTCTGTAATGTTGAGGTACAGTCCCTGGACCCATTATGTACCTCTGTAATGTTGAGGTACAGTCCCTGGACCCATTTTGTACCTCTGTAATGTTGAGGTACAGTCCCTGGACCCATTATGTACCTCTGTAATGTTGAGGTACAGTCCCTGGACTCATTATGTACCTCTGTAATGTTGAGGTACAGTCCCTGGACCCATTATGTACCTCTGTAATGTTGAGGTACAGTCCCTGGACCCATTATGTACCTCTGTAATGTTGAGGTACAGTCCCTGGACCCATTATGTACCTCTATAATGTTGAGGTACAGTCCCTGGACTCATTATGTACCTCTGTAATGTTGAGGTACAGTCCCTGGACCCATTATGTACCTCTGTAATGTTGAGGTACAGTCCCTGGACCCATTATGCACCTCTATAATGTTGAGGTACAGTCCCTGGACTCATTATGTACCTCTAATCTTTTGACTACCGTCCACAGGATGGGTATGGTGTGCATATTAAAGATATTAAACTAACTATGATTAATGTGGATATAAATTGTTGATAGTGAGAAAAATATGAAAGAAACTTAAGTTTAGGAGTTATTTTAACCATTGGTCATTTGTGGCATTTTTTCATTAAAATTGGCTACAATGCAGTGTGCTATGCCTCGACCCCTGAAACCACAATTAGGTGAGTACAACTAGGCGAGTATGTTAGTGGCTTTATGTCTAACAATATTTTATTACGTGTAAACTATATTATACGTATACTATATTATCTGTAAACTATATTATCTGTATATCATTATTTTTCAATATTTTGTGGAAGTTTGAATAAATAGTTGAGAAAAACCGAGTTGATAAGACACTTGTGCCACAATAGGGGATCTTTATTCTGAATAAAGATACCCAAATGTGGCACAAGTGTCTCATTTATGATCATTTTGTGGAAGTATAAAGTGAGAGAAGAGTCAGGTTAATAGTTTAGTTGATCATGACGGTTGATGTTGGTCAGTCAGGCTTCACTACTCCTGTAAGTTTATATATGTACAGGCACTCGTAAATACAACTATACATAGTAATATATGTGTAAATTAACCAGGATAACCAAAATAAGTCAAAGTGAGTTATTTCTATTAGGGTTCTTGGTATTTCCTCGGGTTTTTGTTAGGAAAAAAATGGTGTAGCGTCTTCTTCCTTGTATCAAGTTCCCATTGCCCAAGTGTAAGTTTATTTAGGCACGACCCTTGTCGGTTTAGAGCTTTGTTTAATTATAATAATAATTATTTAGGCACAAGTACACATAAGTACAGTTATTATACATTGTAACAAGTCTGACTTTTTTTTTGGGGGGGGGGGTTATCCTAAGTTTTCTGCACATATAGCTCTATAGCCCTTGTGGTTTAGCGCTTCTTTTTGATTATAATAATAATAATCTACACATATGCTGCTATGTATGATAATCTATGTAACTGTATTTGTATATACCTGAATAAACTTGTAAATTACCCAGGATAACCCAAAAAAGTCAAAGTGACTTATTTCCATTAATAGTCCTTGAGTTTTTTAAATAAGGTTAATTTGCTCTTGAAAGAAATAATTGTCTGCATGTTTGTTGCCTTTTTAATGGGTAAATTTGTTTGTATACCTTTAATGGGTAAATTTGTTTGCATACCTTTAATGGGTAAATTTGTTGCTTGTATACCTTTAATGTCCTTATATACAAGCAAATAATAAGTATTGCTGTAGTTAAGTTAGTGTTCAGCTTGCCTGATATGCTGTACATAATTATGGTCTTCCTACATCCACTACTATCTCTATACAAATATTGTATTATGTAGAAATACATCATTGAGCAACTTCAAGATTATTATTCTTGTAAATCTCCACCTTGACTACCTCGCATTAGTATTAAGATTAAATAGATATTTATTAAAAAGTTAACCACTCTTATCTTTTCTAGATTTTAGTTATGTATTGGGGTTATTCTGCCTGAAATACCCCAGCATGATAGTGGCTTTCTTTGTACTTAATAAACCAAAATTGTAATTACACATTGTAACCTTTACAAAGAAATAAAATCTTATCTTTTTTTTATTGACTTTGGCTTTCTAATCTTCATCTGGACATTTTCTGCTTCCTTCAAGGTGACTAATAATTTTCTTCCCTGAGAACTTTCCCTCTCTTACCTTCCGTGTTTAATATTAACCCTTAACACCTCTCCCCTCCTCCCATCCCATCAATCATCACCAGATCTTCATTAAAGGTAAGTGCCAATTATTTTATTGTTATTGTAATTATTCTATTGCATTAAACTTAATAGTTCATGTAGCAAAATTTTTTTTTTCATACTTTTGGGTGTCTTGCACGAATTAATTTGATTTCCATTATTTCTTATGATAAGGCTAAAGAGGTCTTTGTGGCATTTATGGATTTGGAAAAGGCGTATGACAGGGTGGATAGGGGGGCAATGTGGCAGATGTTGCAAGTGTATGGTGTAGGAGGTAGGTTACTGAAAGCAGTGAAGAGTTTTTACGAGGATAGTGAGGCTCAAGCTAGAGTATGTAGGAAAGAGGGAAATTATTTCCCAGTAAAAGTAGGCCTTAGACAGGGATGTGTGATGTCAACGTGGTTGTTTAATATATTTATAGATGGGGTTGTAAGAGAAGTAAATGCGAGGGTCTTGGCAAGAGGTGTGGAGTTAAAAGATAAAGAATCACACACAAAGTGGGAGTTGTCACAGCTGCTCTTTGCTGATGACACTGTGCTCTTGGGAGATTCTGAAGAGAAGTTGCAGAGATTGGTGGATGAATTTGGTAGGGTGTGCAAAAGAAAGAAATTAAAGGTGAATACAGGAAAGAGTAAGGTTATGAGGATAACAAAAAGATTAGGTGATGAAAGATTGAATATCAGATTGGAGGGAGAGAGCATGGAGGAGGTGAATGTATTCAGATATTAGGGAGTGGACGTGTCAGCGGATAGGTCTATGAAAGATGAGGTGAATCATAGAATTGATGAGGGGAAAAGAGTGAGTGGTGCACTTAGGAGTCTGTGGAGACAAAGAACTTTGTCCTTGGAGGCAAAGAGGGGAATGTATGAGAGTATAGTTTTACCAACGCTCTTATATGGGTGTGAAGCATGGGTGATGAATGTTGCAGCGAGGAGAAGGCTGGAGGCAGTGGAGATGTCATGTCTGAGGGCAATGTGTGGTGTAAATATAATGCAGAGAATTCGTAGTTTGGAAGTTAGGAGGAGGTGTGGGATTACTAAAACTGTTGTCCAGAGGGCTGAGGAAGGGTTGTTGAGGTGGTTCGGACATGTAGAGAGAATGGAGCGAAACAGAATGACTTCAAGAGTGTATCAGTCTGTAGTGGAAGGAAGGCGGGGTAGGGGTCGGCCTAGGAAAGGTTGGAGAGAGGGGGGTAAAGGAGGTTTTGTGTGCGAGGGGCTTGGACTTCCAGCAGGTATGCGTGAGCGTGTTTGATAGGAGTGAATGGAGACAAATGGTTTTTAATACTTGACGTGCTGTTGGAGTGTGAGCAAAGTAACATTTATGAAGGGGTTCAGGGAAACCGGCAGGCCGGACTTGAGTCCTGGAGATGGGAAGTACAGTGCCTGCACTCTGAAGGAGGGTTGTTAATGTTGCAGTTTAAAAACTGTAGTGTAAAGCACCCTTCTGGCAAGACAGTGATGGAGTGAATGATGGTGAAAGTTTTTCTTTTTCTGGCCACCCTGCCTCGGTGGGAATCGGCCAGTGTGATAATAAAAAAAAAAAAATATTTCTTATGAGGAAAATTGATTCGCTTTTCGATATTTTTGGTATTCGATGAGCTCTCAGGAACGGATTAATATCGAATACCGGGGTTCCACTGTATTTAACTGCTTCTGTGATACATTTTGTGATATTGATATTTGTTTAATAAATTAATTACGTTTTTTGTCTATGGTAATATATTTGGAGGTGAATTTTTCAGGATACCTCAGGCCAAGTGCATATTCAAAATATATCATACAGTTTGACTTTTATAGGATAACTTTAGTTAAATCTTAATTTATAATTCCTTTATGCTTACAGAGTACATAATACTATAAGCATTGTAAGTATTTAACACTATATAAAAACAAGCGGTTTTAATCCGAGCAAGAAGTTGGACTGATGTTATCTACATAATTTATCACTGTAGTATGCCTAAAATGTCTAACCACGATGTCCAGTGGCTTGGTTGGTAACTCTCTTCACACACTGAGTGTCTGTGTTTCAGTCCATATACCTGCTGTCCCTGTTCACCTAGCAGTAAGTAGGTGTCTGGGTGTTAGCTGACTGGTGTGTGGTGGCATCCTGGGGGACAAGATTAAATGATCGCCCTGGAAATAAGTCAGACAGTCCTCGATGATGCACAGACTTTCTTGGTTTATACTAGGTGGATAAGCCTCTGGGTTAAGAATTCAGAGAAATCTTATCTTAACTATTGTACAGATTAGTACTATCTGTTTCATTTGTTGATATTCCTGATAAAAAACTTACCTTAAAGCTTGTTTAGTAATAAGCTAAATGGGTACTAGTATGTATAATATAGGATAAGCAATTATTTATAATTATAAGAGGCTAAATGGGCTATTCCTAGCTTAAGTGAGACAAGAGAAAGTAGGTAAGGTTCTTTAACTTTATCCAAGGTCAATTTAAAGTAGTACTGTAATTAAATATCTTCTCTAATTTCAGATTCATGATGCCACTTCCAGTGTGTCTTCGGAGGTTCTTCAGCATAATAAAAGACAGACGTGGTTCAGTATATCATAATTCCTGTATTTGCAAAAATAATTTATCTTATTACAATGTTCAAGATAAAACATTAAATAACATTTTAAAAAATTGTATAAATTTTTACAGGGATGTGCCATCCCATTTTGAAATGACACACTTTCACAAACCTTCCACTTCTCAAAACATATCACAAAGGCACCTAATGAAGAATTCACACAGATTACCTCAAAGTTATACAAGATTTAGTCCAGCAAGGGGAATGAGTATGAAGCACTTTCCCTGTGCACTTTACCAGAGACTGACACAGACTGGCCTGAGTCACAGAGCTTACACAACTGGATCATTCACTGTGAAGGACACATTAATTGACTGGAGAGGGAAGCTGGAGGCTGCTCAGGTGCCAGAAGCAGATCTGGCTGTTGAGCACATAATGTCTCACATTCTTGGAGTACCACAAGTGAGTTTTTTTTTACTCTTTATGATTGCTTATCGTAGTTTCCTCATCCTTTGAGGGGGGAGGGGGTGCCATGATGCCAGTGAATGGTTCTTGATCCAAAGAATTGGAGCTGTATGCTCATTTCTAGAATTATGCTTGATTACCTCCCTTTCCCTGTGATTGGAATAAGTTTTATTTTCCTCTGAAAATAATCTTTAACTCAGTGTATTTTGGTTCATTTGTATGCAGTCTATATTTTTATTTAAACTATATGTATTTATGTGTCATGTAGAAAATTACTATAAAAGGCTTAAAACCTTTATACACAGAGTAGAAGAGCAGTATAGTAGTAATCATTTTGTTTTGTGAAAGTGGTGGTGTGATGGTCCAGTAAAAGGCCAAGGTTGTCTGTGGTCTTGTTCAGCACTCCCATTGAAGGGAAACTCGCTGCATTATTTAGACTGTTTCCCTTCAGTAGAGGGTGCCTTGAAATCAGTGAAATGTTCTTCGTCCAAGGAATTGGAGTAACCCTCCTCATGATGATAAATAACATCAGTTTAAATGATAGTTAAATGTACTCTGAATTATTAAAGGTATCCTATAGTGTGACTATTATAGTCACATGATTTATCTTTAAAATTCTATATGAAAACTTCATCCTCTGATATAAATATACTGCTTATTGAGTAAATTAATTTATGGAAAAAAAAATACTGTTCTCTCTTTATATCTCTGCACAAGACAGTTCCTCAGTTTCCCACCATATTAATAACTGTAGTTATAATGTTAATGGGAAGCTACTTTCATTACACAATGTATAGAATAAAATCTAGAGGTGGACAGCATTAATATTATGATGTACTTTCATCATCATACCAGTCAGGGCTCTATAAGAGGGGGGGAATGTTTAGGCTGGGGAAGGGTTCTTGATCCAAGGAACCGGAACTATCTTTTCTTGTTTTCTTAGGTCATGCTTGATTGCCTCCCATTTCCCATGTGCATTATGACCCCCTTCCCTTCTCCCTATGAGGTCAGTACTTCTCAGTGAATGGAAAAATAATCACACGCCATTGGAAATTCGTGATGCTATTATTACCCTTCTATGAAGTCAGTAGCTTAGGCAAGTAGTCCACTTAAATGGTTCATGTAGATTAAGCTTATGGCTTTATAACTACAGCTAATGTATTGTGCCAATTATATCCTCCTTTTGCTCTTGTACTCAGTATCAACACTTGTGCCTCTGTCAGCCACCCATATTTCATGCAGTGCTAAATGCACCATGTAGATTTACTGTTGTCTGTGTACTATATATAATGCTTTAGTATGCAAAATACAGTGAAACCTCGGTATACGACCTTAATTCATTCCAGAAGGCTGTTCGGGTGCCACTCTGAGTATCGAACAAGTTCTTCCCAACCAATTTTCTGTTTGGTTAGCTATTATCACTAATCGTTGTTGGCCCCATGGTGACTTATTTATACAAACAATACAAAAAAAAAATGCCAAAATTGCTAAGAAACATGAAATAGTTTACAGAGAAGTTCTGCTTGGCCTCACCATCCCAACCGTTCGGTGGACATTGCACTGACTCACCTTCGAGTCAGGCACTCGCGACTGGCGGCTCATCTGTACCGCCTTCGGATGATGGACTCTCTGTACTGCCCGTGGTGTCCCTCACATCCTGAGACAGTGGAACACTTCCTGTTGTGGTGCCCACGTTATCACTCTGCATGGACTACTCTCCATGCGGCCTTGCGCACGCTTGGGGTGCACACTTTCACTCTACCTGTCCTCAACGGGGAGGGGTTTCGCCCTCTGGACCATCAGGAGATATTGGCCTGTACCTGGTCCTTCCTGCTGGCTTCAGGGCATATCAGAGACATATGATACGTGGTTATTAGTCAGGACATTATTCCACTTTGGTCGATATCCTCTCTCCTAGCACTGGACGGCCAGGCTCGATATGGCGTATGCTGTCAGTGGCCATGAAACCCAACAGAAGAAGAAGAAGCAAAGTTCTGGCAGGTTGTATTTGTTTGGTCGAGTGCTGAGCTTTGTTCGAGTGGAGAGCTGGTCATATACTGAGGTTCCACTGTACTTTACCAATAAGGTAATTTCACTGAATTTTCAGAAGGAGCTGGAAAAACTCACTTCAATAGTACTGTCTAAGGAAATACTGACGGAAGTGGATCGGTTAATGACATGTAGACTTGCAAGGTAAATACTAATTTATTCTTTATTTATCAATTTTAAAAATGTGTACTATATACCACTGTACGTACTGTATTGTGTTATAATTAGTATGTCATGATTAATGTTCTGCTTATTTAACCCTTGGGAAGCATTTGTCACAAAATTATATCATTGTAGAGTAGAACCTTAATTCATATCTGTTCATGTTTTTCTTAAGCCTTTTTTTTTTTTTTTTACGTACTAATTTTGATACTGTGTAAACTTCAGTACTTGTTTGCTAGCTGACTTGTGGCTAAAAATGTTTACAGTACACGAAGTGCTTCACTTAATTAAACTGGACATTGTGCTCTCACATTTGTCTTTATCTGTGTATTTGATCTTTGCAACTACTACCCAACATTCAGCACATTTTCCATGAGGAGTAATAGTTGGAGAACAGCTGTGAAGGTACAAATGGTACAGAAATGACAGGTATGGCAAAATGAGACTTATTTTTATAATGGTCACCTACAGAAGGCTTGATAAAGTCTTGTAGATAAAACTTTGTATTAACATGTCTCTGTTTACTATACTTGTTTTTCCAGTAGCAGAAGTAGTTAATAATACTACTAATAATAATCTTTATTTCTACAAGTACGTGATACTACTTGTACAGACCATAGCTGACATCAGTGACATAATATATAGGAAGCCCCTTGTTATGCAGAGGATTTTGGGCAACTTAGGTTAATCTTGTCCTCCAGGATGTGACCTACACCAGTCAAACACCCAGGTCCCTACTTGCTGCCAGGTGAACAGAGACAGGGGGTGGTAAAGAAACACACCCATTGTTTCCACCTGTACCGGGGATCGAACCATGGACACTCAATGTGTGAGCTTAGTGTGCTACCAACTGAGCTATGGGACACTGTAGTAAAGAAAATGTCTAGCAAGAAAGATGAAAATGTTGAACATGTTACATATCATTGTTTTGCATAATCTTATACAGTGGTCCCTCAACCCTGAAAGTTGTCCATTTCGGAAATAGTCCCGTTATTTCGTCTAAACATTGGCTCGCAAATGGTCCGTTAACTTGCTAATCGTCTTTCATCCTGGTCACGTACTCACAGCTCTGAGTCATTCCCAGCCAGTGTGCCATTGTTTACCAGTGAGCGACAGTCCCCTCATGTGTTCATACGAAATATTTCATAATATTCCATTCATTTTAGTGCTTGCAAGTGCTAAATAAGCTACCATGGCTCCAAAGAAAGCTAGTGCCAAGCTTTTGGTAAAGAAGGTGAGAAATACGATTGAATTTAAGAAAAACATCATTGAACAATATGAAAGTGGCGTACGTGTGGGCGAACTGGCCAGGATGTAAAACAAATCCCTACAACCATATCTTCCATCATAGCCAAGAAAAAGGAAATCAAGGAAGCTGTTGTTGCAAGGGGGTAAATATGCTGACAAAAATGAGATCACCAGTACTCGAAGATGTTTAGAAGTTATTATTGGTGTGGATAAACGAGAAACAATTAGCAAGAGATAGTCTTATGACATCGCTTATTTGTGATAAGGCTAGGCAGTTGCATGATGATTTGGTAAAGAAATTGCCTGCAACTAGTGGTGATGTGAGTGAATTTAAGGCCAGCAAAGGCTGGTTTGAGAGATTTAAGAAGCATACTAGCATACACAGTGTGATAAGGCATGGTGAGGCTGCCAGTTCGGACCAAAAAACAGCTGAAAAATATGTGCAGGAATTCAAGGAGTACATAAAGGCTGAAGGACTGAAACCTGAACAAGTGTTCAATTGTGACAAAACAGGCCTCTTTTGGAAGAAAATGCCAAAGAGGACCTACGTTACTCAGAAAGAAAAGGCACTGCCAGGACACAAGCCTATGAAAGACAGGCTGATGCTCATGTTCTGTGCTAATGCTAGTGGGGATTTCAAAGTGAAGCCGTTATTAGTGTACCATTCTGAAAATCCCAGAGTGTTCAAGGAAACAATGTTATGAAGAGTAAATTGTGTGTGTTTTGGAGATCTAATAATAAGGCATGGGTCACGAGGGACATTTTCGTCAAGTGGTTCAATGAAGTGTTTGGCCCTAGTGTGATGAATTGCCTCCTGGAAAAGAAATTGGATCTCAAGTGCCTCCTAGTAATGGACAATGCACCTGCTCATCCTCCAAACTTGGATGATCTAATTCTGAAGGAGTTTGGGTTCATCACAGTAAAGTTCTTGCCCCCGAATACCACTCCTCTCCTCCAGCCCATGGACCAGCAGGCCATTTCAAACTTTAAAAAACTCTACACCAAAGCAATGTTTGAAAGGTGCTTTAATGTGACCTCAGACACTCACTTGACCCTAAGAGATTTTTGGGAAAAAACACTTCAGTATTCTCCATTGCATAAAGCCCTTTTAGGTAAGGCTTGGGAGGGAGTGACTACCAGGACTTTGAACTCTGCTTGGAGAAAATTGTGGCCTGATTGTGTCCACAAGATGGATTTTGAAGAGTTTGAGGTGGCCCCTGATGAGCCTATGTCAGTTGTGAACTCTATTGTGGCATTGGGGAGTTCCATGGGGTTTTGGGTTGAGTTTGGAGGATGGGAAGAGTTGGAGGACCACAAATGAAAAGCTAACCACTGAGGAAGCTGCAAGAGCTTCAGCAGGAAGAGCAACAGATCGCAGCTCAGAATCTTGCTGCAGAGGAGGAGGAAGAGAGATGAAAGAAGGTGCCTTCTTCAGAAATGAAGGAAATTTTTGAAATGTGGGGTAGGATGGAAAGATTTATGGAGAAACATCACCCTGAGAAGGATGCTGCAAGCTATATCGGCAACTTGTACAGTGACAGAGTCTTGGCCCATTTTAGGGAAGTTTTAAAGAGACGCCAGAAACGGAGCTCTCTGGACAGTTTTTTTGCGAGACAGGACTCCAGTGACTCAAGCTGGTCCTAGTGGCATTAAGAAACAGAGAAGAAAAGTAACCCCAGAAAAGCACTTGGTACCTGAGGTGTTGATGGAAGGGGATTCCCCTTCCAAACAGTAATTCAATGTCTCTCCTCCTCCAGTCTTCCATACACTAAGAAGAATCGCCAATAAAGGTAAGTGTTATGCTGTTAATGTTTCATTCATCATGTCCCATTGTATTGTTTATGTACTACATCTATATTTCATGTAAAAAAATTTTGTTTTAATACTTCTGGGTGTCAGGAACAGATTAATTGTATTTACATTATTTCTTATGGGGAAAATTGATTAGAAAATCGTCTATTTCGATAATAGTCCCACTTTCAGGAACGGATTATGGACGATAATTGAGGGACCACTGTATGTTAATCTTTTCTCCTCATTTCATCCTGTCAGCAATGAGGGCATATTTAATGCTTTCAGCCTTTCTTCTTAACTTATTAAACATATGTACCCTTGGAAGCCATTTTGTAGTTTGTCTTTGGACTTTTTTATTTTTTCACTTTGTACCTGTGTCCTTTTAAATGTGAACACCTATCACTGGTTATATCTGCAAAAATTTGATTTAACATGTGTTGCCAACATGTTTTGGCATTTCCCTATGCATACATCCAATGGCTGGTTTGAAGTTTCTATTCATTATCTGGTGACAATCTTTGTCAATGATGAGTTTTAGTTTTCTTTATTTATCAGATGCTTTAAATATTTTATCAGTCTATATTTATTTGGCTTACTTTTGCCTATTCCATTACCATTACTACATGGCACTTATCAGGATGAAATTTCATCATTAACTTGTCAAGGTAGGTATCAAACTTTACATATACATGTAATACATTTATTTAACCTGTTCACTTGTATTCATTTAGTGTACAGAATTTACTGTGTATGATATATAATACTGTATGAAAATAAATGGTATAAAATACTGACACAATGGAAACATAAACACACATGCAGTTTAATGTGATCCTTTATTGACAACGTTTCACCCACACAGTGGGCTTTTTCAAGTCACAAACAGATCTACCTGGGGTGGAAGGTACGGGAGTATTTATAGTCAGGTTCAGAATGTTGAGGTCAGGTGGAGAATGCTGCATCTGATGATCTACCGGGTGGGGTTATAGAGTCTTGGGTAGCTTGGCAGGGGTATTGGACAAGTTGTGAGTAGACCTTCTGCAGTGTTCTATGTTCTTATATGGGATAGCAATGTAGAAGTTTCTTGGCAAGTGGTTCAGCTATGTTATAGAAGCCATTGTTCTGGTTGAAATTGTTGGTTATAGAGATAAGCGATGATTCCAGGATTCTTCGGTATTGGGGTGTTGTCTTCTGTGACGATAAGTCTTGAGTTTCTGTAGCTAATTAAGTGGTTGTGTTTAATTGCGATGTTATACACAGGCATTCCTTGATCGTCAGTCCTTGCTTGCGTATTGGTGTTCTGAAATACGTTTTGGAGGTCTCTTGAAAGTTTCGCCTACGTATAATTTGTTGCAGTCATTGCAAGGGATTATGTATACCCCTGCAGAGGATGGAAGCTTGTCCTGTCTACTACTGGTGATGTCCTTGATGGTCGTGGTTGTGGAGGTAGATACTTGGAATGATGTATTGGAAAAGATGTTGGAAACATGTTTGGCAACGGAGTTGGTGGGGAGGACTATGTATCTCTTCTCGGCAGTGTCTTCTCTAGGTGTGTTGAAGATGTTTAATGCCCGCCGTCTGCAGTCTCTGATGAAGTGACGAGGATAGTGGAGTTTAGAAAATACTCAGTTATGTTGACGACATTCTCCTCATAACTCCCAGGCGCTTCAACGTTCAAGCTCTCCAAGACAAGCTCAACCAGGTCGAGCCCTCAATCCAGTTCACACTTGAAGAAGAAATCGACAACACTCTTCCTTTCCTTGATGTTCTCTGTAAAATTGACCACGAACTTCGTTTTAAAGTCTATCGAAAACCAACCAACCAAAACAATCTTCTCCACTTCTACTCTCACCACGACACCAAAACTAAACGTGGTGTAATTATAGGTATCTTCCTGCGTGCACTCAGAATCTGCAGCAATGAGTTCCTTGAGGAAGAATGGACTATAATTGAAAAAAGTATTTTCTAAACTCCACTATCCTCATCACTTCATCAGAGACTGCAGACGGCGGGCATTAAACATCTTCAACACACCTAGAGAAGACACTGCCGAGAAGAGATACATAGTCCTCCCCCCCATCTCCGTTGCCAAACATGTTTCCAACACTTTCCAATACATCATTCCAAGTAACTACCTCCCCAACCACGACCTCAAGGGCATCACCAGTAGTAGACAGGACAGCTTCCATCCTCTGCAGGGGTATACATAATCCCTTGTAATGACGCAACAAATTATAAAGTGGGCGAAACATCAAGAGACCTCCAAACACGTATTTCAGAACACCAATACGCAAGCAGGACTGACGATACAAGGAATGCCTGTGTATAACATCGCAATTCACACAACCACTTAATTAGCTACAGAAACTCAAGACTTATCGTCACAGAAGACAACACTCAATAGCGAAGAATCCTGGAATCATCGCTTATCTCTATAACCAACAATTTCAACCAGAACAATGGCTTCTATAACATAGCTAAACCACTTGCCAAGAAACTTCTACATTGCTATCCCATATAAGAACATAGAACACTGCAGAAGGTCTACTCACAACTTGTCCAATACCCCTGCCAAGCTACCCAAGACTCTATAACCCCACCCGGTAGATCATCAGATGCAGCATTCTCCACCTGACCTCAACATTCTGAACCTGACTATAAATACTCCCGTACCTTCCACCCCAGGTAGATCTGTGTGTGACTTGAAAAAGCCCACTGTGTGGGCGAAACATTGTCAATAAAGGATCACATTAAACTGCATGTGTGTTTGTTTCCATAATACTGTATAAAATATACAACACACAAATGCTTATTTTCTTCATTGCAGAATGCCATTACAGTATATACTTGGTGAATGGGACTTCCATTCAGTAACTCTAAAGATGCGGCCGCCCGTATTTATTCCTCGTCCTGAAACAGAACAATTGGTTGAATTGGCCTTGGAATGCTTGCAGGGAATACACACGCCTCGAGTGTTAGAAATTGGCTGTGGCTCAGGAGCTATTAGTCTATCTCTTCTTCACTCTATTAATAATGTAAGCATCATAAATTAATTCCTTTGCAGTTATATTAATTATTTTTAATATAAATTTTTTACAACAGGAAGAAGTTTCTTCCCTGTTTAATTTTTTATGCACTGATTGACATTTTTCACATTTTTCATATACTGTACGTTTTTTTTCACTACATGCATACTCTTGCATTGAATCCTCATTTATCACTTTTCTCATGAATACAAAAAAATACAAGGATGCATGGATTTATACCAATTAATTTCTGACCCATTTATGCCCCATTTATGCTCAGTGCAATATCAGTATATATTTGTCATTTCTTTTATCAATACAAAATTTTTGTACAGTTGTCCCCCCTCCACCCATATCCATACGGGATGTGTTCCAGGACCTACCTGAAACTGTGGATAGTAGCAAACCCTATACATATATGTTTTTTGTTTACATACATACCTATGATAAAGTTTAATCGATAAATTATGCACAGCAAGTTGGTTGAGAATTAGCACTTTGTTACTGATGGGATGAATTTCATGGCTTCTCTTAGGTTTTGAAGAACTGCCACCGTCATTACTACTATTCTACGTTGTTGCCATTATTGAGCAAAATTAACGCTTATATTTGGGCCATAGTAACCTGTGGATAACTGAAACAGGAAATACCAAATTTGTGGATACAGAGGTTCTTCTGTAATACTTTTCCTCATTTTATTTGTAATCTTTATAGCACAAGATGAGAATATTCATACACCTGTAATAGTAACAGTTCTATTGAAGTTAAATGCTAAAATATACAATTTTATCTGTTGCAGCTTCAGTGTGTAGCATTGGATCAGAGCAAACATGCTATTGAGCTAACCAAGCTAAATGCATCCAATATTGGGGTTAATGATCGATTATTATTAGTGGAAGGAAAAGTAACAAGCGAGATGATGCCGTGTTTGCCTCTAGTACACTTCCATCTTATCGTATCTAATCCACCATATGTTCTAAGAAAAGACCTGTTAAATGTGCAACCAGAAATTAAGATGTAAGTTAGCTAGGACGCCTGAGCAGATTATGATAAAAATTATTCCAAAAAGTTGCTTTTACATTTAAAGATTTGCAGACAAACACTTTTACCTTAACTATTTTTTATGCATTTCATGATAATTTTGCAGTAATATCAAGTCAGCAACATAAATATAAAAACCTATATGCTTGTAAAGTCACTGCCCAGTAATCAGGCACAGAATTCCTGCTATTTTTACCAACATTATACTGTAGACTAATGTAATATGTAATACATAATGGCTATATAAAGCATTTTCTGATTTATACAAGTTTATAGATAAAAAAAGTGTAATAAAAATTTGTAATAATCATTATTGGGTGTAATGAATAATGTTTAGTGAAATTAATATTGTTTTCCCATTTAAAACTAATTGTTTTCACTGACCACACTTCAGATAATGAGGTTTGAGTTTACACAATCAATTTTTTCTAGCTATGAGGATATGCGGGCCCTAGATGGAGGGAAAGATGGTCTGGATATGATTAAGGCAATTCTAATACACAGTCATCGTCTTCTTTTGGATAAACATTCAGTGATTCTTGAGGTATGTAAACAGTATTAAGTTTAAAGGGTAAAGAAGTCTTTTTGTAAGTGATGTATGGTAAATTTGCTATTGTTCAATCAAGTTGTTAGATCGTGTGTTTGGGCAAATTAGAATTAATATTGTAGACAGCAACCACCCAGGGAAGTACTACCGTCCTGCCAGATGACTGTGAAACATAAACCTGTAACTGTTTTACATGATGGTAGGATTGCTGGTGTCTTTTTCTGTCTCATAAACACTCTAGATAACAGGGATATCTTGCTACTCCTACTTACACTTTGGTCACACTTCACTGACAACACATGCATTATATATACATACATCTAGGTTTTTCTCCTTTTTCTAAATAGCTTTTGTTCTTCTTTATTTCTTCTATTGTCCATGGGGAAGTGGAAAAGAATCTTTCCTCTGTAAGCCATGCGTGTCGTATGAGGCGACTAAAATGCCGGGAGCAATGGGCTAGTAACCCCTTCTGTAAACATTTACTAAAAAAAGAGAAGAAGAAAAACTTTATAAAATTGGGATGCTTGAATGTGCGTGGATGTAGTGCGGATGACAAGAAACAGATGATTGCTGATGTTATGAATAAAAAGAAGTTGGATGTCCTGGCCCTAAGCGAAACAAAGCTGAAGGGGGTAGGGGAGTTTCGGTGGGGGGAAATAAATGGGATTAAATCTGGAGTATCTGAGAGAGTTAGAGCTAAGGAAGGGGTAGCAATAATGTTGAAGGATTAGTTATGGAAGGAGAAAAGAGAATATGAATGTGTAAATTCAAGGATTATGTGGATTAAAGTAAAGGTTGGATGCGAAAAGTGGGTGTATGCACCTGGAGAAGAGAGGAATGTAGAGGAGAGAGAGAGATTTTGGGAGATGTTAAGTGAATGTATAGGAACCTTTGAACAAAGTGAGAGAGTAATTGTGGTAGGGGACCTGAATGCTAAAGTAGGAGAAACTTTTAGAGAGGGTGTGGTAGGTAAGTTTGGGGTGCCAGGTGTAAATGATAATGGGAGCCCTTTGATTGAACTTTGTATAGAAAGGGGTTTAGTTATAGGTAATACATATTTTAAGAAAAAGAGGATAAATAAGTATACAAGGTATGATGTAGGGCGAAATGACATTAGTTTGTTGGATTATGTATTGGTAGATAAAAGACTGTTGAGTAGACTTCAGGATGTACATGTTTATAGAGGGGCCACAGATATATCAGATCACTTTTTAGTTGTAGCTACACTGAGAGTAAAAGGTAGATGCAATACAAGGAGAATAGAAGCATCAGGGAAGAGAGAGGTGAAGGTTTATAAACTAAAAGAGGAGGCAGTTAGGGTAAGATATAAACAGCTATTGGAGGATAGATGGGCTAATGAGAGCATAGGCAATGGGGTTGAAGAGGTATGGGGTAGGTTTAAAAATGTAGTGTTAGTGTTCAGCAGAAGTTTGTGGTTACAGGAAAGTGGGTGCGGGAGGGAAGAGGAGCGATTGGTGGAATGATGATGTAAAGAGAGTAGTAAGGGAGAAAAAGTTAGCATATGAGAAGTTTTTACAAAGTAGAAGTTATGCAAGGAGGGAAGAGTATATGGAGAAAAAGAGAGAGGTTAAGAGAATGGTGAAGCATTGTAAAAAGAGAGCAAATGAGAGAGTGGGTGAGATGTTATCAACAAATTTTGTTGAAAATAAGAAAAAGTTTTGGAGTGAGATTAACAAGTTAAGGAAGCCTAGAGAACAAATGGATTTGTCAGTTAAAAATAGGAGAGGAGAGTTATTAAATGGAGAGTTAGAGGTATTGGGAAGATGGAGGGAATATTTTGAGGAATTGTTAAATGTTGATGAAGATAGGGAAGCTGTGATTTCATGTATAGGGCAAGGAGGAATTACATCTTGTAGGAGTGAGGAAGAGCCAGTTGTGAGTGTGGGGGAAGTTTGTGAGGCAGTAGGTAAAATGAAAGGGGGTAAGGCAGCTGGGATTGATGGGATAAAGATAGAAATGTTAAAAGCAGGTGAAGATATAGTTTTGGAGTGGTTGGTGCTATTATTTAATAAATGTATGGAAGAGGGTAAGGTACCTAAGGATTGGCAGAGAGCATGCATAGTTCCTTTGTATAAAGGCTAAGGGGACAAAAGAGAGTGTAAAAATTATAGGGGGAGAAGTATGTTGAGTATACCTGGTAAAGTGTATGGTAAAGTTATTATTGAAAGAATTAAGAGTAAGACAAAGAACAGGATAGCAGATGAACAAGGAGGCTTTAGGAAAGGTAGGGGGTGTGTGGACCAGGTGTTTACAGTGAAACATATAAGTGAACAGGAATAAGGCTAAAGAGGTTTTTGTGGCATTTATGGATTTGGAAAAGGCATATGACAGGGTGTTTACCTGGAGGTACCTGGAGAGTTTCTGGGGTCAATGCCCCGGCCGACTGTTGACAGGCTCGGTGATCAGGCTGATAACCAGGCTGTGCTGCTGGCTGCACTGCAAACAGTACGAGCACAGCGGTGATCAGGAATGACTTTAGGTGCTGTCCAGTGCAGCTTGAAGAAGCAGGGTTGTTGGTATCCCCTTAGTGGCTGGAAGGCAGTTGAATAGTCGGGCCTGCACTATTGTTGGTTTTAACGTTTCTAGTGATACCTGCTTTTCATTGGGGTGGATGGTGCATCGTTGCAGGTCTTTTGCTTTCGAGTGAGTGTTCGTGTGGCAAGTTCGTATAGTCCCTCATGGGATTTTCCAGGTGTATATAATATGTGGATGGGGCAATGGCGATGTTGCAGTGTTGTGAGAGTAGTTACTGAAAGCAGTGAAGGTTTTTAGGGATAGTAGGTCAGTAGAGTTGTAGGAAAGAGGAGATTTTCCAGTAAATGGCTTAGATAAGGATGTGTGATGCGTAGTTGTTTAATATATTTATAATGGGTGTAAAAGAGTAATGCGGGGTTGGCAAGAGGGTGGAGTTAAAGATAAAGAATAACATAATGGATTGTCACAGTGCTCTTGTGTGACACTGTGTCTTGGGGATTCTGAGGAAGTGCAAGATTGGGATGAATTGGTAGGGTATGTAAAGAAGAAATTAAAGTGAATACAGAAAAGAGTAAGGTTATGAGGATAACAAAAAGATTAGGTGATGAAAGATTGGATATCAGATTGTAGGGAGGAGGTGAATGTATTCAGATATTTGGGAGTGGACGTGTCAGCGGATGGGTCTATGAAAGATGAGGTGAATCATAGAATTGATGAGGGGAAAAGGGTGAGCGGTGCACTTTGGAGTCTGTGGAGACAAAGAACTTTGTCCTTGGAGGCAAAGAGGGGAATGTATGAGAGTACAGTGGACCCCCGCATAGCGACTTTAATCCGTGCAAGAGGGCTGATTGTTATGCGAAATGTTCGGTATGCGAATGAATTTTCCCCATAAGAAATAATGGAAATCAAATTAATCCGTGCAAGACACCCAAAAGTATGAAAAAAAAAAATTTTACCACATGAAATATACATTTTCCTACACACAAAGAGAAGGATACATGCACAATAGTAGAGTAGTACATGCACAATATATATTGTGCATGTACTACTCTACTAAATGAAGAATAAATGACACTTACCTTTATTGAAGATGCAGCAATGACTGATGAGACACTGTGTCCTGGGAGTGCCTTTTCCTCCTGAGTACTGTAGGTCCTGTTTGGCATTTTCTTCCAGAACAGGCCTCATCACACTGTGTATGCCACTACGATTCTTAAATCTCTCAAACCAACCTTTGCTGGCTTTAAATTCACCAATATGAGCACTAGTTCCAGGCATTTTTCCCTGTTCACCTGGGTGTTAGTCGACTGGTGTGGGTTGCATCCTGGGAGACAAGATTAAGGACCCCAATGGAAATAAGTTAGACAGTCTTCGATGACACTGACTTTTTTGGGTTATCCTGGGTGGCAAATCCTCTGGGGTTAATTGTTTCTTGGTACATATTCTCAATAAGCCACACCAACAACGGTGCTACAGCAGCAGCAGCAGCTGACGGTGGTACAGCAGCAACAGACGATGCTACAGCAGTAACAGACGATGCTACAGCAGCAGCAGACGATGCTACAGCAGCAGCAGACGATGCTACAGCAGCAACAGACGATGCTACAGCAGCAGCAGACAATGCTACAGCAGCAGCAGACGATGCTACAGCAGCAGCAGACGATGCTACAGCAGCAGCAGACGATGCTACAGCAGCAGCAGACGATGCTACAGCAGCAGCAGACGATGCTACAGCAGCAGCAGACGATGCTACAGCAGCAGCAGCAGCTGACGGTGGTACAACAGCAGCAGCAGCTGACAGTGCAGCAGCAGCTGACGGTGGTACAGCAGCAGCTGTACCACCAGTAGTAGCGATGGTTGATTGGGGTATATTATACAACCTGGCCAGCTCGGAGACACGCACTCCACTTTCATACTTATCAATGATCTTTTTCTTCATCTCTATAGTAATTCTCACCCTTATTGCTGTAGGGTTGGCACTAGAAGCTTTCTTGGGGCCCATGGTCACTTATTTTCCAGAAAAAATCACCAAAAACACTGTAATAATACGAAATGTTCCGATTGTATGCTTGGATGTTACCGCGGAGGCTGGCTGATAAACAATGCCACCGGCGGAACATGTGAGCGTGGCTCAGGCCGCACATTGGACGCGTCTCGGACGAAGGGCGGTGAGCGGGTTTTTGGGCGGTATGCGAGGCAAAATTTTTGCAAAAAAAAGCGAGCGGTATGTGGATTGTACGGTATGCGATGCGTGCGGTATGCGGGGGTCCACTGTATAGTTATACCAACGCTCTTATGTGGGTGTGAAGCATGGGTGATCAATGTTGCAGCGAGGAGAAGGCTGGAGGCAGTGAAGATGTCATGTCTGAGGGCAATGTGTAGTGTGAATATAATGCAGAGAATTCGTATTTTGGAAGTTCGGAGGAGGTGCGGGATTGCCAAAACTGTTGTCCAGAGGGCTGAGGAAGGGCTGTTGAGGTGGTTCGGACATGTAGAGAGAGTGGAGCGAAACAGAATGACTTCAAGAGTGTATCAGTCTGTAGTGGAAGGAAGGCGGGGTAGGGATCGGCCTAGGAAAGGTTGGAGGGAGGGGGTAAAGGAGGTTTTGTGTGCGAGGGGCTTGGACTTCCAGCGGGCATGCGTGAGCGTGTTTGATAGGAGCGAATGGAGATAAATGGTTTTTAACACTTGACATGCTGTTGGAGTGTGAGCAAAGTAACATTTATGAAGGGATTCAGGGAAACTGGCAGGCCGGACTTGAGTCCTGGAGATGGGAAGTACAGTGCCTGCACTCTGAAGGAGGGGTGTTAATGTTGCAGTTTAAAAACTGTAGTGTAAAGCACCCTTCTGGCAAGACAGTGATGGAGTGAATGATGGTGAAAGTTTTTCTTTTTCGGGCCACCCTGCCTTGGTGGGAATCGGCCAGTGTGTTATTAAAAAAAAAAACTAAATATTTAAGGACGCGACTAAAATGCCGGGAGCAAGGGGCTAGTAACCCCTTTCCCTGTATACATTACTCAAGTTAAAAAGAGAAACATTTGTTTTTCTTTTTGGGTCACCCTGCCTCGGTGGGAAACAACCAATTTGTTGAAAGAAAGAGGGTAGTAGGTTGGTAGACAGCCACTACCCAGAAGGTGCTACCATCTTGCCATGTGTGAAGTAGAAACCTATTAATTGTTTTACATGGGCAGAATTGCTGGTCTCTGTCTCATAAACACACAACTCGACAAGTAAATCTTGCTACTACTACTGATACCCAGAATACGGTACATACGCACTTGTGCATGTTTATAAACACTCATCTAAGTTTCCTTCTAACTTTGTATTAGTTTTCACTCTTGTGGTGCTATCCATTCATTTCCATGAGGAAATGAATTAGAATTCTTCCTCCATAAGCAATAGATGTTGTAGAAGGTGACTAAAATGTTGGAGCAAGAGGTGAGTGACCTCTTTTGTATCACTTGATAAAAAAAAAAAATGTAAATTTTAGGTTGAGTTGTTTGTATGTGCTTGAGTGTAGTGCAGATGAGAAGAGAGGATGAATTGTTAATGTTATGAATGGAAAAAATTGGATTTTCTGGCATTAAGCAAAACAAAGCTAGGAGAGGGTGGGAGAAATTTAATGGGGGTGGAGTAAATTAGGTTAAAGATAGAGCTAAAGAAGTAGTAGCAGTATACCTGGAGAAGGTTTCTGGAATCAACGTCCCCACAGCCCGGTCTATGACCAGGCCTCCATATTAGCTGATTAACTAAGGAAAGAAAGGAGGTATAATTTGTTAAATTCAAGAATGTGAATAAGAATAATGTTGAAAAGTGATAAGTGAGTTAGTGTTTCTGCTTCTGGGGGAAAGACCTTAAGATTGCTACATTCTTGAGATGGGTTATATGAGGTAAAGAGTAAGATACTGTCATTTTGCCCTTGACACTTCCTATTTCCCTCTAATGTCAACATCCTCTTTGCCATGCATAGAGGAGTAAATGGGGTTAAATTGAGAAGGAACTCGAAGAGCAACCACCTCCACATGGTGAGCTCTTGAGTATTTTGTATGACTGGTGGAAGAATATCAGTCAGGCAAAAATAGCTGAAAGCTGCTCACAGTATATGTTGTCTGTTTCTAAGTAACATGTACCTACGCTGTATATGGGAAAAATAGCTTCTTCAATGCCATAAAATATATCTTCTTTTTGAAAGCAGTGATTGCTTTTTGGTACAGTACCGGGTTTAGACTTGGGCCCCATCCCCGAAAGGTCCCATTTTTATAGATGGAAATACAGCCTCTCCTCACTTAGGGACGTACTTGTTTACCGACCACTCAGACTTAGGACCAGCTCTCCTAGTATGCAAACCTAAATAATGTATATTAGAGCTGATTTCCTCTCTTCTGTTTATTACAGTATACAGTACACTACTGTATAGACATTTAAAAATATACCTGAAATGTTATAAATGGTGCAAAGGTGACATTAAAAAAATATCTAAAGATGGTTGACACAAACCCACTACACGTGTACCATTATAGTATGCTCCTTACTTAACAACCAATTTGCTTACCAACCAACAGAACGCTGTTATTGAGGAGAGGCTGTATACAAATATTCCCAAATCCGAACCACTTCTGGTCCAGGCATTTCAGATAAAGGATTCTCAACTGTATAGACATCCCATGAAATTGAAGAATGAAGCTTATTATATTTCTTCAATTTTGATATTGCTCTGTTTCAGGTGGATCCCTGTCATCGCTATCTTATTCCTGTGTGGTTGGAAAAACAACCCAGTTTAAAGGTAAAATTTACAGAAGTTTTTAAAGATTTTAATGGAAAAGATAGGTTTATAAAATTTGTAAAGTCTTAATAAACTGTTATAAAAAAAATTTATATTTATCAGCTTCATGCTGAGGTCCTCTTCGGGAAACTTGAAAAAAAATAAAAATGAGATAAAGCTTGTGTACATTCAGCACGGCCTAAATTGGTGGAAGGAAAAGGTAACGTTAAAGCATTCCTAGTGATATCATCTAGGTTCCACTGGCTTCTGGCTGCAAACCTTCTGAATAGTTTGATAAAGTTTCAGCAGAGGCTTTGTGAAATGTTGAAATCAAGTAGTGGTTACAATCCAAGCCATCTCGAGGATTTTGTGTTTGTACATACAATTTGGGCTACAGTATATATAATAGAAACATCATTCCTTCATTTGAGGTGCCTTGATGCTGGTAAATCTTTCTTAATTCAAGGAATTGGAGCTGCATCTTTCCTCATTTTCTGATATCCCTGTTCCTTATTGGGGTTTACAATTTCTAACCTTGTCTTTTCATTCTTGTGATATTGGTCTCTGCTGCAAAGTATTTTGTATGTTATTTCTCCAAAATCGAGAAACTTTTTTCTTTTGTAGCTCAATCCCCTCAACTCTGGTACCAGTCTTCATACAGTCTTTTGACCTTTTTCAAGTTCAAAATTTGTTTTTATGTCAGAACAGAACTAAAGGAATGAAAGTGCATCTGTAAGGAAACTAATGTTTTGGTCACTGTGATCTGAAAACCAGTATCAACATATCCCATAGAGAGTTCAGCATAAGTTTCTAATGTAATTAAATATCAGCATTCATGATTCAGGGAAACCGGTTATTTTTATATAGCCGGACTTGAGTTCTGGAAATGGGAAGTACAATGCCTGCACTTTAAAGGAGGGGTTTAGGATATTGGCAGTTTGGAGGGATGTGTTGTGTATCTTTATACGTATATGCTTCTAAACTGTTGTATTCTGAGGACCTCTGCAAAATAACAGTGATTGTGTGAGTAAGGTGAAAGTGTTGAATGATGAAAGTATTTTCTTTTTGGGGATTTTCTTCTTTTTGGGTCACCCTGCCTCGGTGGGAGACGGCCGACTTGTTAAAAAAAATGATTTGAAGTTAGAAGAAGCATTCACGAGTTACAGTATTGCATGGAAACTCTTATTTCAGCTTCTTCAGTAAAGATGACAAATTGGCACTTAGCCAAAATCCAATTCAGACCTTCCACTATTCAGAAGGATTCTCTAGTTATTGCACAGGAAACAATATATGTACATACTGGAATACACCAGCACTAAGTTTGAAGCCACTTAGAAGATGCAGTCTTGAGTTATTGGCATTGAAGGTTTAAAATGCTTAAATAAGGCATTCAGAAATTATACAAATCAGTGCATCCATTTTAAATTTATCATTATCAGGGTGACTTGAGTCACAGCCATTAGTCAAATATCTATTACTTACCACTATCATGGATGGATGCCTTTTTTGACATAGACATGGGAAACAAGGTTAACCTGAATATGTGTAGGAGCAGTGCATTATTTCTACATTTGGGAAACATTGGGATGGCTTTCTTTGGAAGGGTCTTGTACTGATTGCACTTTACCAAAACAATTAGACTTACCTATTTAGTATTTCTTAGGTTTGAGGAAAGCAACGCAATGGGAATAACCGTCCGCCAATGAGTTTAAACCCAAAACCTTAATTAGTGCATGTTAGGATATGGCTGGGGTTTTTATCTTAAATACAAGATTTCAGATTAAGTCTGCTACTTCATTTTAATTTCATTATCAAGTGTAAGACTTATTCACACCCATTCTTCTAATATTCTTTTAGTTCTTATTCTTTTATTTCACTTATACTCCATGGGAATGGGAACAGATTTTTACAACCTGATGCGTGTGAAAGGAGCGGGACTTAAATTTCGACTTAGGGGCAAACCTTGGTCTGTATTCTGATAAATGTAAGGACGTACTTCAGTTTTATCTTGCACTGATTGTGGATATTATCGATGTTGAACAAAGAAATATTTGTATTATTATAAAGACAGTTTAGAGTATCTTATATATTATAAAGACAGTTTTGCTCTGTATAATGAAGATACATATTTTGGTGTAGATAGGAAAGATTACATATTTTGGTGTATATACACCAAAAGATATACATTGTGTGCAGCAACAGATGTAAACATCTTAGGGTATATGCATCTTGAGGTAAGTTATGTACAGTTGTACATTTATTAGTGTACAGATGAATTGGATCATCTTATGCAGTTAATACCTCACAAACCTAAAGCAAGAAAAAATAAAACTGTAGTAGTCTAACAATATTTATTCCCAAAGAAGTCATAAGACTAATAACCCATTTTCATATACAAAGTATAGCTGTTTTATATTCAAGATTTATTAGTCATACCTGTTTTTTCCAGTACAGGAATGTTAATACAGTGGAACCTTGGTGTTTAAACTTTGTTGGTTCGTATGTTTTGGTTGAACTGCAAAAAGTTTCATTTCCGAAACCGCTGTGTGACCCTTGTAGGTTTAGCATGTCGTTCTGATTATAATAATGTCTGAAACAACATTTCCCAGGCTTTAATTATCAGCCTCACACACACTGGAGGATGTTGAACTGATTGTTCCAAAAGTCTCTGCAAGTTAGGTCAGTGTTAGAGGTCACTTCAAAGCACTTTTGAAATGGCTTGTGTGTATTTTACAACTGAATTTTAAACAAGCTGGTCTGTTTGGATTCCAGAAAAATGCTTAGACAGGGCCAATTTTTTCTTAACAAAATTGTTCGGGCTCTGGTTCATTTGAACACTGAGGTTCCACCATACTGACAAAAGTGAAAATATAACATGTGCACAACTATAAAGACATTTATTGAAGATATTTTGCTATTAGTGGCTTTATCAATCCTAATTATTATTACAATCAAAACTAAGCACTAAACCCACAAGGGTCATATAGCACTGCTATCAATCTTAATAGGATTGATAAAGTGACCAGTGGCAAAATATCTGCTTATCTTATTCCCATGCTATTATGTCAAACAAGTACCCTCAAGGTAGGTTCCTTGATGGTGAGGGGGGCTCTTGATCTAGGGAACTGGATCTGTGCTCTGAGTTCCCTGAATACCTTCCATGACATCCACCCCCCTCCACAGGCACTGTATAATCTTAGGGGTTTAGCACTTCCCTCTTTATTATACTAATATCTAATGAGGAAAAATAAGGTTGTCTAAAATGTGAACAAAGCATTTGCATATGATTTGTGGCATTAAGGTCAACAGCCCACACTAAAAACTAAAACAAAATTATACAAATCTTGTTACTCGGAAAAAATGGCAAAGCACCAACAGTACAATAAAACACTAATTACAGAAGTCTTTATTGGTATAACATTTCACCACAACTTGTTTCTTGTGCTTAATAACAATCAACAGATAAGTCACGTCTTGTATAGTCCATCCAGAGAGTCAGGTGCTGAGTGTGAGGTCCAGAGAGCAAGTTTTGAGAAGCAGGGAAGCACTGCAATAGGCTTACCAGCCCAAGCTAGGCTTGTTTGTTCTAATACAAAAGCAAGTTTAATGATTCAAGGCTAATGTGTGATATTGTCATTTTCATGAAATGGTAGGGTTACTCTTATTCTTTGAGATGGGAATGTCATGGTACTTAATGCAGGTATGGTTGAAGCTGTTCATGCAGTCCTATTGGCAGATTTCTGGCAGTTTCACTGACCACACCATCCACGTGCTATGTTGTAAATTCCCTTCTCACACCCTTCTTCTACATGGAAATAGTTGTAATGCCCCTAAGGTTTGACTGTGATTATTGCCATGTCCATGTTCAATTTCCATAGGATGGAGGAAACCATGTTGATGGTGGTCCCCATGAACATGATGTACAGTATCTGCAGTTTATGTTCTGGGCGCTGTATAGCCCTTGTGGCTTAGCGCTTCTTTTTGATTATAATAATATGTTCTGGGTAGCAGCCCTGTAACACCCACTCCCATCTCGAGGCATTAATTATTATTATAATCAAGGGGGAAGCGCTAAACCCGGAGGATTATACAGCGCCTGGGGGGGGGATGTGGAAGGCATTCAGGCTTAATTCGGGGAACTGGAGCACAGATCCAATTCCCTAAATCAAGAGCCCCTCACCAACATTAAGGAACCTTCCTTGAGGGGTCGAGGCATTAAGTTAGAGCAGCCCTACTATTTTATGAAAATGAAAAGATCAAACATTGATACCTTCAATCATCTTCCATTAAACTTACCCCTCAAGGAAGGTTCCTTGATGTTGATGAGGGGCTCTGATCTAGAGAATTGGACCTGTGCTCCAGTTCCCTGAATTAAGTCTGAATACCTTCCACATCCCCCCCCCTCCCAGGCAATGTATAATTCTACAGGTTTAGCACTTCCCCCTTGATTATAATAATAATAATAATCCATTAAACTTACTAAAGAATTAAAATAAAATAGTGTAATATTTACACTTCACTGTTTGCAGACCTTAGGCCCTAGACACACTTGCCTTCATAGAGCTGCCTTTACCTCTTTCAGATCCAGATACTGTATTGCAATACTAATGTTCACCATACATTTTTATTATTACTATTATTTTCAAAACTGAAACCTGTATTTTATGAATTCTTTTTTGCTAATATAACTATATGCCTGAAATTAAAACTTAGGAAATTTTAAGTCATGTCACAGAATTCAATTTACAATGAATACATGTAATATTTTATAATTTGTTTTCAAATTTGAATAAATTTTAATTCACAAAATTTATCATAGGTCCTAAAAGTTTCATATGGCCCTGTTTATACCCATAGCTCACATTGCTTTAGAATAAAAAAACAAACCTAGCATGGGCTGGTAGGCCTGTTGTAGTGCTTCCCTGCTTCTCAGATCTCGACAATCAGCACCTGATTTCCTAGATGTATCTGATAGCTAATTTGTGGTGAAATATTGTACCAATAAAGACTCCTCTGCAATCAGTCTTGCTCCATAGCTTGTTACATAGTTAAAAATCATAAGGTATGAAGGCAACCTTGGTATCCTTGTACTTTTATAACTCTGTGCATTAATAAAACATTATAATTTTCTATTCTCCATTTTACACTTATCAATGAAATATAGCACCCATAAAGTTCTCATGCCTGCAACAAAAGTCAGTGATACAAATATTGTCCAAATTTCTCCTAAATTTATATAATGGCCTTCAGTTTTTTAATTTTTTAAACTGGTATTGTTCATTTTTAACATGAATACTTGCTGCCGCTTGGAAAGAGCAGAATCATGCAACCTTTAAAGATGTCAATTACTGTCTAAGTTTCTGTTCAGCATGAAGCTGAGGAATAAACACTTCCTCTTGTTGCCCTTCAGCCATAAGCTCCTCAATTTCTTCCACACTGAATTAAAAGAAAGGAAAAAATCATTAATAATAATTAACAACTGAATAATAGTATCTTTAGAATGAACTATCAAAAGGGTCCTTGATTCACAGAATTGAAGCTACCCTTCAATTCTCTGATTCAAACCTGATTACATCCCATTCTCCAGGCACTGTATGACCCCCTATTAGTGAATCGCTGTAAAGTGGGGCCCTACTTTATAATACATATAACATTTTGTATACGTGTTATTGGTAAAGCTTCTGTCAACAGTAGCCCATTAGTAGTTATAACTTTTGACTCCTCAAAAACTTATGTAGATTTTCAACTGTGCAGGGGGTCGGTGCCCCTAACCCCCGCATTGTTCAAGGGTCAACTGTACTGGTAAATGTGAATGCGACAAACTGCAAGTAAACATACGTATGGAGCAGCCAATACTTTCAGCACTCTGACTAATATATAGTACTGTATTTGCCAAGTACCACACTTGCTTTGACTATATGCAGAAGACACTGATTTTTTTCTAATTATTAACCCTTGTAATCTGAAATATTAGCAAAACCTGCAGTAGAACTTACGTTCGTGGGATAGTACCCTGTGCAAGATCTTCCATACCATCAGCAGTAACGACAATATCATCCTCAATCCTGACACCACCAAAGCCACGGAAACGAGCTATTGCCTCAGGAACCAGAAAACGTGCCTGAGCTGGGTTGGCTAGCGCTTGATCCAAAACCTGCGAGTTGAAAAAAGTAAATTAAATATAAACTGTTTTAACCTTAATAAAACTAAAACTGGAATATAGACAATGAACTTATACTAAAGCAGAAAGAAGTACATATAATAATATTGAAGGACCTAACAATTGTTTACTGTTGATGCCTTAATGCTGACTCTTCCTCAGACCAAACCTGTTATACTTTCCACCTTCCCTAGTCAATGTTCAAGCATATTAAACTTTTAGCACACCCTGCCCTGCAGTGCTGTATGACCATTGTGGGTTTAGCACTTAGTTATGATTATAATAATTGGACCAAACCTAATTACTTCCTATTTCTCCAAGCACTGTAT